CCCAAGATACCACAAATCGCAAAAGCTACGCAAGTCTCTCTGGCTTAACTCTCAGGCAAGTACACCAGGGACACTGGGTCAGGGAAAGAACTGCAGATTTATGCGACGGAGCCCACCTGGGGGTTGGGCATCCTGGGATATACACCCACTGTTCTTTCCAGCTCACCTTGGCTGCGTCTGCCCTAAGGCCAAGAGCGCTGGCCCACCTCAAGTGAGCCTGGTGCCAACGGGCTCTGGCTGCATGAACGCTCTGGAAAGGGAGCCAGAGCACCACGTGTTGACCCCCCCGCAAAGAGACAGCGACCTTCCACATCGCTAGATACCACACCGGGCTCCAGGGAACAGCCAATGGCAATAGTAGACGTCAGGATGAAGGAGGGAGAGATCCTCTTCTGCTCCATCCCCTTAAACCTTATCTGGGTGTGGCTTGTCACCTGCCAACCATGAACTACCAGCACCAACGTGGCCCATGACACTAAGTGCCCTGCTCAAGCCTCCGCCACCTCCCTGGCCCCCAGCCCCTTTTTCACCCAGAGAGGGCATAACGCACAGGCCCATTTTAGGCAGCTGCTGCACTGAAAGGCAATGAGAAGGCAGAAGCTAAGTGTGACCCGTATTCCCTTGAAAAACCCCTTGTATTGCCCACGACATTCAGACCGCGTCTAGTGGTGGCCCAGACCACGGCCTGATGCCCGGTGCTCGGCCCATCTCTAAACTGCACTGTCAGAAGGCCAGGCCTGCTGAACTGTGTTCAAGGTTATTCCTATTTGCAAGCTTTAAATACCTCTGCTCATACCTGCCTCCTCTATCAACCTGGCATTTTCTGCCTATGAGTCACTCATTAGTATTTCGGCAGCCACCCTTATGGCCCAGAGATGCCGGAGTCTTGGAAAAAATCCATCCTTGCCCACAGAAGGAAAAAACAAAATCCCAAACCCTCCAGTTCCATGCAGGGATAATGCCCCATCATACGTCATCCCTAGACGGAATCAAGGGTCATGGGCGGCGCAGCCAGATTCCCAGGTGCCTGCATGCAAGCAAAGGGCAGGAGAGTTATGGGCTGAACCACGTCTTCCTACGATTCCTTTGTTGGAGCCCGAACCCCCAGGACCTCAGAGTACGGCTGTATTTGGAGAGAGAGGGCCTTTTTTTTTAAAGATTCTTTTTTTTAAGATGTTATTTATTTATTTTTAGAGAGGGAAGGGAAGGAGAAAGAGAGAGAGAGAGAGAAACATCAATGTGCGGTTGCTGGGAGCCATGGCCTGCAACCCAGGCATGTGCCCTGACTGGGAATCGAACCTGCGACGCTTTGGTTCGCAGCCCACGCTCAATCCACTGAGTGGCGCCAGCCAGGGCGAGAGAGGGCCTTTACAGAGGTAACCAAGGTGAAATGAGGTCACAAGGGTGGGCCCAGACCCCATCTGACTGGTGTCCCAATGAGAGAAGGTGAAGACACAGGCACACGGACCGAGAGAGGGACAGGTCCGGAAACGGCGAGAGGGCGGCCCTCTGCAAGCCAGGGAGAGCGGCCCCAGGAGGAAACGTACCTGCTGACCCCCGATCTTAGACTTCCGGCCTCCAGAACTGGGAGATAACGACTTTCTGTTGTTCAGACCCCGAGTCTGCGCTGTTCTGTTGCGGCAGCCCAAGCCGAGACAAGGACCATGTCGGGACAGAGCCAGCGGAAGAGGCACTGGCGACAGCCGCCGGGTCACGGCAGAGGCCAGGCTGGACCGAGGCTCACGCCCTTAGAAAGCCGGCTTAGCTGCCAGTGCCTCGTGCCCAGGGAGCGCCGACTCTGCTGCCGAAGACTTCCCCCTGCAGCCTGCCAGCTCCGTTCGACCTCGAGTGTTACGTCAGCCACAGAGGGCAGCTTCTAGGACGATCAGCTCCACTGGGAGAAATGAGACCTAAACCACCGGTTTGGAGAAGAGACGGGGGGATACTGCCCACGTCTGACTAGGACCCTCAGACAACGGCCACCCTCACCAGTGACAAGGCTGCAGAAACCCGACTAGGTTCAGTTTAACCACGGCCTGTTGGATGCATCATCGAGCTGGGTGACAACCATGATGCATGGGACTCAGGCCTAGTAGGTGGTCGGACGGCTAACTAAGGAATTACCACACAGTGAGCTATGTGTACTAATGGAAGGCTAGTCGAGACGCCCAAACAGAAAGGGGCGGTCATTAGCCCTGTCAGTGGCGGGGGGAAGGGTCAGAGAGACGGGATTGCCGGCAGGACTTCCAGGACAGAAATGCAGCTCATGAGCAAACGAGAGGCTGGGACGGGCATCCCGCCCCGAGTCCCCAGCCAGGCGGAGAGGGGTGAGAAAGCACGGGTGGGGGGGGGCTCCCGGAACTAGAAGCAGTGCGACACTGCGGGCTGGGGCAGGGAATGCGACGGGCCGGGTCAGAAGGGCTGGCACACACGAGGCCTCGTAAGGAGCTGGGTCCTCATCCGGGAGGGGACAGGAGACCCCTGGGGAGCTCCGGGCGGGGGGAATCGCCAGGCTGGATTTGTGTCTGAGACGGAATGCTCGGACGGCACGGAAGGGGGACACTGGGTGGAAGAGCAATGCCAGTACCCGAGCGTGAGATGCCAAAGGCCTGTACGCAGGGACAGCCGGCCTCCTGGGAATCTCCTCCTTCCTCAGACGGGCCTGCCGTTTCCCCAGCCAGGCCTGGTGCATACTGCACCCCCTCATTCTCGGAGGTTTTAGCAAATGCCCCAGTAAGAGGGCGAGAGGAAACTGAGGTACTAACGCACTGGGCGGCGTTATATTTTGTTTTTCTTTTCTTTTTTTAAGATTTTATTTATTTATTTTTAGAGAGAGGGGATGGGAAGGAGAGAGGGAGAGAAATATCAAAGTGTGAGCAAAACACTGATTGGTTTGCCGCTCGCACGCCCCCCAACCAGGGACTGGCCTGCAACCTGGGCATGTGCCCTGACCGGGACTCAAACCGGCGACATTTCACTTTGTAGGACAACGCTCAACCAACTGAGACACGCCACTGGGGGCTATTTTGTTTTTCTCAAGAAACAAACCCAAATCAGCCAACGACTTTGCCAGGATAAGGAGGGCCCCCCTGGAGGCCTATCCAAGGTTAGCTTTATTATCTTTTTGGAATATTTCCTACTTATCGAGCTCCATCCAAAACCCGACCTTGACACAGGATCAGTCTGCTCTGCGCACTTCGATCCCACAGGAGAGCTGGACACCCTGCTATCAGCTCTGACACTTTGGAAGGACTTAAAAGTGGCACGCAGAAAAGGAGAAATGTAGAACACACCACCACAGTCAGGATTCCAATTTAGAATCTTGAGCCTCTTTCCAGAACGATCCACACCCTTAGCTTGTCAACCACCCTCCCTTGCAGTCCGTTCCCTTGTTGGCCATTGACAGAAAACCCCCCTCACTACTGAGACTGCGTCACATTCATGACACCCCCTTCCCCAAGCCCCTGACCCCATGGCGTGAGAGGGAAGATCAGAGAAGGTTTGCTGCTCACTAGCTGTGTGACCTTAGACAAGTTACTTAACCTCTCTGAGGCTAAGATAAATGCAGATAACAATAGCTATCTTCAGATTATATGATGAGAAAATATATGTAAATGCTAAAGGCCAGTGCTCACATTTATTAAGGGCATATGAAGAAAAGGAGGAAAAGAAGCAGGAGGAGCAGAAGAGTGGGGGAGGGAGAACTTGGGAGCCAGACAGTCCTGGGTTCAAATCTCTGCTCTACCACTTGCTGGCTGTGTGACATCAGGCAAGTCACTTACCCTCTCTGACTCATTGCTTCCTCCTCTATAAAGCAGGGACAAGACTGCCTACCTTGCAAAAGGACCTTAGTTAAGGTAACAAATGAAAAAAAGAACGTAACACTGCGTTTGCAAGCTCTAGGGCATTTAAGAAGTGAGCCTGAAACCAGTCACTGCGTCCTCAGCCCCGGCCGGCACTCTCGCCTTCCTCGACCACCCAGCTCTGCCATCCCAGGCGGCGTGAACAGGCCAAAGCAAGGAGGCCCTCGCACCGGGAGCCAGGCCTCCCATCCAGAGGAACACCGCTCTCCTCACCCCTTCCAGGGGGAGCCTGCGGAGCTCCCTGTGACCCCACTGTATTCCCTCTGGACAAGGGAGACGGGAGGGCCTGGCTCGCCTCTCCCTGGACCCGAGTGTCTTCACTTGTGACCTGGAGGAGAGGAGAGCAATGCCCCTCCGTCCCGGCTCAGGCACGCAGCTGGCGGGGGAAACGCCCATTTGCTAAAAGACCCTCAAGCACTAGTCCCTGCCGTCTTCGGACCCTGTGTAAAAGGCAAGTTATTTTAAGCCTCTCCTAGACCCAAGGCCTGAGCAAATGAGGCAAATGGCTTTGGGACAAGCACCAGAAAGCTTTTTAAGGCCTCCCGTTCTGCCAGAAACACACTTAAACTTTAAAAAATTTACAGCTCACCACCTCTCTTGGGTTCACTTTGTGCTAGGCTGTGGTTCAGAGGAAGACAAAGCAAAACCCCAAACCCTCCGATCAATGGATCACGACATCGGTCTGCCCCCTTCCACCCTGTGCAGGGCAATGCGGGGATGGAGCCCCAGCGGGGAGAGGCAGCTCTGCCTTCCTGCCAGCAGCTTCTGGCTGGAACAGACGGAGGCCGGTGTTGAAATCTCTTTCTTTTTTTAACCTGGAATGGGGCAGGGAAGCTCGCCAAGGAACAGGTGTGACGGAGGCCTCCCCCTCCCAGCACTCAGGGGCAAGGCCAGGGTGCCTCAGGTGCAAGGGGGACAGGGCGAGGTGCTGAGGGGGGCAAGGGCCGCTGGGAGGGGCAGGATGGGGGGTGCAGCATTAGGACCCTACAGTTTCCCAGAAGTGTGTGTCAGATCCTGGGGGTCAAACACAGAGTTGGGCTTTTGGATACACAGGTCTACTCTCAGACCACCAAGGCCACTACTCACCCCCTGAAGTTGCCCCCCAACCCCCAGCCCCGGCCCACCCCACCGTCTTACTTCTGCTAGGCAGCTCCTCTTCGCCCAGGCCATTGGAGGGAGCCAGTGGGCCACTGCCACCCTCGTCCAAGGTCAAGATGAGGGGAACGTCGTCGTCTAAATTCATGGCCATGTTCTTCTCTCCTGTGGGCCTCAGGATGTGATGTTCAGGGCTGCAAATAGTCTCTGCTTTAAGCTGCCTTTCAAAGCCACTGGCCTACAGGTGCTTCTCAGAAACTCCTCCATCTGAGGCATCTTCTAGGATTTGGGGATAAAAAGAAAAAAGACAATTGTTTTTTTTTTAAGTTTTTCTTTTTTTTTAAGGTTATTATTTGTTTATTTTTTGAGACAGGGGAAGAAGAGAGAAAGAGGGGGGAGAAACATCAATGTGTGGTTGCCTCTCAGGTGGCCCCCACTGTGGACCTGGCCCCCAACCCAGGCATGTGCCCTGACTGGGAATCAAACTGGTGATCCTTTGGTTCACAGCCCACGCTCAATCCGCTGAGGCACATCAGCCAGGGCGAAAAAAGACAAGTATTAAAATACAACCACTACTGATGAAAATCGTCTGCAGTTAGGTAGTGGTGATGGTTGCTTAATCTTCCGGACTCACTAAAAACCACTGAAATGTACCCCTTTAAAATGGTGGAGTACTGCAGTATACAATAGCTTGAAAAAGTGAGGGGAAAACTCTGCAAGAACCAGTACTAAAGTTAATGGTAATGTCTGGAGATGGAGATTAGGACTAATATGTTCTGTCTCCACCCCTCTTTGTACCTGTTTGTGTGAGTTGTATAAAGATTTTAAAAACTAAAAAAAAAAAAAATACAACTATTAAAACAATAGTAATTAATACTCAGTGAGTGCCTACTATGTACCAGGGACTCTTCCTGCAATTTTTCAGTAAAGCTGATTGAAACTTCATAATAGGTAGGATTGGTACACCCCGTTACAGAGGGGGAGACTTTAAGCTCAGAGAGGTTGGGTAACTTGCCCAAGAACGTCCAGGAAGAAAGCTGAACCTTGCAATCTGACTCCAGCCCCAGGCTACAACTCCCCCAAGTGCAAGGCCGGGGATTTATTTGGGCAGCGCTATGCTCCCACGACCTGTAAAGAGTTAGTGCGACAGGTCACCGACACTGGCCCTTAGTATCCTCTGCTCTCAGTCACCCAGCAAAAGGCCGCGTGTCCCAAGTCCCCGATTTAAAACACTCAGCGCGAGCCTGTAGCGAGTTCCTATTTATACACATTCCCATTTCCGCTGGGGAGGACCCAGAGAAAAGCCAGCGCTCAGCAGATCTGATGGCAGACCTTTGAACTTGAAACCAGCAGCAGGTCCTTTCCTCAAGCCCAGGCTTTCTGGGCTCAGTCAACTTTGCCTCCACACTTGACTCACGGAACGGCAACCCTGCAATTTACTTCTTTCACGAATCATCGGAATAATCCCAAGCAGGTCCCTGGGCGTCAATGTCTCTTCTTAAAACAAGGCAGTTACAAGTGAGAACTGGTCTGCTGGCTGCTAAGCCTGTAGCTCTCTGCGCGGCGAACTTCCTGTGAGATTTTTTATGTTTCCTCCAGATCCGGGGATTTCTTTTGCTTTCAAATCTCAATACCAGGGAGGCAGAAGAGGAAATCCCAAATGAGACATTACCATTTGGCTGTCTTAAGAATTAGGTTTTATTTATTTTGTGGTTGTTGTTTTTTGTTTTTTTTGGCTGAACTTTTTTTTTACCACAGAGATTTCCAAACATACTCAAAAGTAGAGAGAATATGTAAATGAACTTCCTAGTAACTTTCACTCAGTTTTGACAATTAAAAACATTTTGCCATTCTCTCCTGTATTTGTTTTGAAGGCGGGAGAATTGACTCACCCCCTCAACTCATCAAGGTTTCCTATTTTTATCATTATAATCATAAAGGCTAATGGGTTTTATTTTAACTATTTAATATATGACTATTTCCTTGCATGCATTGTCTTAGCTCACGGCTCTCACCTGGGGGTGATCTTGTCCCCTTCCCAGGGGACACTAGCACTGTGTGGACATTTTCCATTGTAACAATTCTCCAGAGGTGACGGGGGTGCTAGGAGGTAGAGGCCAGGTTTGCTGCTAAACGCCCCACAAGGCACAGGGGCGCTGCTGTTGAGAAACACCCACTTCGCAGATGAGAAAACTGAGGCTGGGAGGTGTTCGCTCTGCCTGCCTCTTGGAAGTGCACCTCTGGGAAGCCGCGGAGCCCAGGTTCCGACCCAGGCAGTCTGAATTCAGAAATGCCCGATCCCTGGCCTCCGGCGTAACCCTAACCCTGCTCCCCCTCCCAGAACCAGTTCTGCAGCCTGAATTCATTCCAGCCCATCCTTCTTCGGCGGGGACAGCGAGGTCCGGGGCGGGAAGGGACCTGCCCAAGGGCACACAGTGCAGGGCTCAGGGGTCCCAGCCCAGCGCACTCCTTGCACGCGGGGCTGTGCTGCTCGCTCTAGAGAGCGCACAGAAGGGACGGGTCACCCCTAGGGACAGGTCCCAGGGGAGGGCCCGCGGTCGTCACGCTGTCTGCTCCAGCCGCCTGACCGGCGCGAGTGGAGTCTCCTGAGGGCGCCAAGGCGGAGAGCAAGTGAGGAAGGAGGGGGGTGGGTACGGAGAGAAGTGCTGGCATGCCCGCCCTCCACGTGCACCCGAGCCAGGTCTGGGCCCCGGAGAGGGGGTCGCCCCAGAGAGCCGAGGACGAGGAAAGAGGGTGCAAAGTCCCGGCCTGGACTAGAGGGAGAGAAGCGCGCGGTGACTTCCTCGCAGTCCCTCTGCGCCCGCCCTGCCCTCGCTGCCCACACTCCAGTAGCTAGCGGCAACCCCTTACTCTTACTCCATGCCCTTTGACCCCTGACCCCTGCCCTCTCCTCAGGCCATCCCTTGCACCCCTTAAATTCTTACACTCGCCCCTGCAACCCGGACCGCGCGCCGGGCTCGGCACCGTGCAGCCCAGTCTGCTGGTGGCGCTGCCGTCGAGACCCCGAGCCTGAAGATGTTGCAGCCACCACCACTGCCGCTGCTGCCGCCACTTCAGCCGCTGCCACCACGGCAGCTGCGCCAGCTCTCTCATCTACCGCCTACCGTCCCCTCACCCCTCTGTCCCCGCCCTGTTCCCCCTTAGCTGAAGCCTATTCGTTAGTTTGGCTGCCATGATGAGTTCTGATTGGCCCACTCTCAAGTCCTTCCACAGTTCTCGCCCGCTGCGGGTGCAGGACTCCCAGCCCGCCTCCTAGGGAAGGGGAGGGACTAAGAGGCTCCGCCCCTCTACTCTCCCATCTTCCCCGCCTTACTCTTTCAGCCCAACTCAGAGTCAGTCCGGATCTTTCAATTGGTGGAGAGTCAGAGAGATGGTGTCTCTGATTGGTCAGAGACGGGAAGTGGGAGGAGCTCAGCGGCATTGAATGTCTAAAAGGCAAATCAGTCAGGCTCGGAGTCCCGCCTTCTGAGATTGGCGGGTAACCTAGCAACGCAGGTACCACCAAAGGTAATCGGGTAGAGAAACCTGGATCCCTCAGAGCAGGTGAGTGACCAGGGGAAGGGCTGGGGATGGGAGGGGGAGCTGTGGAATGACCTCTAGCCTGCCATCCTTTGACTCTCTGAGTAATCAGTAGCCCCCACGGCGGTCCCGTCCCGCCCCAGGTCCCTGCTCTTCAGCCCCCGCCTGCAAGGACCACTGGACATCTTCGCTGTCCCTTCCTGTACTGCCCCTCCGCGTATCATCTTCTTGGTCCCGCTTTCTCATCCCTAAAAAGTGGAGTCACATCGTAGCTAACTAGTAATTTCAAGTCCAACGTAAGGGCGGGGGGTAAGAGGATAGTTTCTCAGTCCTCCACCATTTCACCAAATGGCCATCTATTCCAGGGTAAGTAGGCAACGAAAGGCTTCTCAATTGAATGAGTGTTCCAATTAGTCATTTTGATTATGCCAATTTTTGCCTTTTGTGATAAGTTTAAAACTTAATTCCCATTCCCTGCCCTTAAAATGGGATTTCATTCATATACTTAAGACACAGAGTTTGTTGCGAGGATTAAATGAGGTCAGGCAAAGGAGAGCTTGGCATGGAGCTGAGGAACACAGTAAGGGTTCAGTGAAAAGTAGCATTCTCCCCCAAAAAAACACATCTGTCCTCGACTCTTCCTGCTTACAATTACTCCAACCGAACTATCTCTTTTTTTTAATATTTTATTTATTTATTTTTTAGAGAGGGAAGGGAGGGAGATAGAGAGAGAGAGAAACATCAATGTGCGGTTGCTGGGGGTTATGGCCTGCAACCCAGGAATGTACCCTGACTGGGAATCGAACCTGGGACACTTTGGTTCCCAGCCCACGCTCAATCCACTGAGCTACACCAGCCAGGGCGAACTATCTCTTTCCATATCTTAAATATTCATATATTCAACAAGTATTTGCTGAGTGCCAACTAATCCACCGAAGAAACTTCATTCCTCCCCTTGTGGAACTTGTCTAAATACTAATATGTAGGTAAATGTAAAATTACACCTGCAGAGATTCACCTCCAGGATGATGGAGTGAGGTCAACAAATCCCCTCCTCAAAAAGCAATGAGGGCAGCTGTGATGTCTGCATTTTCCAACCAATCAAATCAGGGAGACTTTCTGATCCCTTAGTCCCTCTGAAAGGTGTTCAAGAGGAAGTGAGAATCATTACTAAGATAACCAGGCCAAGGACAGAAAGTGGTGGGGAAGTCAAGGGTGAGAAGCCGTGAGTTTTGAGGTCACTGCCCCTGTCCTGTCTGAATATAAAAACACTGTCAGCAGAAAGCAAGAACCTAGCCCTCTGTTCCCTTTCCCAGACGTCAGCCGCCACTATGAAAGCCTTTTGTTCGAAAGCAGCTGTAACAGAAGCTGCAGGGCCACGGCATCAATCTCCCCACCTCCGGGCTGGACCGAGCTGGACCGGGCTGCCCAGGGCATCCCGGACAGAGCTCTGCCCTGGCTCTGAGCAGGGTGTCCCTCTGGAGCACATTCCAGGTACATGTGGTCCAACATAAATGCCAGTTAGCCAGTGTCACTTGTTTTTCAGGGGGAAATTGTATGAAAGGGGTTAGCCTTCTTTCCCTAGCTCAGTTGCTAGATGTCCCCACACACTTTCTTTTTCCCTAGAAGACAAGAGCTCAGGGCAATGATGCCGATGTACCACCTGAGTCACGCCTGAACTTATTATACTACTTCCCTTTGAAGAGGGCTTTTAACTCACGTAAGGGCTTTCCCATGTATCAAATTATCCCTCCTCCACCCAGCTCCCTTTGATGTAGCTAGGACAGGTGTATCACCAGGTGCCAGAGAGATAAGGGACTTGTCCAGACTTATTCCCAGAGCCACTGACAGGGGTGAGTCATGCACCCAGGTCTCCTAACACCAGCTTGTGACGCTGATCTTGACTCTGTAACTGATGGTGGCTTCATTTATTCATTGATTGATGATAGCGAGAGAGAGAGAGAAACGTCAATTTGTTGTTCCATTTACTGATGCATTCATTGGCTGATTCTTGTAGGTACCCTGGCTGGGGATTGAACCTGCAACCTTGGTGTATCAGGATGACACTCTAACCAACTGAGCTACCACCAGGCCAGGGCTGATGGTGGCCTTAGATGGCACAGATGTCAGCTTGTCAGATATAGCTGGGCCAGACTTGGAGAGGCCTTCCTTGGAACCTGGGTGGAGCACTAGACATGGGATGGAGAGGCCAGGAGTTTTATAGCAGAGCAAGGCCACTGTGATCCAGACCAGTAATTCTCTAGACCAGGGGCACCCCCAGCCCACACTCCCACCTCCGCAGGGACATTTGGCAAGAAACTGGTAGGGGGAGAAGGCTGCTAACAGCATTCAGTAGGTGGAGGTCAAGGATCCTGCCATACACCCTACAATGCTCAGGACAGCCCCCACAACAGAGAATTATTTGATCCAAAATGTCATTAGGGTGGCAGTTGAGAAACCCTGTTCTAGATTGGTATTTTCATGCAAGGCAAATGATACACACACACACACACACACACACACACACCGCTTTTCCCTTCGGGTCCTAGATAGTGGAACTGAAAACAAAAGTGACTACAAATCAGGATCGTTTGAAATACAGAGGAATCAAGATAAAGTATCTCTTTGAACTTAGCCCTCAAATACTAGCAGCGGGTTATATTCTACAACCAATCTAACGCCCTCAACACAAGGGCTTTCAAACACAGGTTGTTTTTTAACCACAAACCAAAGAAAGGCACTTATTTTCCTCCTCAACCCAGCAGACACCTATTTAATTATAAATGAGTACTTACTGCATGCCACACACTCTAATGGTGTCCATTCTCTTTCATTTATTTTTAGCTGGCAAATTGATTTCATTCACTAAAGGGGCACAACCCTCGGTTTAAAAAAGGCACTTCCTGCCCTGGCCATGGTGGCTCCATTGGTTAGCGGGTCGTCCCTTAACCGAAAGAGCGCAAATTCGATTCCCCGTCAGGGAGCCCACGCGAGGCAGCCAGTTGGTGTTTCCCTGCCACATCGACGTTTTCCTCTCTCCCTTGCTGTCTCTCTAAACGCAGTGAGAAAAATGTCCTCGGGTGAGGATACAAAAGAAACATAAAAAAGACACTGATTCAACATAATCTGTCACCCAGGAAAAGCCAGTGGTTTGCACTTTATAAGGTGACGACTTCAATATTGTTTAAGTAGGGGAAATTTATGTTAGAAGAACTCTAAATTCGTTACTAGGAAATTCTTTCTTTTGTCTGCAGCCAAAAGGCTACTATCCACAGTTGGCTGTACCTAGAAATAAACACTTCTAAAGCGACCGGGTAACAGAAAGGGGAATTTAAAATTCTGATGAACTAATTCGTTAAGAAGGAGCAAACTGGTGAGTAGTTTAATGAATTTTTGTTCTCCTGTCACTCACAGGAAAACACGAGTAATGCAGAAACCAGAAAGATTAAAACCAGAAATAGTCAAAAGTAGTACAGAGTGGTTCCATTTTGCCCCTTTATAAACCCTTCTCACAAAAACATATACACTGTTTTAAGGGAAAATATTACCTTTTAACTTAAGTATTCAAATGTTAACATTAAATTCCATCATTTTTGAGGTCAGAATAAAAGTGACCAAAGCTAGAAATTATTTTTGTTCATTTTTAATTATTTCACTGTTGTTCAAATACAGTTGTCTGCATTAACCCACCACCACTTCCCCCCAAACCCTAGCCATTCTCGCCTCGCTCCCCTGATTCCCCCCTCCCCCCCCCCCTTGGTTTTCTCCGTGTGTCCTTTCTAGTTGTTCCTGGAGCTAAACGTGATTAAACTTGGACTTTATTTCCTACTGACAGCAGTTCTAGCAGCTGTGGATCCCCCGACTGTCCCCATTTTGCAGATGAGACGCCAAAGCTGGGAGAGGACTGGCTGCCTAAGGCCACACAGTGCGGAACTGGGGGTAACCGAACAGCAAGTGGGGTCGGGGGTCCTGCTGCCCGCCGCCAGCCTCTAGGGAAACGTTTTGGTGATATAGGGATGGAGTCTTTATGCAAAAGCTCCACAATTTTGGAATAACAGCTTTCCACCTGCCTTCGTCACTTAAGCCTATCAATTAAGGCTAAACTCTTTAAACTCTTTAACTCTTTAGTTACAGCTCTAATCACTTAAACACCATCCATTAAAGCTAAACTCTTCAACACCTGAGTTCTCTAGCATTTCCCCTGTTAGTTTTAATTATCTTATTTCTATAGGTAGAACAAACGAGAATAATATAAGATACAAAAGCTGCACAATTCCAGGACGGCAGGCTTCTGCCTCAGAGGTCGTCCCCTCTAGAACTGCGGAAGAATAACCCTGCCGTCCACCCGCAGGCCGGCCCAGCCCCGGGGCTGCACCCGGAGTTCCTTCCCATCCCAAATACCTTCTGCTGGGAAAGCAGGCCGCCGCAGCACGATCTCCCAGCCATCCTCCAGGAAGAAGCCAAAGAGAGCCCAAGCTCCAGGCCGCCCAAGAGCGCAAGAGTCCAAGAGCCCTTCTTTTATACCGAATCTTCTGTCCCACAATCCCACGCGCTCCGGAGGCATTCCGCCGCTCAGCCAATCCCGCCCTAGGCTGTTTCCATTGCCTCCGCGAATTCCTCCTCCTCCGGCCTCCTGCCTCCCCGTGATCTGATCAGATCTCTCTGTATCTCGGGGAGGCCCTGAGCTCGACCTCCAAATTCGTCTGCCACCAGCACCCAGAAAGTTAGTCCTTGTGCAACAGGCTCACGTATTTTTTCTTCCACGTCAGAGATGAGGGCCCAGAAGGTCAAGTGCATTTGCTCGGGGCTAGAGCTGTGGCCAGTGGCTGGCAGAGAGATGTTCACTGTCACCAGCGTTTTAGAAATCTGTCTGTCACCCGGGAGCACATTCCCTCCCAACCTCGGTCACCACTCAGTGTCCTCCGTCTCCGAAGCCCTGGATGACGTTGGAGGCGTGGCCACCGAGCCCCCGCAACTGTGGAGATCCCGCCTGTTCACACCCCCAGCGTGCACCCGCTGCAGTCCCAGGCTAGGGCTCTCCCAGGCTAGGGCTCGTCTGGAAACCCAATATAACCCACAAAATGCAGGTTCTCGCAAAGGACAAGAGAGGGCTGGGGAAGGGTTCAAAGGCGGCAACAGCAAAAATACAGCTAAACCCTGAAAATGAAACCAAGTTGGTTTTAAATCTTTTATTTTAAAATTCCAAGCCCTGAGTACGGGGATGGGAAACCACTCCTAGGCCACGCCTTGGCCCACTGCTGAAGTGTGACGCTCTTTCTGGTTCTAGCTGGGGCCTCCCCTAATGTGTGAAACAACATCGCCCCGTTGTGCCATCACCGCTCAGTGAGGGAACGGGCCCATTGGGGGTTCTGGGTGTGCCGTCTCCTCGTACTGAGCACCTACCGTGGGACAGACACTTGTGACGGCAGCCTTCATCCCGCATTTTCTGCCCCTTTCCAGCCCCTGTCTTCCCTGGAAGGCTCAGAGAAAGCGCATCGAGCTAGATGTGTGGTTTGCAGGCCACGGGAGCTTCCCGGGGCCAAACGGAAGGTTCCTGCAGCTTCCAAGGCACAGCTTCTGCCTGTCACCTCACTTTGAGAACATGTTGTTGAGTTTTGCATCTGTGTTCGTGAGATGTATCCATCTGCACTGTCCTTTCTCCTGATGTCTTTGTCTGTTTTGGTATCACAGGAACGCTAATTTCACAGGATCGATTAGGAGATATTCTGCTGTTTTATAGAAGAGATTGTGGAGAATTGGTATGATTTCTTCTTTAAATACTTGGTACACTTCACCAGTGAAATTATCTAGGCCTGGTGCTTTCTGTTTGGGGAGGTTGTTAACTGTCGATTCAATTTTTTAATAGATGTAGGCCCATTTGGGTTCTCTGTTTCTCCACGTATGAGTTTTTGGTAGATTGTGCCTTCAAAGAAATGGTCCGTTTCATCTAGATCATCAATTTGTGCCGTGCAGTTGTTCCTAACATTTTCTCATTGTCATTTTCACATTCTTGGGATCAGTAGTTCTGATCCCTCTCTCCTTCTTGACATTAGTAATCCATTAGCACGTCTTTAGCATCTCCCTGCCACTCGCTAACCTTGCTTTTTGACAGCGGAGATCTGGTCTTGGACTCATTGTTCCTGGGTAATAGTATCTCGCTAGAATGGAGTAATACCAGGATGCAGGCATGGTTATCTTCCACTTCAGGAAAGTGATCCAGATTTTGCAGTTACAGAGGAGATACAAAGTTTCCTTTTTAATGAAAAGTACTTACGAATGAAAGTATGTATACTTTAGAAAGTTAAGTTGATAATAGCACGACTTGGCCTACAGATTCGGCAGAAATCACAGAGGTGGCAAGCCGGGCAACACTGGACTAGAGCTAACCCTCACGGAGGCCTCTCTCCTGACCCCTGTGGTGTGGTGTCACGCTGCCCTGTGACCCCTGCGTCGTGATCAGTTACGAAGTGCGTCTTGGTAGTTAGATGAGAATGAGTGCCAAAGTCTGCATGCATGATGGACTGAAAATAAACAAATCAGTGAGAGACGTTGGAAGCTCCCCCTACCACCATTCAGTTGCTCCTCTCACTCACCGCGCTCTGAGAAGCTTTTCTCAAGGAGAAAGGGATGGGGTGACAGCTCTGTTGTGGTAGCTGTGTCTGATGCCGGGTGTCCCCATGGGAACACAACACCGGTAGGAACCCTGTGTGGTAGCAGAAAGATCAAGTCATGTGTGCGTGTGTGTGTACACTTACAGATATAAAACAAATACAAATATTTGTATTTGTAGTTGTTAAGTAGACTGGCTGCTGTAGGAACTGGATCTTTTTTTTAATGCATATTTTATTTCTTTTTAGAGAGGGGAAGAGATAGAGAAAGAGGGAGAGAAACATCAGTGTGCGGTTGCCTCTCATATGCCCCCTACTAGCGACCTGGCCTGCAACCCAGGCATATGCCCTGACTGGGAATCAAACCTGTGATCCTTTGGTTCACAGGCCGGTGCTCAATCCACTGAGCTACACCAGCCAGAGGAAAACTGGATCTTCAGCAAGTCTGTTCTCTGAGCCCCTAGTCAGCAGGACTCATTGAAATGGGACCAGCAAAGAGTCACTCTACTGAGTCCCCCTGGGAAGTCAATCTTAAAACTGGGAGACTGGACGGAGCAGTGGTTCCTGGACAGACCGCCCGGGCTGAACTCCCAGCTCCACCACTTACTAGCTCTGGACGAATGCAAACATCAAACCTCTCTCTGCCTCCATCCTCTCACCTACAACATGGAGGCAATGACAGCTCCTCCCGCACGAGGGTTTTTGTGAGGGATAAAGGAGTCAATTCACATAAAGAGTTTAGTGTTTGGCACACAGTATGTTCTCAAAACTTAGCTAATGTGAAAATGACACCCCTGCCCCGGCTGGTGTAGCTCAGTGGGTTGAGAGCGGGCTGCGAACCAAAGGGTTGAGGGTTCAATTCCCAGTCACGGCACATGCCTGGGTTGCAGGCCAGGTCCCCAGTGGGGGCCATGTGAGGCAGCCACACATAGCTGTTTCTCTACATCTTCTTCTCCCTCTCTTCCCTTGTCTCTAAAAATAAATAAATAAAATCTTAAAAAAATAAAATAAAATGACATTCCTTAAAGTGAGCTCCCTCCCCCCATATATCCACACACACACTCCAGTTTCCTTAAAACCTGCTGACTTCTCCATGCACCCGGAGATTTGTAAGGCTAGATTTTCTTCCTCTTTTTTCTCCCAAGGGGGAAAAATATAATTTACCTCAATGCTTTTTTTCCCTTCAAAATGTTCAGAGAGTGAAAGTAATAAAATATCCAACCAGCCCAACTTGAATGAAGACGAGGCATAATTTGCATGATAAAGATATATTTCCATTTATAAAGTTCATCAGCAGAATTAATGACAAATAAAGGGAAGATCCAATTAAAGTTCCCCAACCATTAACAATCTTGCTTCAACTCTCAGGGCAGGAATTTTCAAAGGAGAGGCTGGAGTTGGAAATGATTTAAATATTAAGGTTGGTGGCGTTAAAGGGGACATGAAATGATCATATTAGAATTCAAGGAAAAGAGATTTTCCAGTGATTTTTGTCATCAGAGTCAGACGCGTTTTCCCCCAAACCGAGTTCCACGGGCGTTTTCTTGTTCACCCAAATGAGCTGTCAGGAGCTGATGGGCGTCATCATAATCAAAGAAAACAAGTTTGCCCTTTAAAGCATAAGAGGTAATTTGGCTGAAAGCAAATTGGAAACATTTCATACAACGTTGCATTTCCAGCCGCCATCCCTGAAGAATTCGGGCGTTTTGATTTATGCCTGGGAGCTTCGGGGGACAACGGGAGAAGTGCATGCATTGAACACTTTGGTCACATTCATCCTGTGGCCGGGGGCAAAGATCCTTCATCCTCAGAGAGCACGGTCCGTGGCTGTCCACGGAACGCTATTTTCAGGACAAGCCCGCGTGGAGCTCACGAGGCTGGAGAAGAGCAGGCCTGGGTGGGAATGAAGGAGATGCCGGCTGGACTCAGGACTCGGCTCCCGGCTTCCGATCCGGGACCCGGTCTGCCCGGCCACGGGACACAGCAGCCTCTGCACCTGGTCTCGCTCCCTTTCGTCCCTGTTCTGAGCCACTGCGGGCGTTTCTGTGACTCGGTCCCCTAGGCTCCGTTCGCTCTTCTGTTTGGAGAACTGAAGATCTCTTGTTGTGTCTTCAGAGATCACTTCCTCCTCCCTTGCATTTATATCTCCACCCCCACCGTCTCCCAGGAGCCGCCCCCCCCCGCCCCCATCTTGTGTTGTCAGTTGCCTAGACTACGTATATCAGCTGGGGTTCTTTGATTGTAAGCACCGGAAAGGACCCGGCTAAACAGGATGGTGATGGAATTGCTGACAGGCCAGGCCTCAGCGAGAACAGCAACTGAGTGGCTGGGGGGAGGTTCTGGGGTTCTCCATAGCAGGCTGTCCTGGAACCTGCCACTGGCATGCGTCTGTCCCCCCCATCTCCCACTGAGGGGTCCCTCTTCAGAATTCCCAGGGGGGAGACAGCAGGCCCCACCAAGACGGCATGCAGTGGGGGAGAGGATGAGTTTCTCAAAGGGGGACTGGGGCGCGCGCAATCACCCGACAAAGAGGAAATGGATTCTGGGAAGGCCGGGACGTCCTGTCCACTGTCCGCTCTAGCTGGAACTCCGTGGGCTTTAAACAGAGCTCTTTGTCCTCCCTTCCGAACTTCCTCTGCCCATTTCCCTAGTGACCGGTGCCCCAGCATTCTCTCCCGGTCACCCACACTCAACACTGTCTTTCATTCCCCAGGTCCTGATGGTTCTTCCTCCTTTGGATTTTCATTGGTTTGAACTGCGTCTGTAGCCGCCCTCCGCTGTACAGGGGCTGAGGAGGTGAGCGTGAGGTGCTCCCAGCCTCTACCTTGTGGGCAAGCAGGAGGGACGGGTGGAGCTCGGGATGGGGGAGGGTGCCTGCCCCCCCCCCGGGGGGGGCTTAGCATCACGAGAACCTGTCAGGAGAACTCAACCACGGCTGGAAGCCCAGGGAGGTCTTCCTGGAAGAAGTGGCACTTGAACTGAGATCCGAGTGCAAGGAACGAATTTGGCAAGAAAGAGGGAGAGAGGTGCATTTCAGGGAAAAGAGACAGGAGGTACAAAGGCCCTGAGGTAGAAGGTTTCCAGTAGCTCAGCTTATCTGCCTGCCCCCAGGCCTTTCCCTAGGAATCATCGTGAGACAGATCTAACTTTATCTCGTCCGCTTTCCCTGTGATCTCTCCTACAAGATAAAGTCCCCACTCCGGTGTGGATAGGCCGTCATCTCCACCTGTTCCGTGACTACAACTTATTCCCTTCCTCTGCTACTCATTGACCCTTCACGAAAGCATGAAGGGTTTTATGTCCCGAACTAGGTTATAAACTCCGGGAGGCCAGGAACCGTCCCTTGCAGCTCCTTCATATCCCCAGGGGCTCAATAAAGACCAGAGCAGAGGACTCTGGGGGTGATCTTTATTGCAGGGAGCAGGAGCAGATGTAAGCAGACCAGTGAAGGAGCCCTTGAATCATCTAAGTGAGAGATTACCAGGCCCTTCCTGGCAGAGAAGCTGCCCAGGAGGAAGGACGGGGAGTGGGAGCCATCAAGGAGAGAACACGGGCAGAGTTGAGTGGCAGATCGGATGTGGGGGGTGAGGAAGACTGAAGGGTGTCACTCAGGTTTCTGGCTTTTGCAACTAGGATGGATAGCTGGTCATCAAGATGGAGGATGAAGAAGGAGCAGGGCGAGGGGTGGGCAGGCACGTGGTGGGCACCGTCTTAGACGCGCTGTACCGGGAGCCCGGCCCATCCTGGGCGGTCAGCGGTCATTGGACACCTCCGGGCCCCAGAGACTCAGGCTGGGCGATCACTGCAGGCCTGCACTTGGGATTTCAGTTTCCCTGGGCTAATGACGTTGGTTATTGTTTACTGAGCACTCACAATGTCCAGGCTCTGGGCCGAAATGTCCCACTGAATCTGAAGATCCCCGTCCTATGGCCGACGCAGCCCAGGCTTAGGGGCATTTTAGATAACCAGCTCCAGGACCCCCAGGAAGGATGTGAGCCCACGCGGGGCTGCCGCAGAGACAGTTCTCTCAGCCGTCATGCCGTGTAGGCAGTGTAAGTTATGGGTTTCAGATTGCCCCGCAGGTTTCTCTGAAGCAGCCGTTTAAAAGGGCTTCTTATTTTGTCACAGTTGTAGCTCTACAGAAAAGTTGCAGAGTACAGAATGCCCGTGTGCCCTTCATTCGGCTCCCCCTGCTGTTAACGTCTCACATAACCACTAACCGCGGTGTGTGTGTCCAAACTAAGAAATTAACATTGATACAATGCTATTGACTAAACTATCCACGTCATTTGGATTTCACCTTCCAGAATACAATCTTGGATGCAATGTAAAAGATTGTATTTCCAAGGCATTGTTCATCCCACTCTGAGTTTTAAAATCCACACTTAGCTCCGGCCAGTGTGGCTCAGTGGATTGAATGCGAACTGAAAGATCTCTGGTTCGATTCCCAGTCAGGGCACATGCCTGGGTTGCAGGCCAGGTCCCCAGTTGGGGGCGTGCAAAGAGCCGGTGCAGGAGTGCTGTGCGGGGGCCAGCCCTGCTCGCTCCACCCCCGCTCTGCTCTGCAGCAGGCTGCACTGCCCAGGCCCCCTTGTCGGTTGGTTCCTCACTGCCTTTGACCAATGCGAGGCCCCGGTGTACGGATGGAGGGTGGGAAGGAGGGAGAAACCAGAGTGTTTCTCCCCTCCTTGCACTGGCGGTGTTTCTGGCAGTGGCCACAGGAACTGGCTGTGGCTCCAGCGGTCCCCTTGGTGACCGTGATCCCAAAGCTCACCACCTCCTCCTCCTGAGGTGGCTTCCTGCCACCAACAATTTGGGGGGGGGGCGGTGCACTTCACCTTGCCCCTGCTGGCCTGTCAAGTCTTCCACCACCTATATCTAAAGACTTAGAACGAAGTCAGCATTCCTGGTGGGTCCCTGCCTGACGCACGTGCCCGAGACCCACCTCCGCACTTGGCCTCCCTACCCCGGCAGCCCCGACCCAAAGCTCCAAACTGCTTTCAGTGAGAGGTTCTGCACAAATCTGCCAAGTGCCTGAGGTGAGCCCTCAATACCAAATGTGTGGTTGCTTTGGCCAAACCAGCCACACCGGGGCCTGCGTAGCTCCACCAACTACCTACTCCTTCCTTTTTCAGAATATCTAGGGACACTGCAAGCAGGAGACCCGTCTAGTCTGCCAACATCTCGATCTCCCGGGGTGGACGGAGACAGAGAAGGCCGATCGCACAATGGCTTCAGACATCCTCTCCATGGGTGCTGTCTACCAAGGCCTTGACGTGAACAGAATGAGGCTGATGACAGAGCCGTCCAAAAAGCCAACCTCCCCGCTGAAAGCCTTGGTCCCCTCTAAGACCAAACTCACCACGATCGAGACCAAGAGGATCATGTCCGTACTGGACGAGACCATCCACAAGGTGCAGCTGGTGACCCTCCTGTCCTATGTGACGTCCGACAGTGAAGACCTGGAGGGCATGCTGGGAAAGGACACCGCGAGGGCCGTGAGAGAGCACAAAGACCTCTGCAAGGACCTCCTGGACAGGGTCAGCTTCCTGCAGGAGGAGCAGCGGCGGGTGCGGGAGGAAGAGTTTGAGGACGAGCCGTGGATCCGAGAGCACCTCCTGTCCCTCGAGCAGCAGAAATCCCACCTCCCGCCGCTGATGGAGCAGATCAAAGCATCCACCAGGGACGTCCTGAGGCTCCTGCTCAGCAACCCGCAGGCGGCCGGGCTCCTGCAGATGCGGACGGTGGCCAGAAGCGCGGGAGCCCAGACCTTCATCGACAGCCTGGTGGAGCTGCGGGGTTTCCTGTTTGAGAAGCTGCTCACCGGTCCCATGGAAGCCAGAGACAAGGCTCAGTTCCTGCAGGATGTCACCAAGCAGAACAGAAGTAACCAGGAAGCCATCGATGCCCTGGAGGAAGAACTGGCGGCGAGACTGAAGGACAGAAACGCAGAGGTACCGTTTGCAGGGTTGGTCAAGTTACGGAAGGAGCCCGAAGCTTTTTAAATCACCCAGGGATTTAAGTAGACGTGTTCATTCATTTATTCCACAAATGTGGTTTTGAGTGCTTACTAGGTGCCAGGTCTTATATAAACAAACACACGTGGCCCTGCTTCACAGAGTTCATAGTAAGGAAGGTGGTTCTCAAAGAGCTGATTTAATTATGGTCTTGAGACACGCAGTGAAGGGTAAGCATAAGGCGCTGCGAGGGAGAGTTACAGGAATGGTGATCTCAGACTGGAAGGGTCAAGGAAGGCGGAACCAAGACACGAAGGATGAGAGGGGCTGAGCCAGGCAGGTGGGAGAGGGAGGAAGCTTCCAGGCCAGGGCAGGCACGCTTTCTCTGCAAAGGGCTGGAGAGCAGAGAGTTTGGGCCTCAGAGGCCGGGCCGTCTCGGGTGCAGCTGCTGAACTCAACTCTGCCGCGACAGCGCGAGAGCAGCCGCGAGCAGAGCTGTGTTTCAGTAAAGCTTCGTTTGCAAATGCAGGCCTCCAGCGGGATTTGGCCTGTGGGCCTTCCTTGGCAGACCCCTGCCCAAGGGGGAGGGCGGTGTGCGTGCCTAGGTCCTGAGAGGGGCCCAGGCCTGGCGGGGTCAGGAACCTGAGAAGTGCCGGTGAGCCAGAGGGAAGGGGCAGAGATGGGTCTAGAGAGATGGGTGGTGGGGGGGCTCATACAGGACCTGAGGCCTAATCAGGGGAGGTGGTCTCTGTCCTCAGGGCAAGGGGCAGGCGGGAGGGGCGGAAGCTCCAGGAAAATTCGTAAGAAGGAAAATGATCGCAACCTCATAATAACCATTTCGGGACACATATGAGGGGCAGTTGGCCTGGGAACAACCCAGCTTTGGACCGCACAGGGTCCGCGTGTGCGTGGATTTCCTTCCACAAATACTGTGCGTGCGTTTTCTCCTCCTCAGGGTTCTCTGAGTAGCGTTGTCTTTTCTGTAGCTGACTGCATCCATCGTACGAGTGCAGTAGGTAATACACGTAGCATACGAAACATGTGTCAACGGACGATGTTACTAGTAAGGCTTCTGGTCGGTAGTGGGCTATTAGAATTAAGGTTCGGGGGGACTGAAAAGTTATATGTGAATTTTCAAGCAGAGGATCAACACCCCTAACCCCTGTGTTGTTCGGGGGTCAACTGTATTATGCTTTACCTCTATCTCCTCACTAAAAGCCTTCCCAAGTCTCTGCCAGATGGCGTATGAGTACAGGTTGCGCTGCTAAAACAGAGAGACCCAAACCATGGTGGCTTTGTGGAGACGGAAATGTATTTCCGTCTAAGAGCTGGCACGGAAGGAAGCCCTGCTTTCGTAACATCATCGGGGTCCGGGCTCCTTCCACCTGACTTCTCTCCTGTGCCCCAGGGGACTTCTACCTGTGGACCTAAAGGCCGTTCCAGCTTTTCCCCCATCACAGGGCCACTGGCCCAGCCCACAGGAAGGAGGGAAGAGCGGGAGGGTGCTGCCCTCTAGGGAAGAAACCTGGAAATAGCACACAGTACTGTTCTCAGCCACACCCAGAAGCAAGAGACGCTGGGACCGGTTGGTCTGCAGCTGGGCCCGGGTTTTCGGCAGAACACTCTGCGGCACAGCCTCTCCAGGGAGAGCAGATCCCGGGGGACAGCTGGCCGGCGCTGCCACGGGCACTTGGATGCCCGTCGCCGTGAGAAATGAGCGGGCGAGGCCCCGTGCAGCAGCGTGCCACCCCGCCCCGCGCACCAGCTCAGGCGGTGCCCTTCCTGGTGCTGTCACTGGTCTTATCCTACAGGGCGTGCATCAGAGTTTGTCGATAAACGTCAGTATGGTTATTTGGTCATTTGATTTGGGTCTGGCTCCCCCACAAGAGGACAGGGGCCTTGTCCCTTCTGGCCCTCCGTTGTGTCCCCAGTGAGCCAGGCACAAAAGGAGGGGCACAGCCACTATTTGGAAAATGGGGAGGAGGCAGGCTCCTGGCTGCGCGGTCAGGGCAGGCCACCACAGGTGGGAGGGGTGTCACCTGGGGACAGGGACAGAGCCCCAAGCGGTTTTACTGGTCCCACTCAGGTGGTGGAGCCAGCTTGGGGCTTCCAAGTAGGACAGACCTGGGGTCAAATCCCATGTTTGCTAAGCACACAAATCACATTGTGCCCCTGGAGCTGGGTGTGACATGAGGGGCAGCCCCAGGCAGGCATGTCACGGAGCCCACCAGGAAAGCCGACGACACACCTGCTCCGGAAGCCCGCCCCGGGGCAGGAAGCCTTGCCCCAGGATAAGCTTGCCCAACAGCCGCCCCTTCCCTCCCCGCTCCCCGTGTGTGGGGAGTGAGCCCAGACGCCCCCGGAGCCCCACGGCCAGCCCCAGCCCCAGGGGGTCCGCGCGAGGCTCCAGGTGGTCAGCCTCTGGCGGGTCTGTACACAACACAGCCCTGTCCTCCTCCCTCGTTCCTGTTTCTGAACCGTCTGAGGGCAGGGGACAAGCCAGGCCCTCCAGGAAGCGTGGCCGCGGTCTTGCACCTTCGGGCATCATGCTGTGTCTCTGCCTGCTGGGCACCTCAAGCAGGGGGATGGCTGCTGTCCCCAGCCCCTCCTGTGGCCTCACCCTGCGTGCCTGTGCCCCTCACTCGTGCCGGGAAATAGAGGGCGGGGGCCGAGACCCCAGCTCTGGGTCACAGACAGACCTGGCCTCCAACGCCAGCTCAGTGGCACCGCCCCGGACGGACGACCTGACTGACCCCCTTCAGCCTGCGCTTCCTCGCCTGGACTCAGGCGCTCCCTGCGCCCGCCCGTCGGGGCTGTGGTGGGACCAGCGAGGTGGTGTCGCCGTGACGGCCGCCTTCTCCCTGTGGCGACCCGTGGCCATGGAGGCACTAACGGAGCCCCCCTTCCTGCCCCAGGTGGAGAAGGAGAACGCCGAGATCCAGGAACTGAAGCACCAGCTGCACCAGGTGCTCAAGTTCTCGGAGAACAGCCTCTACCGCACCAAGCGGGAGGCCGAGAAGCAGCAGAAGGCGGACTTCCGGGCCTCCCAGGCCCGGGTGGCCAAGATCCAGCAGGACATCCTGCAGCTGCGGTCGCAGTTCCACAACCTGACCATGGAGAACCGGGAGGCGGAGCAGGCGCTGCGGAAGGTGCCCTGGGGAGCGGGCAGGAGGGGACGGTGGGGCCGCTGGGGAGGGGACAGGGAGCAGGGGGGTCCAGCGAGGAGGGCAGGGCTGCCCCAGCCGCCCAGGGAGCCCAGGGTGGGGCCAGCGTCCCTTGGGAGGCGGGAGGGGGCGGCACACAGGCCCAGGGGCAGAGAGACGGGGGTCCTGTGCTGCCGCCCACCCGCTCTGTGATATCGGGCAAGTCCCCCAACTCCACCCGGCCTGTCGGGGGCGGTGAGACCCACCTTGTCCGGAACCGTGCAAAGGAACTGCAGGAACACGCGAACCGCGGGCCAGTCCGCTCCCTCTGAGCCTCTGTTTTCACATCTTTACGAGGAAAGCAGTCAACGGGTCTGAACGGATTACTCTGGGGGCTAAGGGAGACGGCAGGCAGAGGGCTGGTGCGGAGCGGGTGGGTGCTCAGTGAGCAGGTGGGTGCTCAGTGAGCGCCGTCTCCCCACCTGCCTTCTCCGCCGTCTGGCCAGGAGCCAGGCCCCGGGCGCCGCCTGCTTCTCAGCCCCTTTCCCCACGAGGGACCCCTCTCTGTAACACTGGTTCCCGGTTCCATTTATCGTCACGACTCTTTCGAGCCTCCGATGGAAGCTGGGGGCCTCTCTCCCATAAAAAAGTCACGGTGCATGTGCACACCAGTGAACAATCCTGGGGGGTCCCAGGCCCCTCCCCCCGATGCCAGCCCGTCCATGGTGCCCAAGCTAAGAACCCCTGCTCTGCAGGATTAGGAAGCTGGTTTATTATCCTTTTTAAATTCAGGTGAAATTCACGTAGCATAGAATGAACCGCTTTAAAGCGAACGGTTCGGGAGCGCTTGGTGCACTCACTGTTGTGCAGCCACCACCTCCGTGTTCCCAAACACTTTCATCACCTCAAAATAAAAGGCCTCACCCATTAAGTGGTTCCCCCCCCTGCCCCCACCCTCCAGCCCCTGACAGCCACTAATCTGCTTTCTGTCTCTATGGATTAGCCTGTTCTGGACACTTCACACAAAAGGAACCACAGCCTACATGGCCTTTGTGGCTGGCTGCTCTCACTCAGCATCACGGTTCCAGGGCTCATCCACGTGGTAACACGTATCGGCACTTCGTTCCTTTAAAGGCTGAGTAACACTCCATTGTGTGGACTGGAGCTGATCTTTTAAAAGCAAAGCTAGGCCGCAGCGACCCTCCAGTGCCTCTAAATGCACCCAAAGGCTTCCCCTCCCCCTGCATCACAACTTCCCCTGGGGCCTTGCCGAGACCCCGCCTCCGCTCAGCCCCTTCCTTCCAGCCACACCCACTCCAGTTCTCTCCTTCAGACACCGCAGGCGTGTTCCCACCACGGGCCCTCTGCATCTGCTGCTCCCTCTGCTTAGAATGCGCCGGGGCCAGACTGCCGACTGCAAATCCAGCTCTGCCACTCATCAGCTCTGTGGCCTTGTGGCCTTGTGGCCTTGAGACTGTGCGTTAGCGCGCTGATCCGCAGTGTCCTCGTGTGGGACATGGAGGGGAGCCTGCCCCTCCCGCGTGGACTCACAGGCAAGGCACACACAGCACCCACCACAGGGCCGGCCGACGCAGACTGTGCTCGGTATCGTTTATTGCTGATACTAGTCCGACAAACCACGGCTAAGAGGAGGTTTTTTATTTTTTATTTTTTAGAAGAAGTATAAAGTGGAGACGGAAATTGAGAACTGGATCCAGAAATACGATTCGGAGATGGGTGAAAAGCAGGTATTGTCGCTGCACAAGTCTCTCTCCAGTGTGTTTCCCAAGATCCTCTAGGAATGGGGGGATGGGAGGGGAGGCCCCAGGGTGGTGCCTGGTCCCAGCCAAGTTCTGGGCCTCCCGGGAGAGGCCTTGGAACACCGGCCCACAGCAGGCCCTCCCCTGCCCCTGCCTCAGGCTCAAGGGTTTGTCTAGTCTGGGCGGCGAGGGGAGAGGTGGGGAAGGAAGGATCCAGAAGCTGAGCCACTGAGGAGGGCTCGACAGTGGGCCCGAGGATCCCGGCTCCACCTAGTGTCCACATCGCACACTGTCCGCGCCTCCCCGGCTCAGCTCTTGCCGGCACCCAGGCCAGGGCTCAGCCACCCCCCCCAACCCCGACTCAGACACCAGCTTGCCTGTCCCTCTTCGCTGCTCAGGCAGGCTCTTGGACACGGCAGAGAAGAGAGGCCCCACTATCAGTCGGAGGTTCTTCTCCGGTGTCACTTACCAGCTGTGTGACCTTCAGCAAGGGGCTTGACCTTTTTGAGCCCTTTCCCCCGCACACGACCTGCAGAGGCGGTCACACCCGCACCGGGGCCTCCGCGGGGGTGCCACGAAGCACCAAGTGCCTGTGCTCGGCATGAGTCTGGCCCGGAGGAAGTGCTCAGGGGGTGGCAGCCTACGATAAGGCGTGTCCTCAAACCCTCCCCCAAACTCTGCGACCCTCTCGGTGGCCCACGGCCTGGGCTTCGGGGCCAGGGAAAGGAAGCCTGGTGAGCAGCGGAGGGGACGCCAGCCTGTGCGTGGGCCCGAGTCCGGCGCGCCGCTCCGGGAAGGGCGCGTCGGGTGGGGGCGGGCTGGCTGAGCATGCGCGCCCCGGGGAGGGGACACCTCGGAGGCCGTGCTCTCGTTTCTCCGGTCCCAGTGACGGGGGTGCCTGCCTGGTCAACTCGGCGTCCTCTGAACGGGCTTCGCTTCTGGTGGACGCTTGGCAAACGCCGGCGGAAGGGAGGCTGCCGGCAGGCATAAGGAAGAACCGCGGGCCCCGGTTGCCGGAGCAAGTGCGACTCGCCGTCCCTTTGTGAATCGGGCGGCCTCAGCGGCAGCATTTTCTGTGTCCTCACGTGTGCCTGGCACGGCACCCAGGCACTGTGGCCATCCTGTCATTTAATCCTGGCAACAGCCCCCACCCCGGCCCCCCCCCCGGGTTCGGAGCAGTCCCCACGTTTCAGAGGAGGAACAATGAGAGCCGGAAAGGGAATCCTGTCCAGGCGCCGCTGCGCCGGGGTCGCCGCTCCCTCTGGCCTACCCACAAGCTGTGTTTTTTCCCCAGCCATTCCCAGAATTATTTCGCTTGGCTCCCGCCTGGAGCCAGGGTGGATCCCACCACCTCTCCCACTCTCCTCCGGGCCTCGGAGGCAGGAAGGTTTTAGTGCCGGCGGCACTGCGGGGGCGGAAGCCCCTTTGGGAAGCGTGGGAGTGTGTGCGGTGGAGGCGGAGGGCAGGCCCGACTCCTGGTGACCCCTTGACCCCCTCCAGGAAGAGTACGAGGAGCTGGACATCATCCACAAGGAGGAGCGGGCCCAGCTGGACGAGCTGAAGCAGAGGCACGACGTGCTGGTGGAGGAGTTCGCCCAGATCCGGGAGGAGCGGGAGATCAACTCCAAGAAGCGCATGGAGGACGAGCAGGAGCTGATGCGCATGGTGCGGGCCGCCACGCTCATCCAGGCCGTGTGGAAGGGCTACCTGGTCCGCTCCATGCTCAAGTCCAAGAAGAAGAAGCGCGGCAAAGGCAAGGCCAAGGGCAAGGAGAAGGCCAAGGGCAAGAAGGCGGCCAAGGGCAAGAAATGAGCCCTCCTGCCCCACTCCGCATCCAGGCCGGAAAGCCACTGGGACAGGGAGGCCCTGTCATTATGGTTTGAACAGTTTTTCAAAATTAAAAACCACTTTAAACCATACCCTATAAATAAACCTCATTTTATGCAGCGCTGTTGGCTGTGCGCACGTCCGTGTCTGCAAACGTCATTTCCGTGAGGGGAGCACGCAGGCTGGGTGGGTCCGCCCGTAACCACGCCTTCCTTCAGCCTCCATGGGGGGCCGGCCCGGAAGCTGCCATGGCCACGACGGCCACCTCACCCACTAGGATGGCTCACGGGGAATGCGGGGCAGGCAGAGAACGCCAGGAGGGACAGGGCTTCAGCCCCTGCCCTGGGATGGGCCCTTTGCCCACAACTTCTCCCCCATCCAGCTCTGTGAAAGCTCAGGCGTCCCAGGATCGGAAACCAGCAGCCTCGCATCGGCTTGATTTGGTGCCCAGGTAGTCGAATAATGTAGCTTTTTAAAATTCATTGTTGGCATTGACAAAAATCAGGGGCCACCCACAGAAATCCAGCTTCCTGCCTTCTCTGGAAACACCTCGTTTAGACATGCTGGGCCTGAGTGTCTTGGAGAACTGAGCTGTAGCACCGTTAGATGGCAGAGGCTGCAGGCTGCCCTAGTCTCCACCGCTCCCAAGTGTCTTCCCAGACGCCATGGCCTGGAGTCAGTGGCCCCTTACCATCACACTCCGGCTGTTGCCTCTCTTTCAGTCTAGTCAGGAGGAAAGAGGTATTTCTGGCCCATGTCTACTAAAATGGGAGGGGGTAAAGGCAAATGAAAGCAGAGAGGGAGGGAACTAATTTTTTATGAAAAGGTCTAGAAAGTTTCAACATCCTACATGTTTAAAATGCAAAGTGTTTGTGCCAAGAGAGCAGCCGACTCGCTGCCCTCACGCCCCGCAGAGGTGTCTGTCCCACCGTCGGCCCCTGCCAGACTGCTATCCAATTGCAATGTGTCAGCCCTTCCTTCCCTTCCGGTGATGGGGCTTCCAGTGGGCTCCTGGAATCCCTGGGCTCCCTGGAGGTGCATCAGGAGGAAACGGGGACGAGGCGAAGCCCAGCGCCCAGGATGCTGGGGTTCTGCGTGCAGCTCCACCTGAGCAAAGGGTCTGCCGCTGTTCGGAAGCGGCCTGACCCGGGCGGTGCAGCTGACAGCAGGGAGCAGGGAAGGCACACCCCGACCCCTCGGGCCTCGACTCTGAGCGCTCTCCAGATGCGTGTGCAACTTTCCGGTCTTGGGCCCCTCCACTCGGTGAGGTCCTAGTCACTGTGTTTTGGTTTTGAAAAGGAGGGAAATGTACGAAACTCGAGCCCCCATTCTGAGCTCAAGAAGAACCAGCAAACCCATGCACCCTTGAGTGGGTGGTATCAGCAGAAACCGATGAGGGGAGGGGCCCAGGGCTGCTTGAGGCCAGGCCTGCGTTCTGGAACTTCGGTCACCCACTCACCACTCCCATGGTTTCTGCCACTTGTTATGTTATTTAACGTTATTTTGATCAACGCAGGGGGAGACTTCCGGTCAAGATGGCGGTAGAGGCTGACCTGGCTTGCTTCCTCCCACAACCACATCAAAATTACAAAAATTACAACCAAAACGGAAAACAACCATCACTCAGAACCGTCAGAAATTGAGTTGAATGGAAGTCTGACAGCTAGGGAATTAAAGAAACCACATCCATCCAGACTGGTAGGAGGGGCGGAGACATAGAGTGGGCTGGTCCCACATCCCTGTGTGGTGGGTAAAAATCTGGGAGGGGTAGTGCTCCCGAGCCAAGGGACTCCTTTATCTTTAACCTCATGAGAAGTAGGGGCCTACCACCAAGACTGCTCTCCCCGGCAGAGATACCATCCAGAATCGAAAGGGAGATAAAGCGCTTCCCAGAAAAGAGAAAACCAAAGGAATTCATCATCACCACACCATTATTATATGAAATGTTAAAGGGACTTATTGAAGAACAAGATCAAAACTTTGAACAATAAAGTGGCCATTTGAATAATATGGCAATACTAATGTCATATCTATCAACAATTGAATCTAAGAAACTAAGCAAACAAGAACAGAGAGAATCATGGATGCGGAGAGCATTCTGATGGCTGCCAGATGGGAGCAGGGTGTGGGGGAATGGCTGAAGACGTGAGGGGATTAAGAGGCACAAACGGATTGTTACCAAGTAGCCATGGTGATGTAAAGTGCAGTATAGGAAATGGAGTAGCTAAAGAATTTATATATATGACCCATGGACATGAGCAATGGTGGGGGGATGGTCTGAGGGAGTGGGGGGTGCTGGGTGGAGGGGAGGCACGATAGAAAAAATTGGGACAACTGTAATAGCATAATCAATAAAACATAATAAAAAAACAAAAACACAAAGGGCTCTTTTGGAACAACAGAATAAGTGAGTTTCATACTCACCAAAATAAATAAATAATAAAATAAATCAACTCAGGCCTAACACTGGCCTTTCCACTAGGAAAAAGAAGTTAGTAAAAGTCACGGTTTTGATGAGCTACTGACATATTTAATACATGAAAATAAATACATGATTATTGAAATAAAGTCGGCCCACGTCCCACCCAGATCCTCGTGTCCTGCTGCGGCCCACACACCGTCCCCGGGAAGCCCCCCTCCCAGGCCTCCAGACCCCACTGGAAACTCATCCCGAGCTGGGGGTTTGGCTTGAGGGGGCGGGGGAGGGGGGGCAAGGAACACTCCAGGTTGGCGACCTTTTACTCCTACTTGGCGGCAAGACAACGTGTGGGGGGGAGGGGGAGCGCCCTCCCTGGGGGCGTCCCCGGGTTGGCACCGAGACAGCTTGTGGCTACGATGGGCCCGGAACAGGCACCGCACACGGTGGCCACACAGCCACCAGAGGTTGTCAGGAGAGGGCGGGCCCAAGACCACCCTCGCTGAGTCTGCCTCCACGGGAGCTTCCCCAAAGCCCGCAGGTCTCCCCGGAAGCCCCCTACCTGGGCCATCCTCTGAAACAGTGGTCCCTGCCGTGACGCCCCCGGGGAACCTGATGAAAGGGCCAAGGAACTCACTTCCAAGCCCTGGCTGGTGTAGCTCAGTGGATTGAGCTCCGGCCTGTGAACCAAAGCATCGCAGGTTCAATTCCCAGTCAGGGCACATGCCTGGGTTGCAGGCCACGGCCCCTAGCAACCGCATATTGATGTTTCTCTCTCTCTCTCTTTATCCCTCCCTTCCCTCTCTAAAAAGAAACTCACTTCCAAGGGGGCTTTGGTTTCTGGGTGGCCCCGCCTCGTCGGGGGGTAGCTGGCACAGAAACACTGCCTGAGTGAGCCCTGGGGGTCACCAGGGGGCTCCGGAAGGTCACCCCCAGCGAGGAAGGCCTGGGATCCCGAGGCCCATTGGTGTGGGGGCCACTGGTGGGTGGGCGGCCAGTGGCGGGGACAGCCAGGTGGGTGAGGGAGTGGGAACGCTCCCGCCTCGCTGGGCGGGGAGAATCTAACACACCCCTGGACGACTGCCCAGGGTGGGAGTCCGCCCCTGCCCTGGGCTCTGTCTCTGAGGGACCAGCTGGGTGAATGGCACGCAGGGGGGTCTCCCTGGGGTGGGGTGAGTGGCCCCTAGGGGTTGCCGGGGGTGTCCAGCAGAGGGCATGGAGTTTTGCAGCATCCCCCTTTGCCATCCAGGGGGCCTCCAGGCCGGCGCCCGCTGGTCGGGAGCCAAACAGTGACTCATCACAGTAAGACGGAGTGTGGCTGATCAGCCTGGCAAAGGGAAGAGAAACACAGTGAGCCCACAGAGGGAACAAACCCTGCAACCTTAACCCCTACCGACCCACCCCACCCCCGCCAGGCATGTGAGAGGGCTACCTGTAGATCCCAGAAGTCCCTGTCCCAGCCTGGCACCCACAGTGAGGCCACGGCCCCCACATGTACCACTACCCTCCATCTGTTATTTTGCCCCTGCCAACCATCCAGTCCCCCCATTCCCTGGCATGTGCTCCAGGCCTGGTCATTTGCATATTTCACCCACATGACCCATTCTGTCCAATGAGAGTCTGTCTTAGGACCTTTGCTAAACTACTGGATAGTTTTTCTGTCTCCTGGTCTTGCAAAGCTGGCAGACATAAGGACAAAACAGCTGGTGGCCATCTCCTCTGGTATGAGGTGGGGGAGCTGCTCGAAGATGAAGACAGAATCCCACCGACAGTCTGAGCCCCTGTTATATAAGGCCCAAGTTCCTTTTTCTGCTGAAACCAGTTTGGGGTAAGTTTTCTACCACTTGCAACCAAGAGTCCTAATTAACATAATATTAGTTTTTATAGCCATCATTTTTTCTACTAACCTCCCCTTTTCCTTTGTCCTAGCGGCCTTATCAGCTGAAACCTTTGCAGTTATATGGCCCCCCCGACTTGAAATTTTTTAGTATTTACTGATGGCTCTTCCCACACACGCCCTGGACTCAGCATGTCACATACGTCTTCTCGTTATTTCTCACAACGTCCGCAGAAGGGCGATACTCACAATCCTGTTTTACAGATGAGAACACCGAGGCATGGGGAGGGGGAAGCCCCGCAGCAAGATGGACGGAAGGGACAAGATTCAAATCCAGCCTGGCTGCAGGACCCCAGCGCTCAATCGGGAAATTAGACACACACACACACACATGCCTCTGAGGCCTCTCCTCAGCAATTATCATGATGTTTCAATGACTCCCACAAGTATTCAAGGCAAACCTGTGAGGTCCATGGTTTCTGGCCAGGACTGCAAATGCTCAAATTGGCAAACTTCAAGTCTTTGGAAAGCCAACCTTTTGCCACTGAACTTCTCAAACCGTATCTCATTGAAGCACGTCTGTCTGGTGCCACAGCCTTTCCTCAGTATCACCTCTCTACCTCTCGTGCGCCTTCTCACGCGGCACCCTCTGCTTGTCAGCATCCAGCACAAAGCCCCATCCTCCGGGAGGGCATGGCATTCACTGTAACCTCCCTCGTCATGGACACCATACTTCTGTTAACATGACCTCACATTTATTGGAGCGTTTTCTGTCACATTGTAGGTGTCACTGCTGCTGATGTCAGGGTGACCCTTGTCAGGCGGTGGCCCACAGATCCTGTCAGGAACATCACCCTCAGCCTGACATCATAGTAACAAGTCTTGCTTTTATCTCGTTGAACTTTATCTCCTTAAATCGGGATCATGCCCTTTTCTGGACTCGAGGATGCCCCTGCTGGTTCAGCATGGATCATACACATGATTGGCTGGTTGTCAGGGACTGAATTGTGTCCTCCCAAAATGCAGGTCAAATTTTAGGGAGGGAATTAAGGTTCAGCGAGGTCATGGGGGCGGGCCTGTTTAAGAAGAGACACCAGGAGTTCACACACTCAACAGAGGAAAGGCCACGAGAGGACACAGGGTCAAGGTGGCCATCTGCAAGCCAAGGAGGGCTTTGGGAGGAACCAACCCTGCTGGCACCTTGATCTTGGACTTCAAGTTTCCAGACTGTGAGAACGAATTCTGTTGTGAAGCCCCTCAGTCTCTGGGATTTTGTTCTGGCGGCCACCATCGATTACTCACCAGTTTCCCGCATCTCGGTCCAAAGCCCTGATAAAGGAACCAGGAGCCCTGGGGCCCACCACTAGGCACCTCCTCCCGGGCTGCTGTTCATCTGGAATAATCCAAATAATCTAAATCTAACCTATGTACTACTTTATAACCATTAGCGTGAGCTTCTGTTTTTCTAACTTGTTCGTGAAAACGCAGCAAGAACCATTTTCAAAACGACTTGCTGAAACCTGCAACCACCGCATCGCTGGCATTTCACGAACCAACCACACTAACAATCTTATGCAAATTGCTCTGTAATCTTGGACCAATCCTGACCTCTCTGGGCCCCAGAAGCCACTCTGTGACATTGCAGGATGGGTATTCCACCATCGCAACCATCATCACTGCCCTTTATCCAGAGCTTTCTAAGTGTCAGCCAAGCACAGTACGCACCTCACCTCATTTAATCCTCTCAATAATCCCACTAAACCCCATTTTCCATGCCAGGAAACTGCTGCTCAGGTAGGTCAAGGTGCTTGCCCAAGGTCACAAACAGCATGTGACCCGCACGGCTCTAGCAGCAACCTAGGTGGCTGCCCTGGGTGCAGCAGGGCACCTGCCCATGCTGTTACCTGTACTTGTTCTTCTTCCTCGGTGTGAGGGTTGGGGTGCTGCCCCTGGAGGAGGTGGTCTCACAGCTCCCCGAAGCCCGGGAAGCCTCTTTGCCCATTCCTTTGGTTCTGTTGGCCTTCTCCACCCAGGGTGGGTCAAAGTCTGGCGGTGTGGTCCGGGTGCCTGAGGGGCTGCCAAACAAAGTCTCATCCACGTATGAGGCCCTGGCCTTGACCTGACAGCCGCCCCGGCAGCGGCGCTGGCGGTGAAGGGTCTGCATCCCACTGATGGCCAGCTCCACCGGGGTCTTCATGCTGCCCATGGTCCCAGGTGACAGCAGGCATGCTCTGCCCACCAGGCCCTGCCTCCAGGGCTCCCTGTGAAAAGGGGGTCAGGGTACCATCCCTCTGTCATGGGCAGTGCCACCACAGAGAGATTGGTGGTCTCTTCTGTCTCCATCCCAAGGGCAAAAGGGTCAGGTTCTCCCTCAGGGAGTTCTCCTCAAAAGGGAACTGCCAGCCTCTGGGGATGTTTCAGAAATTTGTTCGACAATTTTTTTAGTTGTAACAGTGGTGGGGAGAGGGGTGCTACAGGCAAATATTTAATGAACACGCATTCTTAGCATACCGTACATGCCATACAAATATTGACAGAATGCTAGAGGCTGAAGCAGAGATGGGGCGTGTGTCCCTTTTGGCACCAACCCTAAAAATCTGGTCTGGGAAAGACAGAGAAAATCCCTATACCCTGTGTGTATTTACGGGGCAGGAAATAATCAGTTTCAATCTCATGCCTACCTCCTTCGAAGACCTTTAGAAACATTGTCTCATTTAATCCTCCCATCGGACGTGTGAAGTAGCTTTACACCCATTGTACAGATGACAAAACTGAGGCTTCAAACGGTGACATCACACGTGTAAGTTACAGCTACAAAGCTAGAACAAAGGAAGAGGAATCTGAACCTAACGAACCTGACAGGAGTCCAGAGTGTGTGCACTTCACCATTCTACGATAGGGGATCACGCCCCCCCGCCCCCCCCCCACCGCAACTGCCCCACATGCCCCGATCCCCAAGTCAATTTCCGGGCTGATGTCCTAGGATCCTGCATTCTTGAGTTATTTCCTACCTGAGCATCTTGGCTCCCAGACGTCGGTCGCTGGCTGTAACCCTCAGTGCTCCCCCCACCAGGTCTGGACTCCTCTGGAAGGGTGCTCGGGCACCCGCGGCGCGCGGTGCATCCGTGATCCCAGTTTATCCGGGGCACGGAATCCCGGAGGCCAGGACCCTTGGCTGCTCAGGCCGTCGTGGGTCCCAGTCCGCAGCAGCGCGCGGATCGACTCACTCCGGACACCCAGGCCCTAGCGACGTGTACCTCGAGCGCCCATCAAACAGCAACTAGCCAGCGTCGGGGCGGGGCGGCGCGGCGCGGACGGAAACATTCGGGCGAGAGGGGGGGGCGCCAGATCCAGAAGCCTCCCGAGTTCTTCAAAGCCTCGCAGAGGGGCCTCTCCCACAAGTCAGAGGAGTGTGTGTACTCACTCCATGCCTTCTGGGGCTGCAGAGGGGCAGGGAGAGCCGTCGGAGCTGCGTGGACGCGTCTCCCCCACCCCCGGCCGCGCAGTGGTACAGCCTCGTAGGCTCCGCCCCTTCCCGTTTTCGCTTGCCGGGTCCGCATGGCAGTCGGAAAGCACCCGGGGGCCAGACCGCGGTCCGGACCTGCCATGGCCCAGCGGAAGAAAAAGAAGGGGCTTAAGAGGCGCCGGGGCGCAGCCTCCCAGGCCCTCAGTAGCGACTCGGAGGACGGCGAGTTTGAGATCCAGGCGGAAGATGACACCCGGGCTCAGAAGGTAGGAGCGTGGCGCTCGCACACAGGTTGGCGCCCGAGCCCTGGCTCCGTGCGGCCCTCCCCCGACCCCCACGCGACCTCAGTTTCCCCACTACCGAGGGTGGGGAGAGGATAGCTGGCAGGGGTCAGGGGCACGATCGCCGGTCTGTGCCGGTGTGTGTCTCGGGGTCCATCTTGCCCAGGGTCTTGACGGCCCAAGCCACTGAGCTCCAGAGCCTGGGCCCTGCGCGTCTTCCTGGCCGGCTTTTGGTTGAGCGCTCCTCATTGGCTACCTCGTATTCAGGGGGCGGGTCTAGTTCTCATTCGCCCAATGAAAAGTGCGGGTGCTGAAGATCGGACTTTGAGAGTTTAGGGGATTATTGAGAGATTGAATTAAGGGGAGTCTGGATCTCGTAGCTTGGGGCGGCGATGCCTCCAAACCTCTGGGAAACTAAGTAATAAATTAAACTTGGATTTGTGGACCGTTTCCAGGCTCGGTGCGGAGAGCTTTAGGAGCCTTATCATTTAATCCTCACACCAACCCCATGAGCTAAGTATCGTCACCCCATTTTCCAGAGGAGGAAAACTGAGGCCTAGATTGACAAAGGAACCTGACCAAGACCTCACAGCTTGTGAGTGAGAGAGCCAGGATTCAAACCCAGGACTCTCTTGTGCCAGGGCCTGTGCTATGTCCACTACTGAGTGCCAACTGTATGCAAATGGGAGGGAGGTCTGTGCCCAGCGTGCCTGGCGCAGAGCAGCTCTGGGTAAGTAGATGAATGAGTGGTGTTTATATGAAGAATGGGGTCTACACTCCTCCAAGGCAGGGACCGGACTCCATCCCACTGTTTCCCCAGCCTGGCAGGTGCTTGGCACGTGGTAGGTGCTCTGTAAACGTGGACAAACTGCTGGAGATAATGAACAGGAGGCCGGAGTGCTAAGCGGCGAAGGGGAGCCGGTGCATGTGGACCAGACCAAGGGCTTTGCCCTGGCTCCGCCCTGTGCTTAATGGAATAATGGAGAAGCTGCTTAACCTGCCTGAGCCACGCCTGTAGACGCCAGAGGTGTCCTTTGTGAAGAAGGCTCATGGTTAGAAGTGCCTCCCAGACTGTGGAGAAGATTAAACGACATGTTTTTATATTCTACTCATTCGGTGTAATGCCAGGCACTCACGTGTTCCAGGCACCTTGTTGTTATGTGTCTGGAGCAGGGCCTGGCAGGCATTTCCTGTAGGGACTGGAGGGTGGATAGTTTAGTCTTTGCGGGGCCCTGTGAGGTCACTGTCTTCTTCATCTTGCTTTGGGTGGTCTTTTAGTAAAGCGCATGCACTGTATGAGACAGGCTGCAGCTCCGACCTAGATGGGGTAGTGGACCTTGGAGAGTCACGTGGACAGAACATAGATTCTGATCCCCCACTGGCTGTCTGTGTGATCTTGGGCAGGTCACATCACCTCTCTGTGCCTCAGTTTCCTTCTTTGTAAAATGGACAAGATAATAGCATCCACTTCCCAGGGTTGTTGTAAGGATGAAATGGAGTAACTTAATGAATGCTCAGCAGCATGTGGGTTAGAGTAAGAGCCATGTACTTTCTTGTCATTACTGTGACTCAGCGGTCCATACATGTTATTTCTGAGCAGACGGGGACAGCTCTATAGGCTGAGAAGGCTCCCCTGAGGAGGCGTCTGGGTTAGACTTAGCTGTGCCAGGACACGTTGGTGGGCAGAGGAGAGGCAGGCACAGGAGAGACCAGAGTTGGGTGGGGGTGATGAGTCAGAAAGGGGGTTGAGGAGGGGGGCGGGGCAGCTTGGAGAAATCTAGTACCTCTCATGCTGTAGATGTGGTGATCGGCTCTCTAGAGCTTTTCATTTCAAGGGCTTTGAACGACAGGCCGGGAGGATGATGATGGTGGTGATGATAATGGTATCGTCACCATTTATGCACTGGGCACTGTTTGAGCCCCACACTTCTCTGTTCAGTCTTCACAACACCCTCTGAAGCGCAGGCCCTTGTCGTCCGTTTCCCCGATGTGGGAACCCAGACTCAGGGACGATTAAGTCTGTCGTGTGAGGTCTCCCAGCCGGTGAGTGACAGAGTTGAGACTGAAACCCAGGCAGCCTGGCGGCAGAGCCCACTCACTCTCTGCCTCGCTGCCCTGGCCTGGCCCGGTCACAGGGGAGCCCTGGAGCAGAGAAGTCCTGTGATCTGGCAGGAGTATCATCAGCTCGAATGGGGAGCAGGCTGACAGCTGGACTGCTCCACCCCCCCTCCACCCCCTGCTGCCTCCAGGGGTCTGATGGGGCCGCCTCTCTATTCCTCTCTCCCAGCTGGGACCCGGCAGACCCCTGCCCACCTTCCCTACCTCGGAGTGCACCTCGGACGTGGAGCCGGACACGCGGGAGATGGTGCGGGCCCAGAACAAGAAGAAGAAGAAGTCGGGAGGCTTCCAGTCCATGGGTGGGTGAATGAGGCGCCCGGGGAGTGGGAGGAGCAGCAGCAGGGGGTCATCGCACCCTCCGAGCTCTGCCCTGGGCCCGGCACTGTGCTAGGTGCTGGGTAGATTGAGGCAGCAGGCGACGGGCCTGACACCGTGAGAGGGCAGCTGGAGCTGGACACAGGGCCTCGCTGGTGGGGAGCAGGCGTTTGGGAGGGTTCTGCGGGAGACGGCATTTCAGAACGGGGTGGGGGAAGATGCCGTAGTCAGGCGGGACTGGGATACCCGGCTAGATGGCCATGAGGCTGGGCTCTCCTGCTTGCTCTTTACAGATCAGTAGCATCTGGAGCAAAGCTTTAACTGTTATGGACATTTTTTAATGTTAGAAAGGATAAGAAAGGCTTTCTTTTCTAAGTGTGACCCGAGCGCTGTTGGACTTTTTTCAGTTAGACGTGTGTACGGCAAAAAACACTATAGACTGAGTTGAAGTTTATTTGCAACCTATGGGACAAAGGGTGACTGTCCTTAATATGCAGAGAGCTTTCACGAATCAATAAGAATAAGACAGGCACCCCGACAGAGGCTTGGGTGGACAACGTGGACGGTCAGCTCACAAAGGGAATCAATCTAGACAGCCGGTCACCACATTGAAGATGCACTAAAAACCTATTAAAAAACCAAAGAAAAAGAGCAAATGCAAACATTTATGTGGAGCTCTTTTTGCCTTTCTGAATCACAAGGATAACTGACCAAAAAGCAGCTGCAGTAACACGCGGTACCATCCTGTCTCGGGCCTCCCGCTGTCCTCCCCTCTCCACGAGCCCAGGTCACATGCTGTCTCTCCAGAGGCCACTCCTCCCTCTCATAGGACCTTGTGCCTCATTTGTCCACACCCTGTTTGTACGTGTCCCGGGCCCTTGTGCATGACCCCTTTTTCTTCCAGTTACGTATTTCACACATATAGGTAGAAAATAGCGGACAGTGAGTCTCTACCTGCCCCTCAGCAGCGTCCACTGTTTTCAGCCCAACTTCAGCCACGCCTCACCCACGTGTCCCCGGCATCCTGGAGGGTTCGGAAGCCGGTCTCCCTGGCTTCCTTATCCAGACTCCCCTCCTTGTACCCCGAAATACCTCCTGCTTATTCAGAGAGAGGCAGGACCTCGCATGCCTGAACCAACCCCACAGTTTCCGGCGTCGCCCAGACCCCCGGTCGTCTCGTGGCGTTGAGAGTGTGTTCGCATCGGAATCCACCGAAGGCTTATGACCCGTCACCCGTAGATTTGTCTCTTAAGTTTCTGTTGGTCTATTGGTTTTGCTCTGTCGCTTTTCTTTTTTTCCCTTGCTATGTATTTGATGACATAAGAGCCGTTCGCCCTGCGCTACTGCTGCACAGGAGTGTGGTGTGCGGTGCCGTGGGGGCTCCCCGGACCCCCTCGGTCACTCCCCTGTCTTCCCCAGGCTTGAGCTACGCGGTGTTCAAAGGCATCATGAAGAAGGGCTACAAGGTGCCCACACCCATCCAGAGGAAGGTATACGGCGGGGATGGCTGGCGGGGCTGGGGGGAAGGGAGGAGCGACTCGGCCCTTCTCTCCGCCTCTTGGCGGACACCCCTTGTGTCAGCTGTCACATCTGTTGCCCCTCTTGCCCGGGAACCTCACGAGCTTGCCTGTTTCACCGGTGTGGGAAGCTGGGCCCGGCAGAGAAGGAGACCCGACCCCGGGCCTCTTCGCCACTTACGGCTGATCACCGCTGGGCCCCTGTGCGGGCAGGTCGCAGGCCACTTGTTATCTCCCGGGGCGCGTGACTGGCGTCCTCAGACATTTAGCTGGGAGGGAGGCATTCCTCTGGGCTCCCGGGGAGGAAGAGTAGTCAGGGAGGTAGAGTCTGGCTCAAGCTGCAGGTAGATGTTCAAAGAGTAGACAGATTTGGGGGCGGTGAGCTGCTTGTCCCCGGAGGTGTGCAAACAAGCTTCGGCAAGAACGGGATCTCATCTTCCCATCCGCCGAGGTCCCCTGGGTCACCCATTCCCCGGGGACTGGAAGCTCTGGATCCCGTGGTGTTTGGGTGCCGGAGCTGACCCCGCCCCGCCCCACCCCCGCTGGTTCCTCTGCAGACCATCCCGGTGATCCTGGACGGCAGGGACGTGGTGGCCATGGCCCGGACGGGCAGCGGCAAGACGGCCTGCTTCCTCATCCCCATGTTCGAGCGGCTCAAGGCCCGCAGCGCGCAGACCGGGGCCCGCGCCCTCATTCTCTCGCCCACCCGCGAGCTGGCCCTGCAGACCATGAAGTTCACCAAGGAGGTGTGTCCAGGCCGGGGGTTGGGGGCGGGCAGTCTGAGCTGGGACCACGGGGGAGGCCTGAGCGGGCCGAGGCATCTGCCCCTCACCCTCTCTCAATCTTTCTCTCCCGACAGCTGGGCAAGTTCACCGGCCTCAAGACTGCCCTGATCCTGGGCGGGGACAAGTAAGAGCCCCTCACCCCTGGCCACGGCCACCCACACCCTTACACCCCTACACCCTCCCCGTGCGAGCTCACCCGGTGCCTCCAGGGCATCAGAGCAATGGGGGAGCCCATGCGCCTCATACCAACAACAGCGAGTTCTCAGCCCATTTCAGAAAAAGCTAACCAGGGAGACCGGCAGTAAAAGGAGGAAAGAAATTTCTCACATGGGCACTGCAGAGGCACTGGGGGCACACGGGTCACCCGGGCGGGTGGTCTGGTTGTGCATGGCTTGAGGTGCCCACTTGTGTGTGTGTTGTTTAAAGCAGGATGCACAAAAACCAAACATGTTTTAATTGCTCCAATTTGCAAAATGTATGTGTCCCGAGGTGCTGGTGCCGCCCTTCCGAGGTGCCAGGCACCACACCTGTTTTCCAGGTGAGCAGACTGAGGTGGCGACAGGCCCGCCCAGGTGGTGGTTGGGCGGCACTGCTGAGATTAGCACTGAGTCTCCCGCTCGGTGCCCCGCCCCTCATCTCACACGTCTCCCTCCCAGGGCAGCCCCTCCCTTTTCCTCAAGGTCACTGCCACCAGTGCTCTCAGTTCCGAGTGTGTTGTGTCCTATGCTCCTTTGTCTGCATTGTAATTTATCATCGGGGGTGTCCCACTTTTTGGTGTCTCTGGGCCACACTGGAAGAAGAGGAGTTGTCTTGGGCCACACGTTCAATACATTGCGACACGTAATCACAAAACGAAAAAATCTGATGTTTAAGTAAATGTACGATTTTGTGTTGGGCTGCCTTCATAACCATCCTGAGCTGCTTGCAGCCCGCAAGCTGCAGATTGGACACCCCCGCCTAGTTGGTGATTGCGAGCAAAGCCTTCCTGGGCTAGGCCTGGCCAGAATTCTGGCTCCTACAGGTGTCCCCAAGGGTGCTTCAGAGGGTGACCGCAGTTAGGGATGTGTGTGCTCCGAAGGTTTAAGAATAAGGACAGAGAGATCCCGGAAGCTGGATTATAGGTGCAGCGGGCAGTTCCCAGGTTGGTTGCTAGGTGGCGCTGCAGGGCAAAGGCAGCCCTGTTGCAATCTGGAGAGAGGAGAGAGTGGGGTGGGTTCCGAGCCTGAGCCCATCTCTTTGTTGTATCAGTCCTTTTGTGTATTTTTGAACTTGTATCTCATGTCAGGGCAGTGCCTTTGCCTAGGATGTCACCAGTAGCCTTTCCCCAGTTGCATGCAAGTCTGGGGTCAGGGAGTGGGACTCACCTAGGCATTTGGTGTGGGAAGCGGGAGGGGCTAGGCAGAGACCTGTACTATCACGCTGACACCTGCCCTTCCCCCTAGAATGGAAGACCAGTTTTCAGCCCTGCATGAGAACCCTGACATGTGAGTTTGGACTGGGGGTAACGCTCTGGGGTCCCTTCCCGGACAGCCAGCGGCTGGGGAGTGAACGCAGGGCTCTGCTGGGGGCCCCAGGTGACCTGGCCTGCGCACCCTTCCAGAATCATCGCGACCCCGGGGCGCCTGATGCACGTGGCCGTGGAGATGAACCTGAAGCTGCAGAGTGTGGAGTACGTGGTGTTTGACGAGGCCGACAGGTGAGGCGTCCGGGTCGGCCCCGAGGCTGGGAAGTGGGAGGGAGGTGGGCCGCCTGGTGGGGAGGGGCTTTGCCAGGAAAGACCAGTGTCCTGGGTCAGAGCAGTGTCTCCCCGGAGCAGGGGAGCTCCCCGGGCCAACAGTTGTTTTTTTTTTGTATCACTTTTGGGAATATTGGGAAGAGGAATGAAACGACACCATGATTTCAAAGTTAGAAGAAGCAGCACAAGGTTGAGGACTCCGGTGGGATCAAATCCCAGCTCTGTGAACTTGGGCAGATCACGGAGGGTCTTGGGGGCCTGGGGGTCGTGACTGCAGAGTGGGGGTGAGACAGCGTGCGCCTCCCAGGGGGCCGTGAGTGCTCGGGAGCCGGTATTTGTGAGGCACTCAGAGCGGTGCCCGGCACAGCAGGGGCCTGTGGTCGCTCATTTCAGCGTGAGTTTGTGGGAAACAGAACAGAGCAGACCCCGGGTTTCAAGGTCGTTATTGCTCAGGGTGACGCTGTCAAGTAGAGAAGAAGGGAACTGAGTTAGAGAAACGTGGGGCAAACACCAGTCCACGTGGGAGGCAGTGCGGTGGGGGCGACGCTGACTGAGGTTGGGAGCTTGCCGGAATGCGAGCCCCGCTCCTGACCCCGTCCTGCCCTCTGTCCTCTGCCCTCTGTCCTCGGCCGTCCCAGGCTCTTCGAGATGGGGTTTGCAGAGCAGCTGCAGGAAATCATCGGCCGCCTCCCTGGGGGCCACCAGACGGTCCTGTTCTCCGCCACGCTGCCAAAAATGCTGGTGGAGTTTGCCCGGGCTGGTGAGTGAGCTCAGGGCAGGGCCAGGGACTGGGGGTCTGGGGGCCTAGGGGCCTGGGGTCCCTGTCCCTGAGTGACTCAACCCTCCACCCTCCTCTCTGGCCCCCCGCAGGCCTCACGGAGCCTGTGCTCATTCGGCTAGACGTGGACACCAAACTCAACGAGCAGCTCAAGGTGAGGCCACACCTGTGTCCCTGTGCAGGGCCCTGCCCAGGGCCTGACAGCCACAGCCACACGACCCCTCTCCCTGCAGACCTCCTTCTTCCTCGTGCGGGAGGACACCAAGGCCGCCGTGCTCCTCTACCTGCTGCGCACCGTGGTGCGGCCCCAGGACCAGACGGTGGTGTTTGTGGCCACAAAGCACCACGCCGAGTACCTCAGTGAGGTGAGAGAGGCTGGCAGGGGCCACACACCTTCCAGCCATCCCCTGGAAACCTGCCCTTCATTAGCTGGGGCTGCAGTCCCATGTGCAGCCACCAGAGGGAAGCACCAGAGCAGGACATGGGCCTGGCCTGGGCTGGGTAATTTTTCATTTTAAACTTTTTATCATAAAAATTTCAAATGCATACTACAGTTAGAAAATAGCCTAATGAACTCCCAGGTACTCAGTTATCAACTCATGGCCAGTCTTGATTTACCTATACTCCACCCTCCATCCAGGTTATTTTGAAGTATTTTCCAGCCATCCTATCATTCTGTAGATTTTCAGTGTCTCATGTGTTTTGCTTTTTAAAAATGAGGTATGCCCTGCATGCATTAAGTTTTGTAAAGTGCTTTATTTTAATCTTACGTGAGCAGCTTGATGAGTTTTTATTTTTTTATTTATTGATTTTTAGAGAGAAAGAGAGGAACACTGATTTGTCGGTCCACTTATTTATGCCTTCATCGGTCGATTCTTGTTTGTGCCCTGACTGGGGATCGAACCCATGACCTTGGCTTATTGGGCTGATGCTCAAACCAACTGGGCTACCTAGCCAGGGCCTTTTTAAAAAAAAATTTCTTTTTTACTTACAGATTTTTAGAGATTGGTGACTTTTTCCATATGTGCACACCCATAACCCTTGGCTGTATCAAAGTGTGGGGGTCCCTGTGCCCCAGAGGCTGCTGGGGCGCCTTCCCTGGTCAGCCACACCTGGGGTCTGTTGTCTGAGGACACAGTTCACTGGGGTTCACGTGTTTGTTACACACCTGACGGCGCTTCCTCCCGGCGTGCAGCTGCCGGGTCACTGATGAGTGACAGGACACCAAAGTAGTGATTTCCGAGAGGCAGTTAACACTTTCACGGTGCTGCCTACGTCTGGGCTGTGTTCTCAGCACTCTATATGCATTAACTCATTTACTCCTCACAACAAAGCTACACAGAAGGAGCTCTTCTCCTCGTTCTACGGGTGAGCAAAAATGAGGGCACAGAGAGGTTAGGTAACTTGCCCAGGGTCAAGGCCCTGCAGCTTGTTCGAGGTCGAGTCAGGGTGAAGCTTCCCACCAGGTCGTGGCATCCCCGCCGTGGCCAGGACGCTCCCCTCCAAGGCCCCTTGCCCCTCTCCCTCTGCCCTGTCTCGGCTCGAGCAGCTGCTGGCGGCCCAGCGGATGAGCTGCGCCCACATCTACAGCGCCCTGGACCAGACGGCCCGCAAGATCAACCTGGCCAAGTTCGCCCACGGCAAGTGCTCCACGCTCATCGTGACCGACCTGGCGGCCCGGGGCCTGGACATCCCGCTGCTGGACAACGTCATCAACTACAGCTTCCCGGCCAAGGGCAAGCTCTTCCTGCACCGTGTGGGTAAGGAGCCAGCCGGGGTGCTACCGGTGGAGAAACCGAGGCCCGGGGACTTGACCTGTAGATCAGGACCTGGGGAGGCGGGGCCTCAAGGTTCTGTGGGGCGGCCTCACTGTTCTCAGGAGGTAGCTCTCTGCTTCCAGGATTCCCAAGTCCTGGGCTTCTCTCCCTTTCTTGCCGTGGTGCTTGATGAGGTGGTCCCACAGCCCCCCCTCCCTGAAGTCCTCTCAATGAAACTGTCCTTGTAGCTCCCTTCCTGGGGACCCTCACACACCGGCCTTTGTGCCTCCCGTTCCACCGCCGCAGGCAGGATCTCAGGCCAGCGTGTTGGGCCCCACCTTCCCGTCAGCCCTCCCAGGCCAGAACACTGCGTATAACCTTCCAGTTATACAAGCAAGACGCACACATAGTGGGCATATTGGAAAACAAAGCAGTGCAGTAGGTCGCACGCTCCTGCCTGGCGACCGTGGTGGCTGTGCTCACCCCCGCCGCCCCGCACTCCCCGCGGGCCCTGGGCCGCCTTTCACGGCAGCGGCTCCTTCTGTTCTCACACCCACCCTGTGGGTGGGCCCCGCACAGGAGCTCCGCTTTGCAGGCGAGGGACCCGAGGCCAGGAGGCTATTGATTGGCCGGGTCTCCTGCAGGTGGCAAGGTGGGGTGGCTGGGACTGGAACCACCTCTTCACTGTCGTGGCCTCTCCGATGACACGGCTGTCACTGTGGTGTGTCTGGCCCCAGCCGTTACCTTTTTTGTTTTTAACTGTGGTAGAGGACACAGAGCATACCATCGCCATGGGAACGTCGTCCGGTGGAACTCAGTGGCACTGAGGACGCTCATGTGGGGGAACAGCCCCCGCCGCTGCCCAGCCTCCAGGCCGGCGGCGTCTTCCCACGTGGGAACCGCCCACCAGACATGACTCCCTGTTCCCCTCTCCCCAGCCGGCGCCACCATTCTGTTTTCTCTGCCGTCTTTTCATTCATAAACGCATTTTTAAATGCTGCTAATTTAATGTGAGAGAAGAAGCTGGGAGGCCAGGGCCTTTGAGCGGTTCTGCCTGTGATTAGATGCCACTGAGTTCTGGCCACCCACGGCGGCCCCCAGAGAAGCAGTTTGACCTCCAGTCAGGGCACAGAGCCCGCCCCCTCCTGGGTGTCCAGCCCCCGGGTCCAGTGACCCTGTTGGTGGCAGCTGGCTGCGCCCCAGTTCCCACTGCCCTGGGAAGAGCTGGCTCTGTGCATTCCTTGAAGGGGCCCCAGAACCCCCAAAGGGAATTTCTCGTGCACCCCATGACCAACAGTGTAAATCGGACCACCCCAAATGAATCTTCCAAGGGTGGTGACACGCTGGTTTTGCAAGTGGCAGCAATGAGCCAAAATGGATTTACCTAACGCAAACTCAGCCCGGCGCTGGCCACACCCCCCCTGCAGCCGCCGCCTTGCGTCAGGGCACGTCACGCAGGTTTTCCTTCGCCTCTGACTATCACTGACGGGTCTCGAGTTGGTTCTGTGAAGGGCTGGAGAATATAAGTACTGTAGGCTGTGGGGGCCGTGTAGGCTCTGACCTTGGCCCTGAAATCGCACGACAGCAGCCATAGACAGCACATAAATGGCCGTGTGCCAGTAAAACTCCACTTACACAAACAGGGTTTTGGGGGGATTTGGCGCCTGGGCCCACTGGCCGGCCCCTGTCCGCTGCTGCAGAACCCCCACCAGGTGGTCGCCAGCTAAGGCACTTCACAAAGTCCCCTTCGGCTGTGCTCCAGCAGCGCCTTGTCGGCTCATGCACTCTCGCACAGGTGACCCTGGTGACCTCCCGTGTCCCCTCCCCTTTTGTAGGGCGGACGCCAGCTCAGTGAGGTGCGGGCTTGGCCTGGTTTTCCTCTGTAGGGTTGGGCCGGAGGGAGTTGTGCTGGGCTTTTGGGGGGCTTTGCTGAAGCCTGACCTCCTCTTCCCACCCAGGTCGTGTGGCCCGGGCCGGCCGAAGTGGCACGGCCTACTCCCTGGTGGCCCCAGATGAGGTCCCCTACCTGCTCGACCTGCACCTGTTCCTGGGCCGTGCCCTCTCCCTCGCCCACCCCCAGGAGGAGCCCTCTGGTGAGTGGAGGCAGGGGCGGGGCCAATGTGGGCGGGGCCCAAGCTGTCGTGGCTTTGATAGGGGCGGGGCTGGACTTGACCCCAGGAGAAGCAGATCCCTACACAGCCGTCCCTCAGTGTCGGAGGTGGGTTAGTTCTAGAGCCCCCTCGGATGCCAACATCTGCAGATGAGTCCCTTATATAAAATGGGCTAGTGTTTGCATATGGGCATCCTCCTATAACTTTATCTCCAGATTACTTACAATGATACAGTGGAAGCTATCATACATAGCTTTCACGGCATACTGTTTCAGTATAATGGTTATGATGCTGAATTGTTTACGGAATAACGACAAGGAAAAAGAAGCCTGTGCGTGTTTAGTACAGATGCAGCCTTTGTAGGCCTCCCTGCGGAGCACGCGTCAGCAGCCACGGGGATAATTCTGTGACGAGCAGGCTGGCGTGGGCCCGGCAGGGAGAGGCGGGGCCTGGGCAGGTGGGCGGGGCGGCAGCCCTCTGACCACGCTCCCTGCGGGGCCTCAGCAGGCGCGGTGGGCGTGGACGGCGTGCTGGGCCGCGTGCCGCAGAGCCTGGTGGACGATGAGGACTGCAGCCTGCGGAGCGCGCTGGAGGCCTCGCTGGAGCTGCGGGGCCTGTGTCACGTGGCCGACAACGCCCTGCAGCAGTACGTGCGCTCGCGGCCGGCGCCCTCCCCCGAGTCCATCAAGCGGGCTAAGGAGCTGGACCTCGCGGGGCTGGGCCTGCACCCCCTCTTCAGTGAGTCCCCGCGCGCAGGGCAGGGGCGGCGGGCGGCCCTGCGGAGCCGAGCCCCGGCCTCACGCCTCCCCTGCCCCCACCAGGCTCGCGCTTCGAGGAGGAGGAGCTGCAGCGGCTGCGGCTGGTGGACACCCTCAAGAAGTACCGCTCGCGGGCGGTGAGTGAGGGCGGGCGGGGACCACAACACCAAGGCCACCACGGTGCGGGGACTCTGACTCAGCGCCTGAGCCCCGGCGGGACCCAGCAGGCGTTTCCGGCTCAGCTTGCAGCGTCTTAACCTGCATCTGCGGCTCTGCCAGCATGCCTAGAGACGCCCCTTTTTCTGGAGCCATCCCTGCTTGTCCACAGCAGGTGCCCCAAGTGGCAGCCATTTCCTCCCACTTACAGATGGGTAGACTGAGGCTCAAGGGGGGAGGACCGAGCTCTAGGCCTGTTAGAGGCCTGAGGAGCTGGCTTTCCATCGCGTTCCTCTCCTTTGACTCCCACGACCCGATCCTGTAAGGAGGGGAGGCATGTGCTAAAGCCGGGGCAGGCCCGCCAGCCGGCCCGCGTCAGGGAAAAGGCGCTGGAGTGGCATGGGTTTTGGAGCCAACTGGACCTGGGCCAAAATCCCAGCTCTGGCTCGTCCCAGCTGTGCGACCTCGGTCAGGTTACTTGCCCTCTCTGGGGCTCCTTTTCTAATGGTGAAACTCCAGTAACGAGAGTACTCTCGCTAGGACTGAGAGTACGCGAGGAGGAATGCCCGAGTGCACTGGCCGGGCTGGTGGGGGCGGAGTCGGGGAGGAGAGGCCAGTGGGTGAAGGAGGCGGGTGTCCCTCCGCAGACCATCTTTGAAATCAACGCCTCCAGCCGGGACTTCAGCAGCCAGGTGATGCGCGCCAAGCGGCGGAAGGACAGCAAGGCCATCGCCAGCTTCCAGCAGGGGCGGGAGGAGCGGCGGGAGCTGCAGGGGCGGCAGGAGGGCCTGGCCGGCCCAGCCCCAAGCTGCTCAGCACCGGAGGAGCGGCCTGAGGAGGAGGAGGCAGCGGCAGGAGAGAGTGCGGAGGTACAGGCCCCCCGACCTGGGGTCCGGGCCTGGGTTTGGGGAAAGGGGTGGGTCAAACCGCAGCAGCCACAGGGCTGTCCCCAAGGCTTCGTTGTCACTGGGGATGGATTCGGGGATTCTGGTCCCCTGTCTGACACTTGTGGAAATCAGCAACTCGGCTCTTAGCCTCCCCGTCTGTAGAATGGGCTCATGGGGCTTGTCCACCTTCCCTTGCCTGAAACCCTAGGGACCAGATGGGTTTTGGGATTCCATATCTTGAGGGTGGGGGCCCGTGTGCCATGTAGCACCTCGGCGGGGTCTGGGGTGTCCCTGCCATCAAATGCACCAGAGCTTCTGCCATGAGACGTGCTGGTCCCCGAACTAACCAGACAGACGGCCCCTTGTGGGCTCCAGTTGGCCTTTGCCACTGAGAGAATTTCAGGAAAGTTCGGTTCCACAGCCCTGTGGACCAGGGCTCTGCAGCCCAGTGACCGGGGGCACCCGGTCCCTGCCCTGCCGGGCAGATGCAGAACAGTGCCCAGTGGATGCCTAGTGGTGGCCCCGTCGTCATCATGTTGGTGGCAGTCTGAGCCCAAGGTCTGGGGCAGGCAGAAAGGCACAGAACAGTGGCTCCTGGCAGCAGTGAGGGCACGACACAGGCAGCGGCAGACGCTGGGCTTTGGGGCCAGAGGCTGGGCTGCGGGACCACGTGGTGTTCTGGTCCCCTGGTGGGCGGGGCTCGGGGCCTGCTCTCCCGCCTTCCTTGCATTTGATTTGCATAGGGGTTCAGCAGCCAAAGCATAACAGTTGAAAGCCCTGGATGAGTCCCTGACACACAGAGCAAGGCCAGGCCCAGGGAGGGCCAGGACCTTGTGTCCGTCACATGGCCTGGGGGACCGTGCTGGGACCGAACAGAGTCCTCCCTGGTTGGCACCTCAGTGCGTTCCCCTCCCCCCCGCCCACCTTATCTGACGCCGCTGGTGCTGGAGGCGGGTTGTGCTGCGTGTGCCGAGGAGGAGATGGAGGGTCCGCCTGGCAGCGCCAAGCGGGACCGGTGTTGGGGCCCGGGGGGCTCCCGGGGGCTGCAGGTGTGACTGGGCGTCCGTCTGCCAGGACGTCTTCGCAGAGGTCGTGGGCCGGAAGCGGCAGCGGCCGGGACCTGACTGCGGAGCCAAGCGGCGGCGGGCGGAGGCCGGGCAGCGGGACCAGGACTTCTACGTCCCCTATCGGCCCAAGGACTTCGACAGCGAGCGGGGGTGAGTGGCCGGCTGGCGTGCGTGCGCGCGCGCGCGCATGTGCGTGGTGGGTGGGGCCCTGCGGCCCCCCTCAACCCTGTCGTGCCTCCCCACTCTCCTTCTGCAGCCTGAGCGTCGGCGGGGACGGGGGCGCCTTTGAGCAGCAGGTGGCCGGCGCCGTCCTGGACCTGATGGGAGACGAGGCCCAGAACCTGACCAAGGGCCGGCAGCAGCTCAAGTGGTGAGTGGGCTCAGCGACACGGCCCTCCCAGGCCCGCCTGTCGCCGCGCAGCCCCGCAGAGCCGGCCTGCGACCCTTGCCTGGCCTGGCCTGGCCTGGCCTGGCTCCCCTTGGGTCCCTAGAGCAGGAAGTGTGCCACCCGCCCCCGCACTGATCCTGCACGGCACGAATTACAGCTTGTGCTGCCCCTCCTGTTTGCACGGGGTCATACATAGTCAGCTTGAGGGACCTCACCCCACCTGCGTTCAGGGCCAGGAGGTGGCAGGGGCGGGGCTGGGAACCCTGTTCCTGACGACCCCCACACGGCCTTTGAGACCTGGGCTACCGAGGCTAGGTGGGGAAGGGCAGGGCGCTGGCCTTCACTGAGCACCTCCTGCATGCCAGACATGGCCGCGCTGCTTCTCTGGAATCCTCCAGCACCCCCGTGAGGGCCAGCGGAGGGAACAGGCCACCCCAGGCCACTTCTGTCCACGGCAGCCCACCCTCCTTCCTCTCCTGCAGGGACCGGAAGAAGAAGCGGTTTGTGGGGCAGTCGGGACAGGAGGACAAGAAGAAGAAGAAGATCAAGACGGAAAGTGGCCGCTACATCAGCAGCTCCTACAAGCAGGACCTGTATCCTTAGGGGCGGGGCTAAGTGCCCATTTCTGTTGGGGGTGGGGCGGCGCTTCCCCAGCCCAGGGGTCTCAGGGCCTTCAGGGTCCTGCAAGCAGCCTCCTTAACGTGGCCGCCCAGCTACAAGAAGTGGAAGCAGAAACAGAAAATCGACGACCGCGACTCCGAGGAGGAAGGGGCGTCGGACCGGCGAGGCCCCGAGCGGAGGGGCTGGAAGCGGGGCCGAGGCCAAGGCCAAGGTAGGACGGACCTCCGCACACAGATGGGCACGTCACGTGGTGGGTGCGTTCGGTCGTCTGGGAACCCGGGCCTCTCTGGCCCTGCCCAGGGCCCTCGGCGGGTGACGGGCGAGGGGGTTTGAACTGGGGTCCACGAGAGCCTGTGCTGGACCACGGCAGGGCCCCGGGCACCCCATGTGCCAGGGCCTCAGGGCTCTGACGGCTCTGAGAGAAGGGGGCTGGAGCCCATCCTGCCCACCACCCTGCCCCCCGCCGTGTGCTGTCAGAGAGGGTTCCCACTGGCAGTGTGAGGACAGGCTCTGCTAGACACTCCCACCCGTGACCCGGTGAGAAGACTGGGGGTGCTCAGCTAGCAGACGAGGGCGCCCACGTGGGTGACGCCCGGGGCTACCCAGCTGCCTGCCGCCTCCCACCTGCGCCTCCCCCGGGGAGAGGGGAGCTCGGCCTGTGTCCTGGGCTCTCCGGGGGGCCTTAGCCCTCCTTGGCCTCTCTCCCCCCCACCCTAGGCCCCTCAGGGCTGGTCCCTGCCCTGTTTGTGTCTCTGAGAGTCTGTGTCCTTCAGCCTGTGGCCCATTCTCTGTCACGGCCACTGTGGCTTGTCCTCCGCCTCACCCAGGGGCCTCCTGTGTCCTCTGCGTGGCCTCCTCTTTGTCCGCAGTGGCACCGCCCCTTTCCCACGGGGACAGGGGGTGGGGTCCGTCTCAGCCACGGCTGGGCACCCAGAGCCTGGCGCAGAGGAGGTGCTCCGTCCAACTCTGTTGAAGTCTTTACCATCGTAATCGCCACACCGAGGAGGCCCTTACTCCAGGCTGGGCCTTGTCCTGAGCACTGGACACGTTAACTCACTGACTTAGTAGGACCCACGAGACAGGTGCTGTTACTCATGACTTGGTGGGAAACTGAGGCACAGAGAAGTTAAGTGACTTGCCCATGGCCTGAGAGTTCACAGCTGGGATTTGAACCCCGGCAGTTCTGGCTCGAGGTTCCGTGCTGTCAACCAGTAGAGCAGACTGCTTACGCTTTATTAAGCACCTGCTCTGTGCCAGAGGCTGGGGCCACAGCGGTGAACACGGAAGGGGGACCAGGGGTGGGGGGGGCAGTCTGGAGGCTTCTGGGAGGAGGAGGAGACATTGGAAGTCGACCCAAAGGCTGAGCTCCCTGGACCCCTGTCCCGGCAGGTGCCCCCCAGCCCCGCGCCCCAGGCGCCCCCGCAGGCCGCGTGCGCTCGGAGCTCAAGACCAAGCAGCAGATCCTGAAGCAGAGGCGCAAAGCCCAGAAGATGCGCTTCCTGCAGCGCGGGGGCCTCAAGCAGCTCTCCGCCCGCAACCGGCGCCACGCCCAGGAGCTGCAGCGGGGCGCCTTTGGCCGGGGCGCCCGCTCCAAGAAGGGCAAGATGAGGAAGAGGATGTGAAGACGACCCAGCCCTGAGGCTCCATGCCTGGCCCAAGTGCGGACGTCAGCAGACGCTCCTTGCGTACCACTGCGTGCCTGTCCCCTCTCTGGGTGTCCGGGAGCTCCCTGCAGGGACCGTCGTCCGTGAAGAGGAGTGCTGTGCTGGCCACGGGGGCAGCAGCTGCCTCTGCCTGAGCCACAGGCGTTTGAGCAGGGTCCTGAAGGGTGCATAGGAGTTCGCCAGCAAGGCCAGGCAGGCCAAGACCTGAATGGGCGACTCAGCTCCTGCTGCTTCCGTGTGCTCCGGGTTCAGAGGCCGTGGCCACACGGGTCTGAGCTGTGACTGCGTGAGGCACATGGTGTGTTCTTAGTGTAATAAACCTCTCCTGAGCTGCAGTCCACTCGAGCAGTTGGAAGGAACAAACCCGGACCCCAAAATCCCAGCTGGTGTGCCGGGTGGGCAAGTCTCGTGTGAGCCCCCAAGGGGTCCCCCCTGAGGGTGGGTCCCCATTTTGCAGATGAGGAAAATTGAGGCTCAGGGGATGGGTCAGTTGCCTGAGGCGGGTGAGCCCCAAAGCTGGCGGTCAGTCCCCTCCTTTTGCCAGGGCAGCCTCGCAGCTGGGCGTGGCCAGCGGGAAGGAGTCGGCTGCAGGGTCCAGGGCGGAGGGTGGGGCTGCTCCTCTCGGGCTGTGAAGGGGTTGACACTGCCCCACCACACACCTGGACATCAGAGCCTGTCCTGGCCTCCGACCTGCTCCGAGGCCTGTGCCCCTCAGCCCCCGTGGGGTCCTGGGAAGGTCAAAGGCAGCTCCAGCAGCTGGGTTATGGAGCCCAAGGTTGCCGAGTGCCGGTGCACCGTGGAGGAGCCTTGGTGAGCAGATGCTCTGGGAGTGGGCATCTGCCCCTGAGACTGACCCTCTCGCTGGTCCCACCGATGTCACTGGACTTACCAAACACTTGTCCAGAATTACCAGGATTTGCACCAGGCCCATTGCAAGCACCTGACAAATACCTGCTTGTCTAATGCTCCCGGCTGCCCTGGACGGGGGGGCCTGGCTCTGGGCCAGGTGGTGGGCGTGGGGTGGGTGCCCCCAGGTAGCCCCGGTGTTTCAAGTGCTCCCTGTGTGCCCCTTGTGTCCCACCGCAACCTGAGTGGGCCTGACCCTCCCCTCTTCAGGTGAGAACCACTCAGCCACCTACTCCCACCCCCCACCCCCGCAGCAAATATGCACCTGTCTCCAGGTGGGGGGTCCCCTCCCCCACTGCTCACCTGGGTCAGGCTATGGGGCGGGGGCCGCAGGCTTGGCCTGAGGAAGGCTGGCCAGCATGGCAGAGCGGTCCAGGATGAACAGCTTCACCTGGGGGTCCCCAACAGCCAGAGTCACACCCCAGCCGCTGAATGTCCAGGGCCCACCCCCAGCGCATGGGATGCTTCGAGGCAGGGGTTGGGGTGGGGACCCTTCTTAAGACATCGAGGCTGGTGGTCCACGGGGGCAGCCACCTGGCCTAAACTGTTCTGGGCTTTTAAAGCCTCCAGCAGCCCTCCCAGTCAGTTCCTTAGCAGGTGCCCTCCCAGTCTGCTGGCTGGCGATCACCTGTGTCATAATTAAATCTGTATTTTCACTTACATCAATTCATTTCCCCCCCTTCTAATTGGGTCCGTCATACTCGCTGGTGTATGACACTCTCATCCTCTCCATGGGTGGCCCTCCTTTGTTTTGTTCTAATCAACTTATTGATACAAACTTAATGAGCAGCCCTGGGTCCACTGCCAAGAACCGGAGCCCGGCGGCGCACCTCCCCGCGGGCTCTCCCTCACGTTTGTCGCGGAGACACACGTCCGAGAAGGAAGCGCTACTTCCACCGAACACGGAAAGGAGCTGGTTGCCCCGGCAAGCGTAGGGGCGACGAGAATAGCCGCGGTGGAAACGGAACCGCGTCACTGCGTTCGCCAGCTGGCGATGCCCCCGGGGTGGTCCCAGGCCGCAGACCAGGGCGCAACAGGGAGGGTGGGAACCTGGTCCCCCCCCACCCCCCACGGAGCCCTTTCTCCCTGCTGGGAGCAGGGCGTCGGTTGCAACGGGACCGGCATTTGCTGTTTCTGCGTATCAAGACTCTGTCCCCCCCCGGTGTCATCTGGGTGCATACCTCGGTCCCCAGGCCCCACCTGGCAGAGCAGCAGTCTCTGTGCACAGAGTCCACCCAACTCCGGATGTGGCGCAAAGCGGGGACCTGGTCGGGATCTCGGCCACAGGCGCAGGACAGGAGTGGGGTGGGTGGGGGGAAGGTGGGGTGCCTCCCTTTGCTTCTCGCCTCCTCCCGGGGGTCATGCTTTGGGGAACCCCCCCCCCAGAAACAACAGGTGTCTCCGAGCTCAGAAACTTCCTCCTTCGGGTGTAAGCCTGGCAGACCTGAACAAGAGAAACTGAGTGTCCTCGGTCCACAGTGACACACACAGCACCACCGTGCAGAAAGGCCACCACCCGGCCCCCCACGCGCTCTCCAGGTGAGCCAGGCCCTCCTGTGTGGGGAGCAGGACGGCCAGGCATCGATTAGGAGTGAGTCTAGAAGATGGAGGTGTAGGGAAATGAGGCCCGCCTCCTCACACAACCACAGCAAAATTACAACTGAAATACAGGACACCACCACTCAGAACCGTCAGAAAGTCGAGCGGTGTTGGAGGTCCGACAACTAAGGAGTTAAAGGAACCGTGTTCATCCAGACGGGTGGGAAGGACAGAGGGGCAGAGAACCGGAGATGCGGAACCGGCCCCCGAACCATGTGCGGTGTGATAAAACGGAGGGGTTATCTCAGGAGCGAGGGATCCCTTCCCCACACCAGACCACTGAGCCCAGGGTTCCAGTGCCAGGGAGATAAGTCTCCACAGCTTCTGGCTGTGAAAACCAGTGGGGGTTGGGTCCGCGGGAGAAACCGTGGGATTCTCAGGCCTCTCCTCTTAGAGGGCCTCACACGGCACTTAGACTCACTCAGACGCACTCCCTCTGGGCTCCAGCAGCTTCAGGGGCGCCAGGGGCACACGGGGAAGAACTGGCGTGTCTGGCGTCGGGGCGAGAGCTGGGGAACAGCTTCCTTGGCCATTGCACCTTTTCTGAGTCGTCCCTCACACAGTGCCGCAGTGCAGCCGCACGGTATCTGAGTCTCCCTCAACCCGACTCAGGTGGTAAGCCCCGCCCTGACAATTACCTAAGGGTCCGCCCCATCCAACATAAGGGCCCACCCAAGCAACCCTCCCACTCTGGGAAGAGTGGCTTTTCCATATGGACCCCTAGCCCAGCCCTTCCTAAATCCTCTCAAACAGGCAACAGCTGAACCCAGCCCCATACCCCCCCCCCCTCGCTGAGTGGCCCCAGGCCCGGCCCTAGCAGCAGCCAGCTGCAGATACTTTACAGCTTTATGCTAAAGGGTCCCGGACAGAGCACAGGTGGAGGCTGACCTTGGCCTGCACCCGGGAAACCCCAGAGCCTGTGCCTCCAGTGGATAGCTACAGGCCACGTCAAAGCGCCACCCAACACCTCCACAAGCCATGGAGGGAGGAGGTTGCTGGCCAGGAGTCACAGCCGCTCCTACTAGCTGTCTAGCCTGGATAGATCCCTCTCATTGACCTGCTGACAGCAATGAGGACTCACCTACAAGAGGAGGGAGTACTCAGCCCAAACAGAGGGAGCACCTCAAGTACCCAGCTTGGGTGATAGGGGAGGCTGTACCACTGGACCCTATGGGACACCTACTACATTAGGCCACATGACCAAGACACAGAGTCAAAGCAGCTCTACCTACTACATAGAAACATAGAAAGGTTGTCAAAATGAGACAAAGAAACATGGCCCACATGAAAGAACAGATCAAAACCCCAGAAAAAGAATGAAACAAAATGGAGGTAAGCAATCTGTCAGACGCAGAGTTCAAGACACTGGTTACAAGGATACTCAAGGAAATCAGCAGGCACGTCAACAGCATAAAAAAGACCCGGGCCGAAATGAAGGATACACTAGTTGAAATAAAGAACAATTTACAGGGAACCAGCAGCAGAGTGGATGAAGCCAAGAATCAAATCAATGGTTTGGAACATAAGGAAGAAAAAGACATCCAATCAGAACAGCAAGAAGAAAAAAAGAATCCAAAAAACCGAGGACAGTGTAAGGAGCCTCTGGGACAACTTAAAACGTTCCAACATTCTCATCATAGGGGTGCCAGAAGGAGAAGAGAAAGAGCAAGGCATTGGAAACCTGTTTGGAAAAATAATAAAAAGGAAACTTCTGTAATTTGGTAAAGGAAATAGACATACAAGTCCAGGAAGCACAGAGAGTCCCAAACGAGATGCATGTAAAGAGGCCCACGCCGAAACACGTCATAATTAAAAGGCCAAAGGTTAAAGATAAAGGGAGAATCTTGAAAGCACAAGAGAAAATAAGTTAGTTACCTATAGGGGAGTTCCCATAAGACTGTCAGCTGATTTCTCAAAAGAAACTTTGCAGGCTAGGAGGGATTGGCAAGAAATGTTCAAAGTCATGAAAAGCAAGGACCTACAACCTAGACTACTCTATCCAGCAAAGCTACCAGTTAGAATGGAAGGGCGGATAAAGTGCTTCCCAGACAAGGTAAAGCTAAAGGAGCTCATCATCACCAAACCATTATTATATGAAATGTTAAAGGGACTTATTTAAGAAAAAGAAGAAGATCAAAACTATGAACATTAAAGTGGCAATAAATACATAACTATCAACAACTGAATCTAAAAAACAAACTAAGCCAGCAAGCAGAACAGAAACATTGTCACAGATATGGAGAGCCCTAGGAGGGTGGCCAGTGGGGAGGGGTCTGGGGGAATGGGGGGAAAGGTGCAGGGATTAAGAAATACAAATTGGTGGGTACAAAATAGGCAGGGGGATGTTAAGAGCAAGCGTGGGAAACGGAGTAGCCAAAAAACTTTATATGCACGACCCATGAACAAAGGAGAGGTGATGGCCACAGGAGAAGGGGTGCTGGGTGGAGAGGGCCCTGTGGGGGGTGGGGAGAACTGGGATAACTGTGATAGCATAATCAATTTTTTAAAAAGTAAAAAAAAAAGCCCTGGCTGGCATAGCTCAGTGGATTGAGCGCGGGCTGGGAACCAAAGCATCGCAGGTTCGATTCCCAGTCAGGGTACATGCCTGGGTTGCAGGCCATGGACCCCCAGCAACTGCACATTGATGTTTCTCTCTCTCTCCCTTCCTTCCCTCTCTAAAAATAAATAAATTTTTAAAAAAAATTTTTTAAAGTAAAAAAAAAAAGAGTAAGTCTGGCCCAGTAGGGGCGTGTTCGAGCACTTACAAGAGGCAACAGATGGATGTTTCTCTCCTTTTCTTTCTCCCCCCCTTTCCCTTTCTCTAAAAAAATAAAATTTTTTAAAGTGAGTCTTGACCTGGTTTCTTGTTGATGTCATTTGTTTCTGCTGTTTGATCCTGGGACAAAAGAAGAACTTGGCATAAGCGTACCCGCTGCATGAGCGGGGACACTGAGACCCAGAGCGGCACGACTTCCTTCTGGCCACACAGCAGACGACTGTCAGAACCCAGGCCAACCCAGGGGACCTACGCAGCCGCGGGCCCACGTCTGTGGTGCTAGAATGGCCTCTGATCGCAGAGGGTCGTGCTTAACCCAGAGAGGTGGGATTCCAGGCCCCACGATGTTCCCAAGATTTGGGGGCTGGAGGTGACAGTAGGTACCCTCACCTGCTCCAGCTGCCCCTCGGTGTCCTCGATGTCCAGGGCAGGTGGCTGCCTCTGGTGCTGGCACACTAACTGGAACAAGTTGAGCGTTGCCATCCTAGTGCGTCCCAGGAGCAGGGCCTTCTCAGTGGCTGTGTTCTGGATCTGAACCCACTTGGATTCCTGGAGAACGTCCCGCCCTTTCCCGATTAGGGTGTGTTGGCCGGAGGAGGGCGGGGCCTCATTCCCTAGGGACCCTCGCTCTCCGAGAGGGGGCGGGGCAGGCACCGTGTCAGGTGCTGATAGGACTGGCCCCCTGTGCACCAAAGTGCTTTCTGGTGCCGGTAACCTGCGCGTTAGTGCCGCCCTCCCTCTGGAATAAGTTTCGCCCATCTGTTGTAAGCCCCGGCACTCCATCCCGGCGGAGGGAGTCTGGGCCCTACCCAGTGCAGCGTGCGCTCCCGCGCCGCGTCCAGGCGCTCCAGCAGCTGCGCTCGCCGCTGGCCCTGCTGGAGCAGCTCGTCCTGCCAGGCGTCGCGCAGCCGCCGCAGCCGCGTGCGCGCCTCCTCCAGCTCCGCCAGCCGCTGGCGCTCCGTGAGCTTCAGCTCGGCCAGCGTGTCGGCTAGGGCATCGAAGCGCGCCACTAGCTCGGGGACCTCCTGGAACTGGGATGGGGTCCGGAGAGCGACTCACCGGGCCGGCAGCTCCCCTGCCCTCCCCACCGCCACCTGGCTCTCCAGCGCCTCCTCAGTTAGCCCACCTGTGGAATGGCACCACACAGCCCCTGCTCCAGAAGTGGGTTTACTCCATCCCTGCTCATTAAGCCTAGCTAAACTCGCTGCCTGTGATTACTATTGATTCATTGTCTCATTCAACTAATTTTCACTGAGTGGCTGGATCTACCCGCCCCCGCCTGCCTGTGTGTCCTTGAGCGAGTGTTACCTTCCCGAAGCTCGATTTCCCCATCTGTGCAATGGGGTTGACAATACTATAGGACCCACTGCGCTGGGCCTTGGGGAGAATTCAACAGCAAAGCGCACCCCTGGCATACAGTTAGTGCTCAGTAAGTGGTGAGTCCAGGCATACAACCAGCACTCTAGTAGTGCACCATTCCAAAGGCATCCCTGAGGCCATCCAGCGCTGCACGGTGGTCCTGAGCCCCAGAACTTCTTGCAGGCCACTCACCTCTGGCAGCTGATCCAGCACTTGCTCCAGCAGGCGCGCGCAGGGCTGCAGCCGCTGTAGCCGACGCTGCAGCCGCGCGCGCTCCCGCTGCAGCTCCTCGAGCTGGGCCCGAAGCCGCAGTGCCTCGGCCTCCTGGCGGCCGGCCCGGTGTCGTTCCTCCGCCGCCCTCTGCAGCGTGCGGCTGCGCCGGGCCTCGGAATCCTGGGGGGGGGGGGCGTAGGGGGAGGGACGGAAAGGCGGTGAGGACCCTCAGAGCTTGGGAGCTTGCGGGGCTTCTACCCGGCCCCAGCATAAGCGTGTTGAGCCACGGGTTGCAAATAGACGGCCCGCGGGCCAAACTCAGTAAGAATCCGCTGTGGGGCCCTCGCTCCTCCCCACGGTTTTAAATGTCTCGAGCGCTTCAGACAGTGCGTAGGTATTTCCCAGCGCTTGCCTTTGTATCAGTACACCCATTTTTTAAATGTATGTGACATGTCTGGCCCCTGTAGAATTGCGACTTTGTGACCTTGTGACCTGCCTCCCCCCTCCCCCGCAGGCTCCACCTACCTGCAAGAACTTGTCAAAGCGGTGAAAGGACCCCTTTAGCTCCTGCTGCTTCTGTTCCAGCTGTTCCCGGCGCTCCTGCAGGGCCGCCATGGTGGTCTGGAAGACCTGGGGCGTGAGGAGTGGGCGTCTGGGTGTGTGTTTGAGGGTTCAAGCTATCCAACACTTCTAGGTTCCCATTCACATTCTCTCATCTGTTGTTCCTGATCGTGTCCCTGGGCCTCCGCTCCGATCCCCACGAATGGAGCCCGGTTGCCCTCCTGCAGCCCCTGCGGGTCAGCGTCTTTGCCCTTCCTTTAGGCCACTCCCCTCCGACACTGTCTTCTGGCCACGTGACCGCCTGTGTTTTGTCCTTGCCTCCCAGTCTTGGTATACGCATGCTGTTTCCTCTGTCTCTTCCTTGTCACACTGTCCCCCTTTGCTGGACAAACAAGCCGACTTACCCTTCAGCAGTACCTAAGACACCACTTCCTCCAGGAAGTCCTCCTTGATCACCCCCAGGTGGAAATAGGGGCTTCCTCTGGCTTCTACAGTTCCTTCTCAGTGCTTCCTTCCTCATAGCATCACCAGCTGGACACTGGCCTGTGTCCTTGTCTAGGCTGCGAGCCCCATGAGGGCAGGGACCATGGTGAGCCCCCTGGATCCCACTGCACATGGAAACTCAGTGCACACTAATTTGCACCAACAACCAATCTCATCTGACCCCCATTTGACAGATGAGGAAACCAAGGCTCGGAGTGGTACGATGACTTGTCTCAGAGTTTGGAGCTAATACGTTGGTTCCATTATTTCCCATCCTGAGCTCATCGCCATTTTTTTTTGGTCTGGGGTCCCCCCAAACTCCCAGGGCTACAGTGGGGGCTCACCTCCTTCTGGGCCTGCAGGCCCCGGCCCGCATCCGCCAGCTCCTGCCTCTTCTCCAGCAGACTCAGCAACGGCGGGAGGTGGTCGGGATTCTGTTCCGGGATCTTCCTGGAGGGGCTCAAGGAGGAGGTGGGGGTGAAGGAGGCAACAGCTGGGGCCCCCAACTCCTCCCTAGTGCCTGAAATGCCCTCCTTAGCCACCTACTGGCTGCTGAATTCTCCATTCATTCAACAAATTGCACTGAGCACCTAGTAAGTGCCAGGTGCCATCCCAGGCACTGGGGCTGCAGCTGAGAACAAGACAGACAGAAGCCGGCCCTGCAGGAGCGGGCGCCCTGCGGTGGCCACGGGAAATGAAAGCTAACAGATAGTACAAAACAACGCTAGGACACGGTGGGTGCTGAGGTGGAAAATCCTTCATTGGGTTGGCCGGAAGTTCTCTCTGAGGAGGTGGCAGTTGAGCAGAGATCGCAAGGGGAAGAGACAGCGAGCCCTGAGGAGATCTGCAGGGAACAGATTCTAGGCCAAGGGAACAGACACTGCAAAGGCCTCAAGGGAAGGACCTTGGTAAGCAGGAGCAACTGGGAGGGGAGGGAGGAGGGAGAGAGATGGGAATTAAAACCAGAGAAGTTGTGGGGGTCAGACTGTGGCGGGGGAGGGCTTTGGCCTTGACTGTGAGTGAGGTGGGGTCCCCCTGGCTGCTGTGGGGTGGGGGTTGGTGAAGAACAGTAGGAGGGTCAGAGCAGCTGCAGGAGGCCAGTGGCAGGTAATGGGGGAACACAGAGATCCTGGGGCTGATCGGGGTGGGTGTGGTGCTGAGGTGAGGGGGGACGCAGTTTGGGAGCTGAGCTGATGGCGTGGTGAGGGAGATGAGAAAGGAGTCTCAGGTGAACCAAGGACTAGGAACAGGGAGGATGCTGCTGATGGAAGGAGGCGGAGAGCGGGCGGGGAGCTCAGCTCCTTGCCAGGGCCAGGTAGAGACACCTGTCGGGTGTCTCTACCCAGGAGGTGGCCCCCAGGGTGGGCTGTGCAGGGAGCAGAAAACACACGATCACCGCCGGCGCTCCCTGCTCTGGTTCAGGAGAAACCCTGCCATTTTACAGACGCCAAGACTGAGGCCGTGCCCCTCAGCCACTCCACTGAACACAGAACAGGCCAGGGACAGGCTTCTCCCACTCATCCTTTCAAGTGCGGTTTGCAGGCACAGGGCGCAAGGGTTCATGGACAAATTCCTTCTCACCCGGTTTCTAATGGTTGAATCTCAGCTGGATGTCAGCTGGGGGCGGTTAGAGACCTTGGGGAAGTCACTGGTTCTTTGAGCCTCCCCCTCTCACCCCCGCCACCCCCTGCCACCCCATCTGTGAAACGGGGCACTAGTCTCCTACCATGAAGAGTCCGAGGAAGCCAGGACCCAAGCACGGGGGACCCCACCTACCCCTGCCCATCCCCTGGCCCTCCCTGCCGCCCCGCACCACTCACGGAGGCGGCTTCTCTTGCGAGGCCAGTTGCAAGCGCTCCTTCCAGGGAGCCGCCATTCTTCCGACGATGGCTCCGGCTTTTTTTCCACCTGGCTGGCCGGAGCTCTGCAGAAGCCTGGGAGGCCCTGGGAGGTTTCTGATGGAGGGTAGTGCCACAGCGGCAGTGAGTTCAGTGCTCCCAGGAGGCAGCCACCTAGCAGGCCCCGGTTCCCCAGGCAACCGTCGACACAGCATTCCATTGCCTGGCCGAGTCCGGGGGCATCCACCCTGGGAGGGAGAAGAAGGGAGGGAGGGACTGCAAGGGAGGGGAGCAGCCTCTGCCCCTTCCCGAGAAGGCTTCCGCTCCCAGTCTAACTTGGGGTGCCAGAGGAGAGCACATGGGTCCCTCGGCCAGGAATTTACCCCTCTTGGCGCCCGTGTCTGGTGGAGCCTCTTCCTGGCTGGGTGGGGATGGGGTGGGGCCTCGCTTCTGCAGCTCTAAGCCCACATGTCTGCTCCAAAGCAAATAAAGAAAATTACTGGGCCCCCACTGTCGCCAGGTCGCAGGTGGGGTCATTTACTCCCGGGCACAGTGCTGAGGGCCGGCCATGTTTCAGCCCTTTGAGGGTCCATTTGGATTGCTGGCCGCTTTCCCCGGCGCCCCCAGCCTGGTTAGGGAGATAAAGAGAGCCGGCGAGAGACCAGCTTGGAAGAGACCCAGGACCCAGAGTTGGAGGACAGGGGTAAAGGAGAAGTAGACAGAGTCTGAGCAATTACTGCGGGCCAGTCCCTGTGCTGAGCACTCTACCCGCAGTCTGTGGTGTAACCCCGAAAACAGCACTGAGCGGTGGTGTCAGGGAAAAGCATCCAGAGAAAAATGACAAATGTCCACGGGCCTGCCACCCAGAAATAACACCCGCATCTTTTCATCTCTGCTTCTGATCATTTTATTTTTTTTCTGTTTAAAATAATTTACTTTTTTTCATGTAAAGACATGCATTTTCTTTTCTTTAGAAATGTGTTTTCTTATTGCAGGCAACATTACTTAAAAAAAAACTATGGCTCCTTGTAATACCTTCATTGCCTAAACCCGCTCCTAAGCATTTTATAAGAGTGCATTTAAAAAATGGGACTAAAATCACGTCTTCTTTATCTCTGAGCCATTTTGGATCGAATTGCACAGACTGCATAAATTGATGCGAAGTTACAAGATGCATGATCTAATTTTTTCTTGATTTAAAAAAATATTGAGGTATAATTTACATAAAGTACAATTTATTTTTTCACATGCGGTTCTGTGAGTCTTGGCAAATGCAGAAAGTCGTGCATAACCACCACCACATTCAGGATGAAGAACATCTCCATCCCCCACAAAGTCCTCACGTCCCTTCGTAGCCAACCCTCGTCCCCACCTCAGCCCTTGGCAGCCCCGACCTGTTCTCCAGCCCTGTAATTTGACCTTTTACAGAGGGTCAGAAATAGAATCGCACACCGTGTGGCCTTTTGGGTCTGGCTTCTTTCACCTAGCAATATTCGCCTGTGACCCGTTCACGTCGACGTATCAGTAAGGCACATGCTTTTTCATGGCCGAGTAGTATTCCACCACACGCTAGGGTTTGCTTATTCATGCTCCGGCTGGGTTATTCCTAGTTCTGGGCAATTGTAAAGACAGCCTGTATTCACGTGCGGTTTCTTGTGTGTGAATACACGCTCTCATTTTACTTGGGTAACTGCGTCTGAGTACGATGGTTGGGCCGTAGGGTAAGTGTACGAGTAACTGCACAGAAAACTCAGCAAGCTCTCTTGTAGCAATGTTCACACCAGCGATGCGCAAGGAGTTCCGGTCTCTCCGCATCCTCTCCAGGAGTTGGTGTTGCCAGTGCTTTAGAAAGTCCTTCTGGTAGATGGGTAGCCGTATGAATTACTTTTTGATTTTGAGATCATTGTACGTTCACGGCGGTTTAAGAAATAACACGGAGAGATGCCACATCCCCTCGCCCAGGGTCCCCCAAGGGTGACCTCGAGCACAACGATGGGGCGCCATCACGACCAGGAAATCGGCACGGACACAATCTGCTGACCCCACTCAGGGTTCACGGCTTCACACGCGCTCGTTTGCAGGGCCGTGTGCTTAGTTCCACGCGGGTTTATCGCATGCAGACTCCCGTGGGCACCGCAGTCGACATCCAAAACCTTCCCCTCAGAGAGCCCTCCTGCCGACCTGTAAGAGCGGCCACCAGCACCCTCCCCACCGCCTTCCTGGCCCCTGGCAACCACCCCTCTGCCCTCTGTGTGGTGTCGCCCCGCCAGGGGTGTTACGTAAGTGGAATCACAGGGCACGGAACCTTTCGAGAGTGGCTTTTAAAACTCAGCTTCATCCTTTTGAGAGCCATCCTCATTGTTACAGTATCTGTTTGTTCTTTCTTTTTTTTAAAGATTTTTTAAAAATTATTTTTAAAGATTTTATTTATTTACTTTTTAGAGAGAGGGGCGAGGGAAGGAGAAAGAGAAGGAATGAAACATCAAGGTGTGGTTGCTTCTCACACCTGGCTACTGGGGACCTGGCCGGCAACCCAGGGATGTGCCCCGACTGGGAATTGAACCGGCAATGCTTTGGTTCGCAGGCCCATGGTCAGTCCACTGAGCCACACCAGCCAGGGTTGTTTGTTCTTTTTGATTACTAAGTAGCATTCCATAATATGGATGGGCAATGTTTGTGTAACGCTTCGGGTCCAAGGACATTTGCGTTGTTTCCAGTTTGGGGCCTGTTATGAATAAGGCTCCTTTGAAGATTCAGGTCCTGGGTTTGTGTGAACATAAGTTGTCATTTCTCTGGTAGAGCAGATGCCCAAGGGCACAATTGTTGGGTCCTATGGTAAATGCACGCTCAGCATTTTTGTTTGTTTGTTTTTTAAAAAGAAACTGCCATATTCCTTCCCAGAGTGGCTGTACCATTTGACATTCCCACCAGCAATGTGGGCGTGGCCTCATTTTTCTGCATCCTCACTATTGCCCCTGTTTTTGAAAAGACACTCTGATAATGTATGCGTGTTGTTCATTCCGGTACGTAGGCATGTTGTGATGCTTCATTGAGGTTTTACTTTGCATTTCTTTCGTGCGTAATGATGGACATCTCATGCGCTGATTTGCCATCTGTACAGCCTCCTCGGCAAAGTGTCTCTTTGTTCATGTCTGTTGCCTGCGCTCTCACTGGGTGGTTTGTTTTTTTTCTCCCACTGTTGAATTGCAAGACTTCTCCGTGCACTCCGCATCTATCGGATGTCCACGAGCTCCATGCTCCAGGTAATCCTCTGCCGGATGCTTGTTTTCTCCCAGTCTGCAGTTTCTCATCACGTCCCCTTCGTGCGGTCGGTCCTGTGTCTAGCAATGTTTTAGATTTCAGGGAGGTCCAATTTGCCACCTTGGCTTTTATGGATTGTGATTTTGGTGTCACGTCTAAGATGGGATTCGAACTCAGGCCATCTGGGTGTAGACTTGGCTTTCTTAACCGCACCACTCCAGATGCAGGTGAGCCCTTCTGGGGTCTTTCCCTCCTTGGGCCATTCCCTGCCTTCCCTCCCCCGAGGATGCCATCATCTTGAAGTCAGGATGCAATCCTCCCCTTCTCAATGGCTATTGTTTCAGAGATGCATTTTCTTTTTGCAAATGTTTACTGAGCACCTACTATGTGCCTGGCACTGTGTGGGGATGCAGCGGTGGCTAAGACAAGACCTGCTCTCATGGGGCTTGCAGGCTAATGGGGAGGCCGGGTGAATCGCATGGTCCTGTGAATATGTCATCACACCTGACAGGGTGAGGAGGGGAGGTCTAGGGCGCAAGGAGGGGACGGGGAGGACTTCCTGAGGAAGCGACGTGTGAACTCGGACTTGAAGGAGGAGGAGGGGTGATCAGAGGAGACAGAGAGTATTCCAAGCAGAGAAGGACAGCACGCGCAAAGGCCCTGGGGCAGGAAGGTGGGGCCCCTCCTGGACAGAACAAAGGTCTGTAGGCTGGTGAGCAAAATTTAAGGATGAAAGGGTGGGTCAGGACTGACTGGGGCCAAGGAGGAGCCAAACCTGTGCTCCAAGTGGCAGGTGAGGGAGCTCACGGCGCCTCCTCCACGGGCACGAGGCGGAGAAATGAGGGCCCCTGGCACGTGTTTGTACACAGGTCACTGCGCCCATCCTGCTCTGGCACTGTTCGTCGCATGGAGGACAGGAGAGACGGTCCTACACAAACAACCCGTCTTCAGAGGCCTGGCGCTAGGGCTCTAGCTCTGGGGAGCAGCCACTGGGGCGCTGCTCCCAGGTCTGGCCGGTGTTCCCCTGCCCCACTGCTGAGGCTGAGGTCCCAGCCCCCCCACCCCCACTTGTCTTTGACCCCATGTCCTGGGGGAGGGGGGTTGGGTTAGGTGGGGCTTCTGAATGACAGGAGGACATAAACTTCTCAGCTGCCCTTGCCCTTGGCCGCAAACCCACAAGCTCTGGAAACATCCATTCTCCCCGCCCCCACCCGAAGTCTCAGGCTTCAGCGGCTTCCCCCTTCCTGCTTCTCCATTCCAAGGCCGGGGTGTGTGTGTGCAGTGGGGGCGGGGGAGGGCTTGGGGAGTGGGGCTGAGGAAGGAGGAAGCGGGGTGTGGACTAACAGACACCTTGTTTTCGGGCCGCAGGAGGAGGGGATTTACTGCCCGCTTCCTCGGCAGCCCGCCGGCCGGACGGCCTGCGGGAGGGGGTTTTGGAAACCCTGCCCACTCCTTGCGCCGCTGCCTCCTGCCCCACGTGGCTCCCTGCCCAGATTCGGGCCCCGAGCTCACAAACGGGGCTTTGTGTTTCCAAGACAAAGGACACGCTTCTTACCCCGACCTGGACCCGGGCTCGTCTGCCTTGTTCCCATCTTCACCTCCGAGGAGACGGGGCCACTTTCCAGGAGGGGACACTGAGGCCTAGACAGGGCCGAGCCTGTGCAGCCAGAGGAGGAGAGTCTGCCTTCTGGTTTGGGGGCGAAGATGGAGAAGGGAGGCGGCGGGTTGGCAGCGATCACGCTGCCATCCTAGGCACCGCGGGGAGAAAGGAAGTAAAAAATAATATGCCTGCTATCATATTCCAGATCCCAGCCCTCGAGGGGAACCGAGTGCGCGCTAACTCAGCCGAGAGCGTGTTCAGTGTTTCTTCCGTGCCAAGCGGGTGGGAGGCGCGCATGAATCAGACACTGTCCCTGACATTTAGGAGATAAGACGCGCACGTAAACCAGCACAACACAAAGGGACACGAGACCAAGGTCACACAGAGCGGCGCACGTGGGCGGGCGGGGGTCCTGGGCTGACATCGCCGCCTTCCCGGCTACCCTTGGGGGCGGCCCGGAGGCTGGGAGCCGAGCTGCCAGGGCAGCGGCGCCTTCAGAAACCAGATGGAGCACGCGTTATTTTTTGATTATAGAAGAGGTGCACGCGGTGCTGTCAGAGAAAGCCCTCCAGCTCTCCCGCAGGCCTCCTTTACGGCTTCTGCCACTTCCTATTTCCTGCTGAGAGTGCGTTCTTGCCCCGCCCCCGCCCCCGCCCCGCCCCCTCGGCTGCCGCCCCCCTCCACCCAGCGCTCATCAGGGCGGGACGGTCCCCCCGCTGCCCAGGTCACAGTGGGCACTCCAAACACAGTTGTTAAATACCAAAGAATACTTCATGTATAAATAAAAATCAGGATCAGGGTGCACAGGTGTGGTTGGATATATGATGTTTTTTTCCACTGTTTGTGTGGGATTGGTAAAAAATCTGTAGCATTCTTTCCTGGCAGGAAATAGTCTTTGGGAAGATCCTTTTTAGCAGCTGTATAGTATTCCACCGCTGTGGTATGACATGGTCTGCGCTTTATCCCTCCCCACCCGGCGAGGTCTGTAGTCAGTTGTACCGGCAGGACCGAAGCAAGGAGTTGGTCAGCCAGAGGAAAGGAAAGGCTTTTCTGACGGCCGAACTCTGCGGGGACAAGGGTGTTGGATTCAGAAATGGTGTCTTCAGGGATCACGTGGCCAGGAGAACTTGTGCCCACTGCTGTGTGGTGAAACAAAGTCTCCAAAACCAAAAAGCAATTTATGGCGGTGGCCAGTTTCCATGGTGGAACTCGCCTACCATGGTTGAGTTTCAGCTTCCAACACGGCCCTGCTGAACATGGAGCAGGCCCAGCAGGCCCCTGCCAGCTCCCCGCTCTGGGGGGCGGAGCCCTCTCTACCGAGCATCTCTGAGCTCTCCCGGGGCCCCAGGCCCAGCATCTCGGACAAAGAGGGGGGCTCAGTCCTGGGCCGTGGGGCCCATCGGGGCGGCAGGAACCCTATCTCGGGATCTCTCTATCAGATTTCTCGGCTGGATGCAAAACCCCAGATTCCCCCAGCTCAGCAATTTGGAGTCGCGCTGACCACTGAAGTGTGGCCGCTCCATCCATCCCTGGCGTTCAGGGCCAGGCCTGGCATGCCACCTCAGCGTCAGAGCTCGGCCACCAAGCGGGGGGCTCTGGGTCAGGCATGGTGGTGGGTTCGGGACGTTCCACAATGGCCATGACACGTATTGAGCACTTGCTGTGTGATGACAGGGCTAAATGTCTGATATTTATTTCACCTCATCCTCACGCCCGGCCTATGAGGTGGGCGCTATTATCAGTTTACAGAGGAGGACACCGAGGCACCGAGGGGATAACTCAACTTGCCCAAGAACATGCAGCTCTTACGTGTAGGTGGCAGGATTCAACCCCAGGCCGGTGGGATGCTAAGGCCTCTCCCGACCTGGCATGACATTCTCCTGCCTGAGGCTCATACGAAGCACCGGCAGCGGGCACTGCCTGGTGCTAGACTCTGCAGGGAGCTGGCGACGATCATGGGTTTGTCTTTAAGGATCTCGGCAGGAGAGGAACGGGAGGAGGTTCCCCATTTCCTGAGCAGCCACTCCGTGCCAGGAATGCCACCGGGCGCCTTGCGTAGCCATCTTCATTAATTCTCACAACAATTCCGGGAGAAGGGTGAGACCCCTCCCCCATGACAGCCCGGACCAGGGTGCTCGTGAGCACACCCCCCCCCACAAACTGGGTGGCCTCTCGCCGGTCACAGGCTGTCTTTGGGTCACCTTTTCCCCTCTGGTCCCTTGGCAGAGACTGCTCTAGGAGACCTCAAACCCTCTGCCAGTGTGGGTCAGAGCTTCTCGCAATAACAGGAAGTGGCCAGGCCATTCGGAAAGTTTGCGGACTCTGGCCACAGCCCCAGGCACATTGTAGCGGTCAGATGCCAGATACTGGACAGGCGACAGAGCTGGCTCCCTAGAGACCTGGCTGGGCGGTGTGTAACCTTCGTAAAACCCCCAGGGGCCCGGGGAGGGGAGCCTGGGAATGTGACTTCCTGGTCAGCTCTGGAAGATGGGCTGATATGGCGGGTGGCAGTTTGGCTGGCAGCCCAGGTGGCCCCAGAACTAGGCCCCCCCAGATTCCATCAGGGGTCCCCAGGGGCTGGATAGCCTATCTGAGGTCTCTGCAAGATCTGAAAAGAAAAAAAGTTCAACCGAAAGCTTCCACTTAGGTCGGGGGAGGAAGGCCCGGACACCTGTCTTAAAGTAGCACTCATGTAGCAAGTACCGGTTTCCCATGGTGAGGATCTGGGGTGACTGACAGCAGTCGGGGGGGAGGGGGCTTTATGTACTCCCTGGGGGCTCCCACTGTCCTGGATATCGCCCCTCGTCCCCATCTGAAGGATGTCACAATGCTTCTACGGCTTGGGGCCAGCTAGACCCATTCCCCGACGGGACAACTGAGCCCCAGACCGTGGAAGTTGGAGGACTCGCCAGACAGGGGCCAACCGGGGGTGGAATTCCGGGGACCTGAGCCCCTCGGGAGCCCGGCTGGCGTGCTGGGGGGTTGGGGGGGAGGAGTCAAGGAGGGAGAGTAGGAAGCAGGTCATTGGGTTACTGCTGTGGCTGAGCAGGGCCTTCCCGGTCCCACCAGTCTGGGCGTTGGTTCCCACACGCGCTCGGCAAGGGCCTTCCCATTGGTGCCCGGCCCCGGGGCTGACCGGAGTGACTCAGGCGTGGCACCAGCCCTGCTAAGAGCTCTCGTGCAGGTAAACAACGAACTCACGGGGAGAAACAGTGTGTGTAAGTATCTCCCTGGGACAGGCCCTTCGGCTCATGGTATCTCATTAAAAACTTGAAAAACTACAAACCCGGAGCTGAGGGAGCAGAGGAAAAGGGGAGAAAACCTCTGGTGGGGGGGTATCCTGGAAGGCTTCCCAGGGGAGGTGACACGTGAGCCATGCCTTGAAGGAAAATAATAATAACAATAGCAAACAATTTTGGAAGCTTCCCAAGCACCTGCCACTGTTGTGAGACCTGTATCTGCTCCCTTCTAGCCTCCTCTGTCTCATCTAATTCTCTCAGAACCTGGTGCGAGAGATACTAGGTCCCCTGGGAACAGACGAGAAAACCATCAAGTTTCAGAGAGGCTGACTTGCCCAAGACCACACAGCTACCCAGGGGCCCGGGCCATGATTCAAGCCCAGGAAGGCAAGCCAATGACTAATGAGATGCGCCTGAAGTTCGTTAGTCCCTCTGAACCTCTGTTTCTTTATCCATAAGATGGGGGTAACCGTGCAATCCTACCTAGAGTACAGAGTTATGGTGAAAGAGGAAGAGGCGACAGTGCCTGTAAACCGCTTACAGCCGTGCCTGGCACCCAGTAAGTGTTCAAACAATCGTAGATGACTTTTATCATTGCTGTAGTGGCTGCTCCCCTCCCCCTCCGGCCGCCGCTTCCTCCCCCGCAGTGCCAGCCAGTGACGTGGGTGCTGCCGCTCGCACAGTCTGAGTTTAATTGGAAACTAAGAGATGGAAAGGGGGGTTTGAGGCCCCTCCCTCGAATCTGAACGGACCCCCAGGGAAGGGGCGACTCTCTCTCTCCAGCGACACCTCCCGCCAGCCGTGGATACTGCTCCCGGACGGGGCAGGGAGGTCGGGCTGCGGAAGCTACCTCGGGGTTGTGGGCAGAAAAGGGCCAGGGAGATGTGAATGTGTCGGAGGGAAGACAGGCAGGGGACACACGACGTTTTCTGAGCCGGGTGCCAACTCACCAGGAACCATTGGCCACGCCCATCATGGCCGTGGGCCGCTCCCCACCTGGCTGTCCCAGCCTCCGCGCACCCAGGTCTCCGCGGCCCGTGCGCTCCGGTGCGCTTGGCTGGGTGCCGGCAGAGCGCGCGCGCGCGAGGGCCAGCGACCGGAGGGGGGACCCGGCGGGAGGCGGGGTTGCTGGGAGGGCCCTGGGCCGCCCCCTTCCGCCCTCTGCACGCCCTGCCCGCCCACCAGGAGCTCCAGACTCGAGGCAAAACCCGGCGGTGCTCCCAGAGCGCTCTGCGTGCTCCACGCGGTGCTTCTACCTGTGGAGCCCGGGGGGTTGGGGGCGCCCCTTCCCGGACACCTATCCCAGCTTCTCCTTCGAAAACCTCCCGCCCAGCCACCCGCATCTCGGATAGGCGGCGCTGGGACCCCAGGACGCGGCGCCAGGCTCGCAGCTGGTGACATGTAGACTCCCTCCTCTTTCCCCCGCGGCGGTCCAGCCTCGGAACCTGGGCGCCCTCCTGCCCGGAAAGTTTGGGGTTGGGTGCCATGGCCAAAAGCAGCTCCCTGAATATCCGCGTGGTGGAGGGCCGGGCGCTGCCTGCCAAGGACGTGTGAGTACGCCTGGCGCAAGTAGGGAGTGAGGGGTGCACGCGGCGTGGGATGGGGCGGGGTCGCCCATTCCTCGTGCTAGGGAGGGGCAGCGGAGTGGGTGGGGGGTTCTTGTCTAAGACCCTAAGACCCGGATTGGGACAGATTCGCTTTCATCGGGTGAGAGGCCCTATACCCATTGCTGTCCTGGTGGGAGGGGGCACCCGGACTTTGCAGATGCCCCCCCCCACTCCTGCCTCCCCCACTCCCGGAAGAGGGCATGACTTTGTTCTTGGAATGTTCTAAAGGGGGTCTCCATAGCTTCTGCCTAGCAATTGGAGGGCCAGATTCTGTTGGAGCAGGGAAGGGGCACGGGAAGGGGGGGTCTTTCCTTTAGTGCAGGTAGGTGTTGGAGGCGGGGCTTCTCCAGGCTTGGGTGGACTCTTAACAACAGAACCCTGGGGAGGAGCCCCCAAAGGCAGGGGATCCGGGTGGCCCCAGCATTCCTCTGGGTGCATCTGGGATTTCGGTTTGCAGAGTGTCACCAGATGGCCAGCGGTCCAGCCTTGGGGGAGACTAGGTCCCCTTGACCCAGAGCGCTGAGCTCTCCAGCCAGCGGCGCCCAGCCCAGCATGGGCCTCCCTTGGGTGCCGAGTGGCTTCAAAGCCAACTGCAACTCTGCAGCCCCCTCCGCGGCCAGGTGTGATGGGTCTGGGGAGCCCTTGGGCCCCCGCTCAGTCCCAGACCTTGGCTTCGCTGCCCCTAGCTGAGTCAGCAGCTGCCTAATCAGCAGGATGGTGGGAGGGGTCGCCCTCCTGCTTGGCCTAGAGCCCAGAAGGGGTTCTGAGGGTGTCAGCACCTGAGATAAGTATGGGGTCCTTGGCAGGACATCGGCCATTTGACCTTGAACCTGGTTCTCTCTGGGTCTCAGCCTCCCATCTGTGCAGAGGGAGCTCTGGACAGGGTCTCCAGGCCACGCGCAGCTGTGTGGGTGGAGAGCCTACGAGGAGAGGCTTTCCCCGCCGGCCAAGGCAGGCAGGAGCCTGGATTCTGAGCTGCTGTGCAAGTGGAGGCTGGGGCTCAGCTCTGTGCTAACTCCCCCAGCTCTGGGGCCCCAGCAAGGAATATCCTTGCCTTCCATTTCTCGACCTCCCCCCTCCCCAGCGCTACAGCTGTGTCAGGGGGGTGCGGGTGGGGAGCTGCTGAGCGCTCCCTCCGTCCTCCTCAAAGAAACACACCCCTGAGACTGAGGCAGAGAGCTTGCCGTGCGCACACAGCATCAGGACAAGCCCCCTGCCTCCCTCTTTCTGAGACGTCTGTCCTCTCGCAGTCCACGAGAATGGGAGACTCTGGAACCCTGGGCACACGCCCTGGGGCCAGGAGGGGGGGCCTGGTGGCTGATGGAGGGCCGAGGAGGGGGCCCTTTCGGAAACCTGGTTTCCATCTCACTGCGCTCTGCTCCTCCCCCCCCCGCCCCCCCCCCAGTCCTGGTGAGGGCTGCGAGGGAGCTCCTTCTGCCTCTCCTGGGGAGGGAGTTGAGTCATACCTGGTTCCTTAGCCGTCCCTCCTCCTTCATGTTCCCGGGCCAAGGTGAGCTCTGGCGTGGGCCACTCTCCACAGCAAAGGTAGGGAGTCATGCAGCCCCCCTGCCTCAGTGTCCCCGGCTGCTGGCTCCCTCTATCAGAGGGACTCTCCTCCAAGCATGCTGGGATCTCCCCCCGTGGGGACCCTTGGATAGGGCGTGTTCTCTTTCCCCTCTGCTAGGGGAAAGGGCCCGGATTCCTCCTGGAGCGCCACCAGATTTCAGGGGAAATGGGCCTGGCGTGAGAGGCGGACTCAGCGGCTCATTTGAGGGTTACTGCTCTCATTCATGCTGACAGCTGTGAGCCACCGAGGGCTGACTGGGGGCCCGGGCCGTGCTTAACACTTCTCACCGTCCTATTCGCATTTCCGTTTTACAAAAGGGGAAACTGAGGCCCAGCGCCACACAGTCATCACTTGCCTAACATCACACAGCTGGGATGTGGGGACGGACGGCTCGATGCACAAACCAAACTGGGCAGGCAGCGGCCTTGGGGCCCGAGTTCCCACACGTGAGGTGGGGCAGGGGCCGTGGGAGAGGCCAAGGGTCTGGAGAGATCAGGGATCCGGAGGGGGCGGCCCCCCCCTCGCCAGGGCTGCCGCCACCTGATGGGAGCCCGATAAGGCCCTTGTGCGTCAGAGCCCCGCAGCTGACGTGCGTGCGAGCTTGGCTCCCGGGAGGGGCCGGGTGTCAGGCAGGGTCACCAGGAGGGGCTGTGCCTTCCAGCCCTTTGCTGGTGGGACCCCAGCCCACCCCTGCAGCTGGGGAAACGGAAGAAAGGGGAACCTGCCTTAAAGGAGTGCGGGGACAGAGAACCCAGAGAGAGAAAGGAGATATGGGGGGGGGGGTGTTATCCAGCTGGGGACATCCAGGGGGCAGAGCCAGGTGGGGAAACTGAGGCTCCTGGGGTTGCTCAGCCAAAGGGGAAACTGAGACCTGGGGCGCTACACAGAAGGGGGATGGAGGTAAGAACCTGGAGAGGAACTCGGAGATCCAGGCCACTGCCCAGCCGGAGGTGCGCAGGGGCAGGCACTCCCCAGGGAAGTTAAAGCACAGGAGCACCCGCCAAAAGCACCCAAGGGAGGGACTCCAGAGAGGACACTGAGGCACAGGGAGGGCTCAGCCAGCAGACAAGCCTCGGGTTGGAACCCCTCCCGGCACCCATGCTCCCATTCCTTGGGATCCCTGAGGCACTCGTGGGTCAGCGACAGGCTGAGCTGGGAAGGGTGGCAGAGAGAGAGGGGGCGGGGCTGGGGTGTGGCGGGAAGGGTCATTCGGGGAAAGGGATGCTGGGTGAGGGTGCTGGAGGCGGCCTCGGGGCAGGGGATGTGCACTGAGCCCTGCAGACCTGGGTTTGGGTGCTGGCCGCCAGGTGGGGGTGGGGGGCACAGGTCCCCCCCAGGGAGCTCACCGTTCAGAAGTTGCGGGGAGCCGGAGACAGACACTGAACACAGACAGAAGCAAGAGAACAGGGTGATTGCGGGCGCTCAGAGGCATCGGAGGTCGATTGCACGACCCACGGTGACGGTCAGGGAGGCGACGGTGAGATCTGAACATAGGATGAAGCCGGCCGTGACAAGATAGGGGACAGCGCGTCTTAGGCAGCTGGCACAGCCAGTGCAAAGGCCCTGAGGCTGGACTGAGCTGGGTGGGGGACAGAGGAGGCCTGTGCGGTGGGACAAGGGGAGGAGCGGGGCCCGGCCGGCAACTCTTATTGTGAAGTGGGGATGGCGCTGGCTTTGCTGGCCGCTGGCTCGTGCCTGCCCGAGGGGTCGGGCACGTCTGTCCTGCTGGGTGGGTTTCGAGGTCTGGGCGCCCCGGTCTGTGCCTGCAGTGAGAGTCCGCTGAGGTCCTTCCCTGCTGCGGGCTGGGCAGTGCGTGGCCCCTGCCCAGGGAAACGCCATTGCAGTGGAAATCTGGAGAGGGGGATGCTTACCCCAGAGGGTGGCGTCAAGGCACCTGCCAGGGGAGTTCTGGGGAGCCCTGAGGCCTCCCGCCGCACGCACGCACCGCACGTTGTCTGCTTTGGCTCCTGCAGCTGCCTTGGGGGCGTGTGTTAACCCGTTATGCCTGACTCACAGAGCCCGGGCTCCCCAGCCGGCACGCACCCTTGACCTCTGCTTTGGGCTTCCCGGGACCGAAAGTCTGAACTTCTCGCTTTGGGCCTCAATACCCTGTGTTTGTGGGGGGACACCCAGGAAGCCCATGCGCCGTGGGTAGGGTGGCACTGGTTGGGCTGTGCTGCCCTGACACCTCCTGCCAGTCCCCTGAGGTCCTGCCCCGTAGCTGGATCTGCTGTGGCACCCTGTGCAAGCCTCCCCACTCAGGGCCTCCGGAGCACCTCTCTGTGTGATGAAGGTGGGCTGGGGCCCCCACCCCCACTGCCCTCTCAACACCCCTCCCAACCCTCCTCCTTCCGCAGGTCTGGGAGCAGCGACCCCTATTGCATAGTGAAAGTGGACGACGAGGTGGTGGCCAGGTGAGGCGTGGAGAGGCCAGGCCTGGGGCGAGGAGAGCAGGGCAGGGGAGGGCGGGGAGGCCCCTCCCAGACCTGGGGAGGCCTGGGGAGGCCCCTGCACCAGAAGTCACAGGGGAAAGAGGAGCAGGGGGAGGGCGACACTCACCCTGAGGGTGAGCTCGGGGGCCTGACTAGCGTCAGGTGCTCCGTGCCCTGGCCTCAGGGCCCGGAAGCTGGGGCTGTCAGTTCCTTTCCCTGTGGAGCCCCAGCCGGCCCACACCTTCCCCCCGGACCTGCCTGCCGGTGTCCCTGCGGGCTCCCGGGGCTGACTCAGCGGCCGCCAGCCTGCGCCTCTCAGGGTGGCCTCTCTGGGGGCGGGCGTCTCACGCTTGGCTGGGCTGGCTGGTTCCGGGCCTGCTTGCTGGGTGCTGGGGGCACGAAGGTGTGTGTGTGTGTGTGTGTGTGTGTGTGTGTGTGTGCATGCGTGTGTGCCCAGCTGGGCAGCTGGCGAGTGTTTGTGGGGGTGTTGGAGGGGTGGTGTCCGGATGTGCATGTCCTGTGGGTATGTGGGTTCACAGGGTCACTTTGTGTACCAGTGTGTGATCTGTGTGCATGTGGGGGGTGTGCACGAGGGTGTGTGTGCACACACACGGGCTGCCCCGTACACACGTGTGCAACATGGCCTGCTTATTTGGGTACACAGGCGGCAATGTGACGCCGTGTGAGGGCATGAGCGTGTTTGGTGTGAGTGAGTCTGGGCGGGGGGGGACATCGGGCTGGGTCATGCTCAGTTCCCACCCCCGCAGGCCTGAGGGGTACGGGTGGGCGGATGGCTGAGGCCTCGGTTCCTATGGAGACAGCAGGAATCAGGATGCTGCTGGCGCGGGTTCTGGTCCAGATGGCCTGGGAGCTGGGGGCAGGGAGCCCACATGGGGCAAGGTCAACCTGCAGCACCCCAGCTGACCCCTCTGTCCTTCTCTCTGGGCTCACGCTGCCCCCTTACCCAGAAACCCGCAGGCTGATTGTCTGCGTCACCGCAGGCCGCTGTCTCCGCCCCCTTGAGGCTCTGAGGGGCACCCCACCTCGGGGGCTGGGAGCCTGAGGGACTTCCAGTGGGGAAAGGGCCAGCACAGGGGGAAGAGGGTGTTTGGGAAGGAGGGTCCATCTGATGGGGCGCCCCGGGCTGGGGTCAAGGGCAGAGTGTGCGTGCATGTGTGTGCACATGTGTGTGCACACGCTCACACTCTTAGTTGGGGAAGAGGGTATGAAAGGGAGGAGGATGGGAGTGGCAAGTGTGCAACCAAATCTTGCAGCCACACACCTGGGTGTGTCTTGGCGGAGCAAGTCGGGTGTCTGTTCCTTGTTGGGTAAAGGGAAGTGCGTCTGCAGGGGTGCCAGCGTGAAGGTGCTCTGTGCGTGCGTCTGTTTCTGGGCCTGGCTGGGTCCCTACTCCTCCGGAGGTTCCCCCCTGTGTACTGAGGGCTCGGGCTCCTGCCGACTGAGTGGTCTTCTAGCCCCTCACACTCCTGCCTGTCCCAGCCAGCACCTTCCTGCGCCTCAGAATCACCGAGCTCCTCCTTGCTCCAGGGCCTTTGCACATGCTGTTCCAGCCATTTGGAATGCTTGTCCTCGTCCTTCCCCCCCACTCTGCCCAACGAGCTCTCGCAGGGAGCCTTCCTTGACCCTTCTATCCCCACGCCCAGACCCACCAGGCACCGCCGAGCTAACCACAGCACGGGACTGTCCTCACTGTGTCGCAAGAGCTCAGGAGTGAGCGCTTGCCTGCGGAGGCGGGGCCCTGGGGGGGGCACAGGCCTTGGTCTCTCTCCCTCTGGTCCCCCGAAACCCGTAAGGCTGGGCCCCCAGTCAGAGTGTTTACGGCGTGAATGAACAGATGGCTGGATGGCATTGTGCGTGTTGTTAGTTCCCGTGTGTCTGCGTGGTTCTGCGTGTGTACTGGCCGTGTACAACTGTAGTATGTGAGTGTGCGTCTCTGGGTCTCTGTGTGCGTCGGAGCAGTTTTCGTCTGTGTGTTTGTGTGGATGTGTGTTTTCTCCGTGTGTGCCTGGATGTGTGGATATGTCGAAACACATGGATGTGTATTTCTAGAAATTTCTGAGCCTGCAGATTGTGTGTCTGTGTAGGTGTGAATGTGTCTCCTGGTGTCTCTGGCTTCCGTGGCAAATCTGTGAGCGTCTCCGTGTCAGTGAGTATCCCCGAGAGAATGTGCGTGTGCGTCCGGCTGCCAGGCGTCTGCCGCCGCCTGTGTGGCCCGAGGCCCCCCCAGCCCCCTGTGGCCCCTTTTGCAGGACAGCAACTGTCTGGAGGAGCCTGAGCCCCTTCTGGGGGGAGGAGTACACGGTGCACCTGCCCCTGGATTTCCACCACCTGGCCTTCTACGTGCTGGACGAGGATACGGTGGGGTGTGTGCACTGGGGACCCACGCTGGGCATCTGAGGGGAGCTGGTCACCCCAAGGGAAACACCCACCCACCTACCCAGCCCCTGATGCCTGCCCCTGCTACTCCCTGGGCGGGGTGGGTGGGCTCTGGCTTGGACCCTCACCTGCCCGCCTTCCCACAGACACGACGACATCATCGGCAAGATCTCGCTGAGCAGGGAGGCAATTGCCGTGGACCCCCGAGGTGGGTGAGGGGCACCGGGCCTCCCTCCACCAGGCAGGAGGAGGAGGAGGGGTGGCTATGCCCTGGGGCACAGCCAGGGCCTTTGGAAGCACAGAGCCCTCCCTCAGTGAAAAGCTTTTTCAGCTTTTGTTTTTGAACAGGACAGAAATGTGGGGGCGGAGGGATGTGGAAGACCGCTAGTACGAAAGTGGATGAGGAGAAGCGGGCAGAACGCTTCCTGGAGGAAGGGGCGTGAGTTGGTCCTTACAGGTTCTTTGGCAAAGACACCCAGGCTCATCTCCGTGGGTTCTCTGGGGTCAGGTGTGGGCCGGGCCAGATGGAGTGTCTGGTGGAGGGCGATCGGAGGGAGGCGCCAGACCAGGGTCTGGACTTTTTTTCCGGAGGCACTGGGGAGCCATGGATGGTCTTTGAGCAAGGCAGTGAAGAGGTTGGAGCCGCGTTACAGGGGGAAGGGCCGACAGGAGAGAGTAGATACATTTTCGGAAGATCTCTGTGTTGCTTTGCGGATGCTGGACCGCGGTGGGACAGGAAGAGCCCTGGGACACCAGCCTGGAGTCTGTGCAAGCACCGAGTGAGGGAAGCTGCCGGCATCCCGGACCTGGGGGTAGGCGTGGAGCTAGAGGGAGGTGAGGTCGGACCTTCACTGCCAGCAGCACGGGCCTCTACACCTTCAGGAGGGCCCTCCTGCTGTAGAGCAGCGAGACCCTGAATCAGATGAGGTCCCTAATACACTGTCGGACCTGCTGAAAGAAGAAAAACCCCTCAGCATTCTCCCCCCGCCCCCCAAGTGTGGGCACAACCCAACCGGGAGTGGCGAGCAGCAGCCAAGGAATACGGAAGGATTTCCCCAAAAGTACGTGTCGGCATCACATCTGCAGTCAACAGTCGGCATCTGGAGCTGGGGCCGCGGCGGGCGGGTGGGACGGGCTCCCAGACGCCCCCGTGAGACCGGGGGCTTAGAGGAGCCCAGAAGGAGCGGGGCCCCCCAGTTCTCCAGCGACGGGGATCCTCGGGTCAGGTTTCCCACAGGATGGGATCGAACAGACGTGAATTCACAGTCCGAGAGCAGCACACTCGCAGTGCCCGGCACACACGGGAGGGGCCGAGCCACGGTGAGCGCCTGTGCCCTCTGGGCATCGGCGGCTGGATTAACCGGAGCCGTGTGGGCCGCCACGGGCGAGTCGGCAGAGACGGCAGCCCGCAGGTGTAAACCCACGGAGACTTTAGATTCTGTAACTCTGATAACAGAACATTAAAAACATTACACATTTAGGTAAATAAAAAAAAAAAAGGTCATCGCCAGGAAGGGCCAGCAATAACCACAGTCAGTGAAAGCCGTGCATTCGAAAGAAACAAACTGGGAAAAGAAGGAAACGGAACTTTCGGAGGTGAGCAGGACAACTGTCGAAGTTCAGGACGAAGTAGGTGAGTTCAGCAGGAGGTCGCCCGGAGCAGAAGTGAGAACCGGTGGGCTGGAAGTGAGATCTGAAGAAATTATTTAGCCTGGAACCCGGAGACACAAGAAGGAAAATATGAAAGAGATGTTTGGAGACACAGAAACACCTGGGAAGGCCCCGCATGCATTTAATCGGGGTCCTGGAAGGAGAGAGTAGGAAAACGCGGGAGAAGGACTCTTAGAAATGAACACCGGGGAGGGGACATGAACAGAACGGATGGCCTAGAAGTTTCCAGAACTCAAGGAAGGACATGGTTTTCTTTTTCTTTTTCTTTTTTTTAAAAGCCATTTCAGCCTGTCGGTTAGGGTTAAAGTCATTTTTTTTTATTTAATTTATTTATTTTTAGAGAGGGAAGGGAGGGAGAAAGAGAGAGAGAGAGAGAGAAACATCAATGTGTGGTTGCTGGGGGCCGTGGCCTGCAACCCAGGCATGTGCCCTGACTGGGGATCGAACCTGTGATGCTTTGGTTCGCAGCCCGAGCTCAATCCACTGAGCTATGCCAGCCGGGGCAGGACATGGTTTTCTGAGCAGTGGAAGCACGGCCCGTACTAAGCAGGATAAGAAACACCTCTACCTAGACACATTGGGGTGAAACTTCAGAGCGTCAAAGGCATAGTCCTTGAAATACGACGGGAAAAATAGAGTGTTTACCCAAGAACAAATATTAGGCTGACAGGACGTCCCAGGAACTACAATGGAAGCTGGAAGTCGGTGGAACAGTTTCTTCAAAGAGTTGAGAGAAGAGAGAGAGAGAGGTTGAGACTGACATTGAAGTTGACCTGACTGCTGCAGGCAGGGAGAGGTGCCCAGAGGGAGACTCGGAGATAGCAATGCCCAAGGTCTTTCTGAGGGAAAGTACCTTGGGACTCCATGGTTAAGGGCGTGGGTCCTAGGACTATACTGTCTGCGTTCAAACCTTAGCTCGGCTATGGCCCGGCTGTGGGATTATGGGCCCAGCTCCTTCCTCGCTGGGCCTCCTCTTCCTCACCTGGAAGCGGGGGTAATCGCAGCACCTACCTCAGGAGGCTCACATGAAAAGTCCATCCTTCAGTGCATTTCTGATGCCTAGTACATGGTAGGTACCTAATAAAAGTTCGTGCCTGTGCCCTCCAGGAATTGACAGCTGGATTAACCTGAGCCGCGTGGACCCGGATGCGGAGGTGCAGGGTGAGGTCCACCTGGCCGTGCAGATGCAGGAGGACGCACAGGGCCGCTGCCTTCGCTGCCATGTGCTCAAGGCCAGGTATGGTCATGGTGGGGGGTGGCAGCGGGGTGGGGAGTCTGAGAAGGAACAGGAATCCTCTGGCTGCCCCCAGCTGCTGCCTTAGCCTGTGGGGCCTCCTTGCTCCTGGGGCACTTCTGGGCTCGCAACAAGGATCCCATGGAGGCAAACAGGTCAAGCTCACTGGATTGCAACTTCCTGGGGTTGAAGCACAAGCCAAATCCTTGTTGCGTCCCTAGTGACCGGCAACCAAAGGCTGTACACTCAGGATGGCCAGATGGATGAGTGTGGAGGTGTACTAATCAAATTGTGAGCAAGTGGTGATACCCAATTCATACTGATTGTCTCATATGAATGGCATGGAGCTTCAGGCGTGGCTGGATCCAGCTGCTCAAATGGTAACATTGGGAACCTGTAGACACAGATTCCTCAGCTGTCTTTTGTTTTAGCTCCATTCTAAGTCTCTCCCCAGGTCATGGCGAATAGCTCCAGCAGCCTCAGCTGCCATCCCAGCAGCTCGGCAGCTTGAGCTGAAAAAGAAGTTCTCTCTCTTACCATTTGCAATGAATGCTTTGGGAATAATTCTTACTGGCTTAGTCTGGGGCACATGCCTGTCTCTGAATCAATCACACTGGCTCTGGTTTGTCAGGTGTGAGTCACAAGCCCATCCCTAGACTGGAGGGAGGGATCAGCCCACCTAAGTCATGTGAGCCGGGCGTGAGGGTGGGCAGGTCCTGTCCCAGAGAAACATCAGAAGGAGCATGGGTGCGGGACCAGCAAACCCCACAAATGACCCTCCAGGGGCACTGGCGTGTGGGGTACCCATTCTTTCCTCCCACCTATTTATCACTCTGCATTCCCCCCCCCTCGGATCCCCCCATCATTCTGGTCCCTTCACCACTTTCCCCTTTCCCCCTCTTATCTCCCAAGTTGTCTTTCTGTTTTTTTCTTCACACCTCACTCCCCCAACCTTCACTTTTAGGCCAATTCTCGCCCAGGTTGGGGAGGATCTCTATTTCTGGCTTGCTGTGTGACTTTAAAGTCCTTTCTTTCCCTCTCTGTGCCTCTCCTACCACCTCCAGATTCCTGCACCCAACTGGGCATCCTTGGAGTCTGGGTGAAGGAGTCTGGGGCGGAGGGCAGGGGATAGGAGAAAGGACTCACTCCGCATGGGGCAGGGGCTCCTCATCTGCATCTTGCCCAGGGCCTCCTCCCCAGCCACAAGGCTGGGAAGGATCCTTGCAACAGGAAAGGGACCGATTGCTGTTGCTTAGCAACTGGGCCGGCTCCTAGGAAACCAAAGAAGGCTTTGGATGCTGAACAGGGGTGGGAGAGGAGCAGAAGGAAGAAGCAAGCAGCCCCTGGGGGGTGGTGTCCCTGGATTTGGGGGGGCCTCAGGAAAGAGGGCTGGGGTGAGACTTTCGGGCTGTCATGACAACCAGAGGCAGGGGGCTCTGTCTCATGGCTTTTCTTGGGTCCTAGGCAGGGTGTGAGCCTGAGAGTTTGTTGAATGAATGACTGAGCTGAGCCCTCACCTCCTGCCAGCGGCTATGCTAAGCCCTTTCCACACATTATCTCATTTCACCTTGGCCCTATGAGGCTGGTCTGTCACTACTCCCATTTCCCAGATGAGGCAGCTGAAGCTCCGGGAGGGGAAGTGATTTTCCCAGTGTCACCCAGCCAACGCATGGCAGAGCCAGGGCAGGGCTCAGAGCCGGGCTTTGAACCCTGGCATCTGGTCTCCCGTCCAGGGGCTCCAAAGAAACGGAGGCCCGCCATTCCCCCACCCACTACACCTTCGCCTGCTGGGCTTCATGATGTGGGACTTGGTCTTTCTGTTCCTCAGTTTCCTCATCGGGGACATTACTAGTGCCTCCCTACAGGGTCGCCTTCATCAACAGGAAGAAAGTGGGGCTGGACCAGCATGGGGAGGGGTGCCCTTCGCTGGGTCCCTGCCACAGGGCAGGTCATTGCCTTGGAAACCAGTGGCATTTGCATGGCCTGCCCCGAGCCCCCTTTCCCAGGTCCAGCGTGGGTCTTTGTCCCTGTGGGTGCCGTGTCCCCCACTCCTGTCCTCATCTGCCCCCAGGGACCTGGCCCCCCGAGACCTCTCCGGTACCTCTGACCCATTTGCACGCGTATTTTGGGGCAGCCAGACCTTGGAGACATCGGTGAGTGGTGCAGGGCAGCTGGGACAGAGCGGGGCACCTGGAGGGGGCCGTAGTCAGCTCTCTCTCTCATGTACCCCCCCCTCGGCACCCAGATCATCAAGAAGACTCGCTTCCCACACTGGGACGAGGTGCTGGAGCTGCGGGAGACTCCGGGCGCCCCTTCCCCGCTGCGGGTGGAGCTCTGGGACTGGGACATGGTGGGCAAGGACGACTTCCTGGGCATGGTGAGCGCCCCTCCAGCACTCTCTGTGGCTCCGCGCGGCCTCCAGGGGGGATGGAAGGGGAGCAGGGCGGGGTGTCCCCGGGCATGGAAGAGTGGGTGCGAAGGCTGCCTCATCAGGTCTGGGTAATGGACCTCCAAAGGTGCAGGGAGCTGCCCACGTTCACGGCCGGGGCCCGGACTCCAGCTCTGAGCTGAGAGTGCCCAGGGACACCGTGTGCTGGCCCTGCGCTAAGGGCTTCTTCGGCCCAACCTTGTTCACCCCCGTGGCCACCCTCCTCATCGGCTTGGGCTGTTGTCCACATTTTACAGATGGGGAAACTGAGGCTCAGAGAGGCAAAGTGCCTTTCTCAAGGTCATACTATGACTAAGAAATGGCAGAGCCAGGATTTGAGTGCAGGTCTCTCCGACTCCAGAACCTAAGTCCTTAACTCCTATTCCTGGAAGCACTGGGGGCAAGGTCTTCCCCTGAACCTCCGTTGCCCCCTCTCCACAGCTGGTGGGATCGGTCCTGCCTCTCCACAGTAGTGGAGGTATCGGGGTGACCCTTTTTTTTTTTTAAGATTTTATTTATTTTTAGGCAGAGGGGAAGGGAAGGAGAAAGAGAGGAAGAGAATCATCAGTGTGTGGTTGCCTCTTGTGCACCCCCTATTGGAGACTTGGTCTGCAATCCAGGCATGTGCCCTGACTGGGAATCAAACCGGTGACCCTTTGGTTTGCAGGCCGGCACTCAGTCCACTGCGCCATACCAGCCAGGGCCAGGGGTGGCCGTTTTTAAAAGGAGGCAATTAGAGCAAGTGAGAGGGAGGCTTGGTCATGCAACGCTGGCTGGGCCTCAAATGGTTAAAGATAGAGTTATCGAGTGGTAGTGGAAAAAAATACAATAAAGCGGAAAAAAAAAAGAAGAAGAGAAAAAGAGTTCCCATGTGACCCGGCAATTCTCCTCCTAAATCGGTACCGAGAAGTGAAAACACACCTGTCCACACAAACACGGGTACATGAGTGTTCCTAGGGGCGCTGTTTGTAACTAAGAGCCCAAGTGGAAGGAACCCAAATACCTATCAACAGACGAGCGAATGAACACAGGTGAGACGGCCACCCAGTGGAATGTCACTCGGCCGTGAAAAGGAACAAAGTCCTGATACCCACCACAACCGGGGTGTCAACACGATGCTGAGTGACAGGAGTCTGCCCCCCCCCCAAACCCCACACACATTACGTGATTTCATTGATAGGAGAGGTCGCCGGGGGTTGGGGGGCGGGGGGAGTGGCTGCTAACCGGTACAGGTTCTGGGCGGGGCTCGTAGGAATCGTTCTGAAGTTGGGAGTGATGTTCGCACAAACCTGAGGCTCCTGAATGCCATTGGATGATACACTTCAACTGGGCGAATTGCGTGGGGCGCTAATGAAGTCTCAGCACAGTTATTCTATTTTTTTAAAGATTTTGTTTATTTATTTTTAGAGAGGGAAGGGAAGGAGAAAGAGAGAGAGAGAGAGAGAGAAACATCAATGTGTGGTTGCTGGGGGCCGTGGCCTGCAACCCAGGCATGTGCCCTGACTGGGAATCGAACCTGTGACACTTTGGTTTGCAGCCCGAGCTCAATCCACTGAGCTACGCCAGCCAGGGCTTCAGCACAGTTATTTTAAAAGGCGGGGTGGAGCTTGGGGGCCTTCTGGGCTGTCTGGAGACCTTTCGACAGGTGCAATTGCATCCCTGCACAGAGCTGAAAGGACACACAGTCCCACGTGCTGTCCCCAGGAGCTCTGTGACCTTTGGCAAATCACTCCGTGTCTCTGAGCCTCGGTTTCTCCTAATTAGCGTCCCTGGCGGCCCTCAGGGCCCTGGCAGGACTCATCGTGTGGGACTGGGGGAGGGAGCGGCACCACTGTTTGTGGATGGGACACGGTGGGGGAGGAAGGGGTGGGTGGGCAGCCTGCACTCGTCTTCCGGGGCTGGGTGGGGTGGGGCAGGGCCTGGCTGAGGGTCTGCGTGCCCCCCGCCGCCCGCAGGTGGAGTTCCCCCCGAAGGTCCTGCAGCAGAACCCACCCAATGGCTGGTTCCGTCTCCTGCCCTTTCCCGGAGCTGAGGAGGGTTCTGGGTAAATGCGGGGCTGAGGGAGGAGGCCAGGCTGGAACCGTGCTGGGTGCCATCTTCAGCGGTGCCCACGTCAGCCCCCAAGCTGTCCCCCTGTCACTTCGTTCCTTCGGTTAACAGATGCGTGCGGACGCCTCACAGTGTGTGTTTACACAGGTCCAAACGCATTCCCCTGACACCCATCCACCTGTGCGCGTGGCTGTTCACACTTGTTGATGTGTGATCAGAACCCTGGGTCCTTCCACGCCTGTCCACACCTGTCCACACTGTCCCTGTCCTGTTCCTTTCTTTGCACTGGCCACATTGTTGACACTGTCCGCACCTGTGCATTCCTGTTTATACCTGTCCGTACCTGTTCACACCTGCCCGTACCTGTCCACACTCACCTTGTTTTGCAAACATCCATGCTCCCTTCCTGTGTTCACGCCCTCCCATCTTGGCCCTCCGTGCCTGCCCGTACATGCTTCCATGCGTACGTACCTGTGGTCTGACCCTGGTCAGGGGGAGCCTGGGCGCTCTGCGGCTGAAGGTGCGGCTCGTCGAGGACCGCGTCCTGCCCTCTCGGTGCTACCAGCCACTCCTGCAGCTGCTCATGGAGTCCGCCCTGGGGCCGGCAGAGGTGGGTGGTCGGACGGGCGCTGGCACTGGGGGTGGGGGAGGGTCTGGGTGCTGGCCTCCCCCTGCTCCGGGGACACCTGTCTGGGCTCTTCTGCGGTGGAGTCCCGGAGTCCCGGGCCACCTCTCCTGCCCTCTGTCCTTGTCCAGGAGGACTTTTCTAGCCCCCTGGCTGTGCTGGAGGAGCTGACCCTGGGGGACTGCCGCCAGGACCTCGCCACCAAGCTGGTGAAGCTCTATTTTGGCCAGGGGCTGGCTGGGCCTTTTCTGGACTATCTCACCCGGCGTGAGCTGGCGCGGACCAGTGAGTTGCCCCCATGAACCCCAGAGGTCACTCCCCAGGGATGAGTCTGCAGGAGGCCTCTGAGGGAGATGGGGGGTGCTCAGGCAGAGGACAGGGGCTCCTGTGTGTGTGTGTGTGTGTGTGTGTGTGTGCGGAGGGTGCCCCATGCTGTGCATCCCAGCCAGCTGCTTTTTGTCACTCTTGAGCTGTGTGACCTTAGGCAGATTGCTTAACCACCCTGGGCTGCTGTCCTGTGAACAGAGCTGATGTTGCAGGTCTCCTCGACTCCTGGGGCTGGAGGAAGCCTGACCTCCCCCTCGGGCGGGTGTGGGGTGGGCTGGGTCAGCCCCCCATGTCCCAGCCAATACTTCCTTCTGCCCTCCCAGCCGACCCCAACACCCTCTTTCGCTCCAACTCCCTGGCATCCAAGTCAATGGAGCAGTTCATGAAGGTGAGTAGGCAAAGGCCTGGGGGGACCCGGCAGCGGCTTCCTTCGGGGGAACCCCTTCCCGGTGTTCACGGGGACCTCAGAGTTCGGCTGGCTTCCGGTGGCCATGGGTAGCCGAGCTGGGGTGCTGAGGGTGGGTGCCTGCCTTTCCCCCCCCCCGAGTGGCGCCTCGGGTAAGCCTACCTCACCAGCCCTTGGCCGCACCCCGGCCTCGCCCTCAGCCCCCCCCCGTGTGGTGCCCTCTGCCCCCAGCTCGTGGGCATGCCCTATCTGCACGAGGTCCTGAAGCCGGTGATTAGCCGAGTCTTCGAAGAGAAGAAGTACATCGAGCTGGACCCATGCAAGATGGACCTGGGCCGCACCAAGTAAGCAGAGCCGGGTGGTGAACTCTGACCCCCAGACACCCTCTCGTCCCCCGGAGCCTTGTCAGGTTGGGTCTGTGCCCCCTGCCGCCCTTGCAGGAGCCCTGCTTTCCACTTCCTGGCCTCACCTGTGAGCACCTCAGTCCCTGGGCTGCTTAGTTTAGTGGTTCCGGGCAGGACAGGGAAATCTGAGCTCTGGGTTCAAATCCCAGCCATGCCACAATTGGCGTGCAAGTCGCTTTACCCCCCCTAGGGGGTGAAAATGAACTGCGGTGCACACGCACAGCCCAGCGCTAACTAATGCTTCATGAGTACCGGGTATTGCTGGGATGGTGGTGGGGGCTTCGGGCTGCGCGTGGGCCTGCGTGCACAGGTGGGGCCTGCGGCCCTTGGTGAGAGTGGGGGAAGCAGGGCCGTGGCTGGGAGGTCATCCCACACCTGCGCCAGCTCCTCTCTCCAGGACCCCTCTCCACTCCAGCCAGGGCGGGCGGGCTTGTTCCTGCCAGGCCCCGAGAGCTGGCTGCTGGGCAACCCATCGGGGACTCTGTGGGGCCAGCAGGGGGGTCTTACCCTTACTTTGGCAAGTGCTGCCCACCCCTTCCAACCACCCCAAAGGCAGGCATTGGGGCCCCTTTAGCAGACGAAGAAACAGCCTCAGACAGAGGAGGTCACCTGCCTAAGGTGGCACAGCTGGGTGGCACACCTGGCAAGCACGGAGCACAGGGGCATGCATGCAAGCACCGGGGCAGTGCAGGGTGGTAGCTAGACCTGTGTGGGAGTCCTGAATTCTCATCTGGGCTCTGCCCGCTCTTTGCAAGGTGACCTCTCTGAGCCTCTCCTGTTACATGGGAACCATCGGGGTACTTAGGCCATCAGGCGGCCATGAGAATCACATGCTACAATGCCAGAGACATCAGTCCAGGGCTCAGCTCCCGGGGGCCCAGGACACAGCGGGGCCCAGACCCACCAGCCCTGTCTGATGGGGGGCAAGACAGACCCCTCACCTGGATGGAAGTAGAAAGGAAGGAACAAGATACATGCAGATGGAAATGTGCTACTCCATCATCCACTCAATAGAACAATTGTCGAGCACCTACTGTGTGCTGGACCCTGAGGTCACAGCAGAGGATAAAGGGACACAGATCCCTCTCCTAGGGGGAGACAGAGCATAACCCAAAGAAGCAGGCTCTTGCAGGGGATCAGTGGGGTGCAGGAAAATAAAGCTGGGGAGGCTCGGGGAAGTGGCGGGAGCAGGTGCTTGCGACATCCCATAGCGTGGTCACAGGGACGGCCTCGCGGAGAAGGGGACATTTAAGCAAACACTTGAAGGAGGTGAGGGAGAAAGGCACGTGCAGAAGAGTGTTCCAGGCCGGAGGAACGGCAAGTGCAAAGGCCCTGGGGTGGAGGCACGTGGCTGGGGTGTCTAAGCTGAAAATGCATTTTGCACCAGGGTCTGTGACGATGTGTGATGAGGGAGGGATGGCCTCTGAGGAGGTGACATTTAAGCTGCATGTGGGGGTAGGAATGCCTCAGGTAGAGAGAATAGCACCTACAAAGGCTCCCAGACGAGAATGAGCTTCGTGTGTTTAAGCAGAAGCAAGGAGTCGGTGGGATAGGCAGGAGGTGGGATGGGAAGGCGGGTGCTGTCTGAGCCTGGGGGGCCCCGGTGTGCAGGGTTCCGAGCAGGCTGGGGCCGGGGTCTGAGGCAGAGCCGCTCTGCTTGCTCCCCAGGAGGCTCTCCTTCAAGGGCACATCCTCGGAGGAGCACGTGCGGGAGGCCAGCCTGGGGCTGCTGACCGGCTACCTGGGGCCCATCGTGGATGCCATCGTGGGCTCCGTGGGGCGCTGCCCGCCGGCCATGCGCCGGGCCTTCAAGCAGCTGCACCGGCGTGTGGAAGAGCGCTTCCCGCGGGCGGAGCACAAGGTGGGCCGGGCGCTCCCATTGGGCAGACGGGGAGACTGAGGCTGGGGAGGGCAGGAGCGTGTTCAAGGTCACGTGGCGAGTCAGGGCAGAGGTAGGATCGAAACTAGGCTGCCATCCTAAAGCACTCTGTGTCCTGGCTGAAGTGGGTACATTTCGATAGGGCCTGGGACCCCCCAGGGGTGGTAATAATAATAATAATAATAATAATAATAATAATGGCAGCAACACTATATGCAGCATGGATCAGACCTTGTCTTGAGTATGTATTACCTTACCTAGTCCTCACATCCACGCTGTATTATTCCATTCTATAGAGGAGGAAACTGAGGCCCAGAGATGTGAAATTATACAGCTAGAAAGGGGTAATGATGGGACAGGCACCCAGCCAGTCAGGCCGGCACCACGATCTGTGCTCATAACCACCAAATAATAGTGTGGCCCACGGCGCGTGCCCCCACAGTGCCAGCTGTGTGTGCCCCCGGGCCCACATGAGAGACAGAGAGGTGTTCACCCCAAATTAAGTCTAAGTATGAATCCTCCATGAGCTAGTGCTTCCCCAACAGTGATACAAAAGTTGAAAACTCGGGTGCTGCAGAGTTCAGGCAGGTGAGGTAAATGTTCAGAGCCGTCCAGGTGTGGGGCAGTAGGGAGTGGTAGGGACTGCGGCAAACTGGCACTCTCACAGCTTTCCCAAGGGGACAGCTGCAGGCAATTGTTGCCATGTAAAATTGCCAGCTCTTCAGAGTTTTTGTTTTTTTTCTTAAAGCCAACATTCTGGATTTTATGTGAGATCCCTCATTTAAAAAATGTTGGCACTAATTCACCTAAAAAAACAACTTCAACAAAACAACAACATTTTGAGCTGACCATTACACACGTGTGGCTGGACTGGCCCGCAGGTTATCAGTTTGAGAGCCCCGGGTGTCGTGCTCAGCCCACTTCCCAGGTGGCTGTTGTCCTTGCTCACGAACGACGACGTCACAGGGAGCTAACTTACCTGGTGCTGAGGTAGCGGAAATGCAGATTCCAGTTCCCTCTGCAGAAGGGTCCGGGACTGGAGTGTTGGAGATGTGATGGCCCCACCCTTGGAGCCTGGGTTATGAGCCCTGGTTTTCTGCCATGGTGCTCCCCACTCCCTGCTTACAGATGGAGAAACCGAGGCCCAGAGATGTAAAAGTCCTTGGCCAAGGCCTCCAGACTCCCAGCTGAAATTTCTCTGCCCGCGCCCCACCCCAGCCTCCACGGAGGAGCGGCCTCCAAACTGGGACGTGGCTTGATTTATGCCCCACTTTGCTGGGCTCTCGCCCCGGCTGCTGGCAGAGGTGCTAAGTGGGACACAGCTGTGGCAGCGGAGAGGGAAGGGAAGGGGAGGCCAGCTCCCCAGGCAGCCTAGCCCTTGTGGGCGGAGCCAATATCTGAGACAGCCCAGAGTCCCCAGCTCTTAGCCCCCACGGTGGGATAGGCCTCGGGAATAGGGACTTCCTCAGTTCCATGGGGGTGGGTGGGGTCAGGAGAACCCAGGGGAGCCCCTTTCTCTGCCTTCCTGACACCTGTTCCTCCTTCTCAAGAAAGGAGGAAGTCATGGGCTGACGTCAAAGGCTAAAATTACCCTTGAACGTGGCAGGCGGGGGATGGTGACCTTGGGGGCAGTCCAGGATTCCAGATGAACGAGGCAGGGGCAGAGACCCGCCCTCTGTGCAGTTCAAGTGCCCGGCCCCTGGCAGGGCTCGCTGTCAACGCAGAGGTGGCCCAGGGAATCGGCACACACCCAGGGAGCGTACAGTCTCAGGGGTAAATACAGCTCCTCAATAAACACCGAGCACATTCTCAGGCTAAATATGGCCCCCTGAATGGGAGAGGGGAGTGGGGCATGGCTTGGGGGGAGCCACATGCACCCAGAGACACACCCTCTTCCTGAGTCCCTGCTGCTGGTACGTGCAGGTGGCCAGGCACGAGACTCCCGTGGGCGGGCACCGTACTTCCCGGTTTGTACATGGCCGGGGCTGGGGCTGGGGGTGCACGTGGGACAGGCCCTGGAGCCAGCCCAACTGGGTTCACTACTGAGCCTCAGTGTGGCGGAGAGCTGAGAGTTCAAATCCTGCCTGGGCTCCATCGTGGTTCAGCTGTGAGACCCGAGGCCATGACTTTCCCTCTCTGGGTATCAGGGGTGCCTCATCTGTGAAATGGAGATACAGTACTTCTGGGGGTGAGGGTTAAATAAACAAGTGTGTGGAGACATTCCTGGCCTGGTGCTATCCATGATAAACCATGGATCTGGGTTGGAATCCTGCCTCCTTTACGCCTCCGCTGTGTGACCTTGGGCAAGTCACTCGGCATCTCTGAGCTTCTGCCTCCTCGTCTGTGAAATGGGAATAGTGATGGTGCTTTCTTTAGAGGACTGGGACCTTAGCAATCCCTGAGGATGCTTGGCTAAATGTGACTGTGCAGTATTAGTATTATGACCCCATTTTCCAGATGGAAAGACTGAGCTCCCCAGCCCCCCCCCCCCACTCCTACAGAAGACCCCCTGGCAGACCAGGATGGCCTCCTGGTCTGTCTCCCATTTCACCTTCTCTGGCGCCCCCCCCCCTGTCTACAGTCCTCGCTGCCTCCGTTTCCCCGGCGTGGACATGGGTTTGGGGGCCCCCCTCACCTGCTGCCTTTCTCGGCAGGACGTGAAGTACCTGGCCATAAGCGGCTTTCTCTTCCTGCGCTTCTTCGCGCCCGCCATCCTCACCCCGAAGCTGTTCGACCTCCGGGACCAGCACGCAGACCCCCAGACCAGCCGCTCACTGCTGCTGCTTGCCAAGGTGCCCCCACCCAGGGTGGTCCGAGCCAGGGCGGGCAGCCCACGGCAGGAGGAGGGCGGGGAGGCTGGGCCCAGAGGAGACCCCGGGAAACCCGTCTGAAACGCCACCGTTCATGTCGGCCCCGAGTGCCAAGGCATCGCTGTGCTCTCGCACATCCTCTGTGGGAGCAAAGACCCTACCCTTCCAGGGGGCACCTGGGCTGTCCTCCACACCTCAGTGTTCATTAGGCCCTCCTTTGCAAAGTGGCCACGTTTGGAGGTTCTGATGGGCACCAGGGTACACGAGATGGAATCGGGCAGTCCTGGGGGAGGGCCCTGGGCTCAGGAGGGAGCGGAGTAGCATGGACACTGGGGTGGTATATCCGTCCACAGGAAGACACAGCTATTGCCCTAAGCAGGTACCGCCATGAGTCTTCTCCTTTCTGCCGGCACTGACTGGGGAGCCAGGGCTCTGGGTCTGGGTCCTGGGCGCACAGAGGGGCCTCTGCCCTGCGGTGACCTTGGCCCCAGCACCCTCTGCTTCTTCGATCCAGGCCGTGCAGAGCCTCGGAAACCTGGGCCAGCAGCTGGGCCAGGGCAAGGAGCTGTGGATGGCCCCCCTGCACCCCTTCCTTCTGCAGAGCATCTCATGTGTGAGAGACTTCCTGGACCGGCTGGTGGATGTGGAGGGGGAGGAGGGTGAGTTCCTGTGGCCTTGCCCTGTCCGGCTTGCCACTCCCCTGGGCCCTTGGGACCTGCCCTGCCACCTCCCCCTAGCACTGAGACCAGGGACCTCTGCTTCAGCGAGTTAGTCAGCTAACATTTCCTGGCACCCCCTGTGCCACCCCCCCGCGGGCGGGGACCGTGGCCCGGTGTTCATGCAGCCGGCAGCCATCTATCCGGCGCCTCCTGTGTCACAGGCACTGCTCCGCGTGCCGGGGAAGCCGGTGAGAGAGACAGAAGGAACTCCTGCTCTCATGGAAGTTTTATTCTAGCAGAGACAACAGGCTGTAAAGGAGATGAATGAGCAAATCATGGCGTGTTAGGAAGTGCCGAGGAGACAAGGGAAAGGAGGGAAGGGAATGTTGGGGCACGGCAGGTCAGCCTTCCAGCCAGGGCAGCCGGAAGCAGTCTCACTAGAGTGGAAGTAAATCTCACAGTACAGAGAGTGAGCCGTGAGCATCCTGGGGAACAGCGTTCCAGGCTGGAACGGCATGTGCAAAGGCCCTGAGGCCGGGACAGAGAGCGGCAGTGAGGAGGCCGGTGAAGAAGCGTGGGTGAGGCAGAGCGAAGGGGAGGTGAGGAGCCAGTCTGGGTGGGGCTTTGTCGGCAGCGAGAAGAGCTGTGCCTGCGCCTTGGAGTGGAATGGAGCCACAGGACAGCTTCAGGCAGAGCTGGGGTCGAGTCCATCACACAGTGTGGGGCCCCGGTCATGAGACAGCTGGGTCCCAGCCACACAGGAGCAACCTGTTGCAATGTGGAACGCTGGTTGTGGCCAGCGGGGTCCCTGTGGTGCCAGCGAGGAGCCTGAGTCTGGGCTCCCTGGGGATGGCTGCGTCTCAGGCGCTCCCTCCCGCCCCCCGGGCTGACTCCATAGACGTAGCTCCCCCTGCTGGCTGCCTGCGCAGCGGCCTGCAGATCCCTCAGGTTGGAGCGGGATCATCAAGGCCAAGTTGGTGCTCCCTGCCCAGCCATAAGTGACTCATCCTCCCGCCTCTAGGGGAGCAGAGACTCATACTCATCCACCAGGCCCTGGACAGGCTGCCAGAGTAGGCTGAGCTCACTGTCCCTTCTCCCCACTTCCCAGAAGCTGGGGGCCCAGCCAAGGCCCTGGTCGCGCCCTCGGTGCCCGTCCGAGAAGGCTACCTGCTGAAGCGCAAGGAGGAGGCGCCCGCCAGTCTGGCCACGTGCTTTGCCTTCAAGAAGCGTTACTTCTGGCTCAGCGGGGAGACCCTCTCCTACTCCAAGAGTCCCGAGTGGCAGGTGGGGCTCTAGTCCACCGTGGAGGGGTTTCCAGTGGTGCCCCCCCTGACCTTCACAGAGCGGCCTTTTTGCACCCAGGGGGACACGGAGGCCCAGGTTGGGGCAAGGACTCATGCAAGGCCCCACAGCAACTTGGCAAGGTCAAATGCTCAGGCCAGGCTCCGCTCACACCCTTGGGCCAATGTGCATCCAGGCCAGGGACAGGCATATACACGCACACACCCTCACCATCAACCGCCCTTCAGAACCTACACTCGGGGTGGGCCCGACACCCCCTCCAGGTGTGGACCCGCACAGGGCAAGGACAACACTCAGGCACCCTCGGGTGTTCCCAGCCGGGCCTGTGCCCGCATACCGCACAGGTACAGGCCTGGTGGTCAGGCGCATGCGCCCGGGCATTCCTTCCCTCACTCACTCACTCACTCACTCATCAGACCTTTATTGAGAGCCTCCGGGGCACCATGCAGTGCTCTGGGCGTGGAGATGCAGCAGTAAGCAAGACGGAGTCCCTGCTCTTGTGGGGCTGCCCCTCGAGTCTGGCACAGACGGACAGGTGCTGGGATCTGCCCACTGCTGCGTGAGCACCGTAAATAACAACAGCTCACACCGGAGCGATGCCGATTCTCGAGTTCAGCGCCCTGGGTTCTAATTCTGGCTCCACCAGGCGAGAGACCTCGGGAGGGCCATGTACCCTCTTGGGCTTCAGCTTCTTCTGCACATTGGGGAGAATAATAGACCCGGCCTCAGAAATTTGTTGGGACGATGAAATAAGTTGGTACATGCGAGGTGCTTAGAACCACATCCCACGAGCTGGGTCAGTGGTGATGGTGATGGTGGTGGTGGGACTGATGCCCGTGGAGTTGTCACTCGCAGAGGGATGGGGCAGGACTTTGGGGCTCGTGGAACGGCTGAGTGGACGTGCACACAGATCACAGATACAGGACGTTGGATGTCCTTACCCCTGGGGACACCGCGTGATGCGCGCACCCCGAGGAAAGCTGTCCCCGGGGCCCCACACCCCAGCCGCAGCCTTCAGCCCGCCCTGCTTCGACATTCCTCTCTCCCAGACGCGTTCCTCCATCCCGGTGTCCCACATCCGCGCGGTGGAGCGCGTGGAGGAAGGCGCCTTCCAGCTGCCGCACGTGATGCAGGTGGTGACGCAGGACGGCTCGGGGCCCCTGCACACCACCTACCTGCAGTGCAAGGTGAGGCAGAGCAAGGCTGGGGGGCGGGGGACGTCCCTCGAGTCCCGCCTCGCTCCGGTCCGCAACCTCCCCCCACTCCCTGCAGAACGTGAACGACCTCAACCAATGGCTGTCGGCCCTGCGCAAGGCCAGCGCCCCCAATCCCGACAAGCTGGCCTCCTGCCACGCGGGTGCTTTCCGCAGCTCGCGCTGGACCTGCTGCCTCCAGGCGGAGCGCTCAGGTGAGGGGGCGGGGCGGGGTCAGGCTCCGCCCTTCGCTCCTGTCAGTCAGCTGTCGGGGCTTGCAACGTGGTGCAAGTTACCCTCTCTCTGTCTCAATCTCTGCCTCAAGTTTGAAATGGGGTCGATAACAGTGCTACCTCCTAGGGTTTCGTGAAGACTAAACGTGAGGTGTTATTTTTGGTAAGCACCCACTGTGTGCCAGGTATCTAGCAGTACACAGACGGGCATCGGGCTCGCTCTCAAGGAGGACAAATGACTGACCAGGCCATTGTAATGCAGCTTCCTGAGTGCCCAGATGAGGCTTTTGAGACTCCACGAATGCCTCTGACCCAACCCCAGGGTTGGAGATCAAGGAGGGCTTTCTGGAGGAGGTGCTGCTTAGAGATGTGACCTGAGGTGAATAGGAGTGAAGCTGCAAAGTTGGGACTCAGGGGTGGGGTCAGGAAGACTGTTGCAGGCGGAGCAAACAGCGGGAGCAAAGGCCTGGGCTGGAGACAGAGGGGCAGAAGGGTTAGCGTGGCTCAGCCCGGCTGCACCTGGACTGTGCTAGGAGGCTGGAGACAGGGGAGGCCACCGCTCTGCCCCGGGAAGGTGGAGGCAGGGGCCTGGAAGGAAGTAGGGTTTGCAGACGGATTGGAGAGGCAGGAGGGGCGGGGCTTGGCCACAACCTGCCTTGGGGGCTTCTGGAAGGGGAATCGGAGGAGTCATTGACAGTGCTGTGTCCCCTCAGCTGCTGGTTGCAGCCGCACACACTCGGCCGTCACCCTGGGGGACTGGAGGGACCCCCTGGATCCCGACGCTGAGACCCAGATGGTGTATCGGCAGCTGCTCCTGGGGCGGGACCAGCTCAGGTGGGTGCCCCGCTCTTCCCACTTCGCCCCTCATGGCCACGGGGGCCTCCTCTGTTCATTTAGTCACTTTCCATGTGCATCAGCTGAGGCTGGAGCAGGGGAGGGACAAGCTCAAGGTGAGGGTGGGGAAGCATTCTTGGGTGGGCCCTGATGCATACCTGGATCTTAGCATCTCTTAGCACCTCCAGAGACAGGGGAACAGACCTTGGATGTGTTCCTCCCCGTGCCCAGCCTCAGGGTCACTTACTCGGTGGCAGAGATTTGCTCCAGCTCATTAGAGAGTGGGTTCAAATCCTGCCCTGGTCTCTTACTGGCTGTGTGATCTTGGGCAAGTCGCTTATTGTCTCTGTACCTTAGTTTCCTCCTTTGGAAACCAGGGTTAGTAACAGTGCCCGCTTCCTGGGCTTGTCCCGAGTATCAAATGCGCTCATGCAGGTAAAGCCGCAGAGTCAGCTTTCAGTAAACGGTAACTATAGTGATGCCGCAAACCTTAGATAAGTTATTTTGCCTCTCTGTCTCGGTGACCATCAGTATCACGGCACTAACAGGAAGTGCCGGCCTCAGACAAGTTCCTCGTGGTAGTTGGATGAGTGAGGCCACGGGAAGGGCCTGGAGTCATGTCTGGGACTCTGTAAACGTTGGCCGTGATGAGGATATTGGTGGTGCCGTTGAGTGAGAACCTGCAGCGTCCCCTGCAATCGGCAGAGGCGCTCCGGGGTGGAGAGAAACTGGGACTCAGGGGTCAGCCCTGTCTGTCTCCCCCTCAACGTCCAGGATGAAGCTCCTGGGGGACTGCAGCATGGACACCAGCCCGGAGGAGGACGCGGGGAAGGACTCCGGTTCCATGGAAGGTAAGGGTTCAGTTGAGGGGGTCCCTCTCCTTTGCCCTCTCTGGCACCTCCCGCCACTTGCCAAGTGCACCCCTGTGCCCTCTAAATCACTGTCCTATTTCCAGTCCACCCGCAGGCCAGGGGGTTGTGTGTGTGTGTGGGGCGGGGGGGCTCTGGCACCTGTTGGGATTCTTGTGGCACAAGACAAATCTGGAGCCCAAGGAAGCCATTGGGTGCGGGTTGGACTGCCTGCCCTGGCCCGGCTGAGCCGCTGTGGCCCCCTCGCCTCCCTCCCAGGGACCTGTCCTGAGGCCCTGGACCGGCAGAGAGAAGCAGCTGGCCGCCTGCTGGAGGTGCTCGAAGACCTGGACAGAGCCCATGAGGACTTCCAGTGGCAGGAGCAGGGGAAGGTGGCCCCAGGTCCCCTCAGGCCCTGAGGAAACGCCACAGGCAGCCTGGGAGGAAGAGTAAGGAGCCGTCGGACCTGTCTCAGAGTGCCCTGGCCCCGGAGTCTCCTCCTGGCTGTGCTGTACCTCACTGATGCTGTGACTGGGGGCTGCCGGAGACTGCCCAGCCCCGTGTGCTCCAGGTCCCAACGCCGAGGCATGGGCGCAGGGGCCAGCCTTGCACTGACCGAGTCTCACCCTGGGCTGAGGCAGACCGAAGTGACCGGGGTGAGGAGCCCGACTCTCCTGGCTCAGCCCGAGGTTGCTGCTTCCCAGGACTGGCCTCCCCCCACGCCGAGGCGGCCAGCCTGACCTTGAGCTGCTGGATACAGCTGTAACTACATCCCCAGTGCCCGTGTGGCCTTGCTGCCCCTGACAAGCACTAAACCTACTCAGCCCTGCCTGTTTCTATGTCTGCCAGTCTCTATAACCTCACACAAATCCTCCTGACCCCTGCCCTTGGCTGATGGTCCTAATCACAGGCTTCCAGAATCAGGTGCCTTCAGGCTGGGGGCCCGACCTGCAAGACTCAGACCCTTGGAGTCTGGGAGACCCTGGGCCAGGCCCCTTGCCCCTCTTTGAGCCTCAGTTTACCCTGCCTTCGATGTGTGGCTTTTCCAATGTGGTTCCATAGAGGTAGCTCAGGAGCCACGGAGAAGTTTCACGCACTGGCCCAAAGCTCCCCCCGCCCACCACCACCCTGGGGTGTCTGCTAGAAAAATGCAGACCCCTGGGCTCCACCCAGACCTACTGCATCAGAATCCGAAAGCGTGTGGGGAGGAGGTGTCAGGGTTCTTAACAAGCTCCGCAGGTGACCTGGATGAATGTCGGATTTGAGGATCGCAGGGCCTGGGAGATTATGTATACAAGGGTTTTGGGGAAAGAATATGAGAATGAACCACAGAGGATACGATGTTTGGAAACACTCAACGGTCAGAACTGGAAGGGGCTCCAGGAACTCGGTTTTTTGTTTGTTTGTTTGTTTGTTTTTTCCGGTTTTGTGTGACTATAGTGGGGGATGGAAACTGAACCTACCTGGCTGGGGAGAAGGTGGACCGGGGTGCAGCGCTATCCCATGGATGGCCAGTAGGGGTCGCTCGGAGCCGCAGCATCCACAACAGCCATCTGGGCCTTCTGGGACGTTGCAAAGGCTGGTCGAAGCTGGTTCCAGGTCCTGGTCCCCGTCTTTCCCTAGACAGAACCCGGCCCTCCTCCCCAAGGGCACAGGCTGGGGCTCTGGGGTCCCAAAGAGCTGATCATGGTGTCTCCCGGCTTTCTCCCATATCTTTCCAGAGGCCCTCAGCTCCCAGCCCGAGTTCCTCATTCCTAGCAATTTTACCAGGGAGCATGGTGTGCATTGCCGGGTGCCCGTGCCCGAGACCAGAACTTGAACCTCTGCCCGCTTAGGTACTAGGAATGGGAGGGTCTGCCTCTGCCGCCATCACACCCCCTGCTGCGGGACAAGAGAATTATGGGGACCCCACACCGCCAGTTGCGCAAGGCGGGAAGAGATCATGATGCTGGCGTCATTTGCTGCAAGCTGCTTTATGGGGTAAACCAAAGGTCCCCAAGAACAGAGCCACCCCTCTTCCTTGGCAGGAATAGACAGGACGAGGAGGAGAAAGACCGTTTATTTCTCCACCCACAGTGGGACTGGTAGGTTTTCAAAAGAGCAATCACTGGCATCCCTTTAAAATCTTGGCTGACTTCCACCGAGGCAGCCAATCAACAGAGGCGGAGCTGGTGAGTTGCCTGGGCAACAGGCCCCTGGTTGGCCGAGACCATCAGCCACCCCGCTGCCCACTTCCAAGTAAGGGAAATGGACTCTTTGCTCTCCAGTCTGCTTTTCAGACCTGCTGGCCTGAACCAGGCCTCCTCTTCTTCCTCCTGAAGCCAGAAACGCCAGCCTTTGGGTCTTGACATTGGGAACGATGTGATGGAGCGGATGGGGTGGGGAGGCAAAGAGAACAGTGCCTTTATGGGGACAGACGGAAGGCCTGGGCATGGGAGGGGAGGAGGAGGAGGACGTCAGGGTCCCAGGAGGGTGAGGAGATGAAAGCACAACGTGAGATACCTATAGGATCTCCTCTCTGGCCTGCCCCTTTGCAAAACTGTTAAAAAATCTGGGGGCAGAGATGGGTGACAGAGATGGGGGTCAGCGGAGCTTCCCAAGCACCCCTTTTTTTTCCTTGGAGCCAAAGCAGGTCCCTAAGCGCTTGACACAAATCCTCCCGCTGGCAGACAAGCCTGTGCAGATGTGATAAGAGACACAGATGGGATCCACGTGGGGTGTCACAGGGGTCTTCTGTCTCTTCCCCCCGGTTTGGGGGAAAGTCGAGGCACGTGGGTGTGCGTGCATGTGTTCAACAGGACATGTGTGTTTTGTGTGAGGGGTGGGGCTCTGTCTTTTTTGGTAGGGAGGTCGCTGTGGTTTCTGGTACTCTCTCTGCAACCCTCTCAGGGTCGGAGCTGGCTGGCCTGCCGTCTTCCCATCATTCTCAAGGGCCGCCAGCCAAATCTCCGGAATGCTTCCGGCTTCTTCCGCAGGCTCCTCCCTAGTCCCGAACCTGGGCCACCAGGAGGACACACCTGGCGGAGGGAGGCCTGTGCCAGACAAGGGGTAAAGCAGGAGGGAAGGTGGGCAGCCCGGGGCCTCAGGCCTTGGCCGTGGCCTCGGACACACCCTGGGCTGTGAGCTCGGCCAGCACGTTGTCCAGGTAGCTCGCGTCCGGGTAGCCGTGGCCCGTGAGGTTGGATCCAAACTCGGTCTTGTGGTGGATCTCGTTCCACACCACGGTGTCCGACTCGCCGGTGGTGTTGGAGGTGCCGATGGTGAAGATGAGCCTCCGCTCCCAGGCGGTGATGAGCAGTCTCAACACCTGGAGGGCGGGGCGGTGGGGCGGGGTCACAGGCAGGCCCCGCCCAGCCTCCCCTCCCCTCCCGGCCACACCACGGCTCCCTCAGGACCGCCTGAGCCTGCCCAGCAGGGTGCCACGTGGCTGCCCAGCCTGGCCTCTGCCTTCCCTGGACTGACTCTCCCAGGAGAAAGCTCTCGCCCGTTTGTGGGCCTGTTTCTTCCGGGGCTAAGGAAGGGCCTCAAGACGATGGCCTCTGCCGTGTTCGGTCTGGACCGCACACTGGGTTAAATACCCACTTCGTGACTTCACCGGCAATATTTAAAATCCTGAAAATCAGAATTTCTGGCTCCTCTCGAAAAGCAGAAAGTAAAAGCAGACAAAATCTATAGTGAGGTGGTGAAGAGCCTGGAATGCCTGGGTTCAAATCCAGGCTCTACCACTGGCTAGCTGTGTGACCTGGGCAGGTTCCATTCTTTCTGTCTGGGGCTCTGTTTCTTTATCTGTAAAACCCAGTCAAGGCCTTGGCCTCAGCAGGGCCTGGCAGGGCTGGACGCATGCTAGGTGGCCGTGGTTGCCGCTGGTGAGGGGAGGAATGCGAGAGCAGGGACTGGGGATAATGAGCATCACAGGCTGGGCTGCCCGTGGCCGGGGCCCTGGCCCATAGCCCTGCACCCACCTTCCGGCCCTTCTCATTGTTGGGCAGGTAGCAGTGGCGCGGGAAGCCTCTTGCAGTGAACTTCTTGCCTGGGTTGGGGTGCTCAGGGCCCTGTGGGCGGAGAAGCAGGGGCTTGCACCACAGACGGGTGTTGGGGGCCTTGGAAGGGGCCAAAGGAGGTGGGGTCAGGGTCCAAGGGGGGCTCACCTGGATGCCTGTGGGGATGTCGTAGACAATGCGGATGGTCTGGGTGTCAGCGAAGCCAGGCAGCGAGTGAGGGATGAGGTGGAACTCCATCTTCCCAGGCGGCTGCGTGCCCGTCTTTTCCCCGTAGATGGCCTTGCAGGTGGGGCACTGCAGGCTGCCATCCTGGGGCAGGGGAGGCTGCAGATGAGGTCCCCAGGTGTCCCGGCCCCTCTGGGCTCCCCTGCCTGTTCCCCACCCACCGTCCCCACCGGCTCACCTTGTTGCCATTGGAGTACATGGCCACGAGGCACAGCAGGTGGTACATGTGGCCGCAGCGGCCCAGGCGGCCCACGAGCTCGGGCCGCACGCCCTTGTGCCGGAGCACGCCCTCGTAGCCGGATGCCGTGACCAGCCGTTCCATGCAGATGGTGCAGTCCTGTGGGGAGGGCAAGGAGTGGGGACGGAGCACGGGGTCGGGCAGGACACCACCCCTCCCATTTGTCCCAGGGAGAGGACCTCCGTATATATATATCAGATTCAGATCTATGGTTGCCTCACACCCCCTCCCGAGACACGAAGGGCAAACTAGCAAAAGCAAAACTTAAAAAAAAAAAAACAAAACATGTGAGTGAAAATAAGATACAAAAACTGCTGATCACCAAAAGATCGATGCCTGTGATTCTACGACGCTTCGGCATTTCTGTTTATCAAAAGGCTTTGTAAAGGAAGCGGAAAGGCAAGCCCACAAACTGGGAGAAGGGGCTGGAACACTCAGAACCTCGAGGACTTCCTACCCAGGGCCGGGGAGAGGAGAGGCAGCGGCGGACGGAGGGCCCTCCGCCCGGCGCCCCCTGGCGGACTCACCTCGTCGGGCGGGTTCTTCACCTTCTGCATGTACCTTCGCACCACATCCTCAGGGTTCTTGCCTGCAAGGACACGAGGGCCTGGGCTTGAGGGCACCCTGAGGCCTTGGCTCGGGATGGAGTCAGTCAGGGGTCAGAGAGGTGGGGTTGGCAGGGGTTGAATGTTGCGGGAGAAGGGGTCAGGGAAACGGGAGTTGAGATCAGGAGATGGAGGAGAAGTCCTAAGTCCCAAGAACAAACTGGAGCTGAGGGGTCAGAGGACTTGTGGTCATAGGTTAGTGGGGTTAAGTTCAGGGGTCAGTGTAGGGTGCGGCGGGAGGGGGCGTACTTTTCTTGAGGTGCTTCTTCTTGGTCTTGCGGCACACCCCAGGCACGCCGGGCACGGGCTTGACGTCGCTCTTGCTCACTGGCGGTGGGTGCAGGATGGGCTTGGGGGCCCGAGTCAGGCACACCGGCAGCCCCGCGGCGCACAGCAGGATCCCGGTCATGCCTGGGGGCGTGGCCTGGGCGGTCAGGGGCGCGGAGCCCTCCATGCCCCGCCCACCCAGCATTCCCATCCTCCAATCATTGGAGACTCTGCCTCAGACTCCGCCCACCTGCCCAGGGATCGTGGGGTCCTGAGCTGGATGAGTTGGGTGGGCCCTGGGTCGCACTCCTGGGCCTCACCCCAGGTTAAAGCCAAGTGGAATACCTTTTGCGGGCCCAGCCCACCCGGACCCACGGCCCAAGGGGCGAGGGCGTTTCCTCTGGGCCCCTCCCACCAGCTCATTAAGGGGTGGAGTCAAGGGGCGGACGGGTGAAGCTGCCTCCTCCTGGGCCCCGCCCTCCTTCGGAGTCCT